GCGCCATCCCACACTTTCAGTGCCATTTCCATTCTTGCAAATATTCTGATCTTTTGGAGAAGTGGGTTTGTTGCACAAGAGCTCCCCATCATCTATAATGGCACCTCCTGAATGGCCAGGGTGTGATTGATTCCCATCTGAAAACGGCAGCAGTCTGGAAGCACCCGTGTATGAGTCTGAATCAGTGAATGAAATTGATCTGCACATATGTAAAATAGTTCTTAATGGAAGAAAACAAAACACCCTCTAGCTTAGGAGATGCATATTTGTGTGTTGCAGTAGGACATAGATGTACCATTCCTATGTGTGAGAGAAGGAAGCATAGTTGTTTTAAGAACTGTTGCTTTAAAAGTACGCTTCATAATATCTTTGTGTCATTCCAGGGCAAGGAAGCCAGTGAGCAACACATAAGAGAACTCTGTGGTGGAATGATCCGTGGTGAGTATTAACTTGGGGTCTGGGCAACCAGATAATGTGATTTCTCTGAATGGAATTGCCGGTGGTGAGAAGATAAAAAATGAGTCCATCTAACCCAGAGTTGTTGACTTCCGACTAGCTTTCCGGGATCCCAGCTGGGAGTTTTTCTCTGATCCTGTCACCTAACACCCTTCGAGTCAAATATTTGGGATTGAATCTCAGATCTCCTCCTCCTCCTTTGTTGACCACTCGTAGCCGAGTAATATTGTCTTCCATAAACACGGTTTTAACAGTGAGTCCGTAAGTGATTGTGGAGGCCAATTCTGGATCCACATGTCCTTCCACAGTGGGGACAGAGGTTTCTGGGTAGGAGTTGATCATGGTGAGGGTTTGCCAAGCATGCCTTCCTCTTAGCACGTTTCTCCCTTTCAATCCTGAGTTTGTGACACCTTTGGAAAATGCTGTTCTCCAATTGGACCACTCGCAGGCCAGTGTTTTCGTGTAGTCAGTGTTTATGCTACATTTTTTTAGATTTGCCTTGAGAGAGTCTTTAAACCTCTTTTGTTGACCACCAGCATTGCGCTTTCCATTTTTAAGTTCGGAATAGAGTAGTTGCTTTGGAAGATGATAATCAGGCATTGGCACAACATGACCAGTCCAATGAAGTTAATGCTGAAGAATCATTGCTTTGACACTGGTGATCTTTGCTTCTTCCAGGACACTGGCATCAGTTCACCTGTCTTCCCAAGGGATGTGTCACATTCACACCATACATTAAAAGCTATTTGAAACCACTTTAAGCAGCAATGTCTCCCCACCTCAAGACTTCTGGGAATAGTATTGTGTTACAGGTGCTGCGAGTTGTTAGGCAACCCCTATTTGCCTCACAGAGCTGCCATTCCCTGAGTGGTTTAACAATCAATCCCTCTTCCCAGGGAACGGTGAAAAATGCATGGACTTGTCCTAAAAGTGTACATAGATTCATACATACTGGTCCCCCCAAACTGCTTCCTCCACTTCTCATCAGCCCCAGGCAGCATACAGTTCATTTTTCATTTTTTTTGTTTTGTTTTCTGAAATATATTTTTTTAAACATTTTTTTCCAATTCGGAATGGATATCCTCCCAGAACACCTCGATTTCTTTACATTGCCACCACATGTGATATAGATTACCTGGTTTTTCTTTACACCTCCAATAATTGCTTGGTACACTTTTATACATTTTGGAGAGCTTCCAAGGGGTTATATACCACCGATGCTGCATTTTAAGGAAGTTCTCTCTTAAAGAGTGAGTAACAAGCTGTAAATTTCCAATCTGTTTTCGACAGATGTTCCCACTGTCTCATGGTTATCTTGTACCCAAAGTCTTGCGCCCATTTAACCATGGCTGCAGTGACCTCCTCCTCCTTCCCAGTCAAGGAGGAGTCGGTATGCTTTGGAGAGTGTTTTAGATTTAGAATTTACTACATCGGCTTCGAATCTGGAAGTCTCTCTGGCGAAACCTTTTTGTTTGTCTATTTTGAATGTCTTGTATAATTGGTGATATTGAAACCAGTCCGTTATTGTTTTCAATTCCAGAGCAAATTGCACAGTTAGCTGCTAACTTGAGGAAGCCCCTCGCTCCTGGAATGACGGGGCGGCCCGGGCCTGCTGGTCCCCCAGGCCCTCCCGGGGCAACGGGAATTATTGGGCACCCTGGAGCTCGTGGCCCACCCGGCTACCGAGGACCACCAGGAGACCTAGGAGATCCTGGTCCTAGAGGTGAGTCAGATTGACACCGGAAGCAGGCCAGCGAGTGCCAGCGAAAGACCGCAAACTCGGTCCTGTGCCTGCCTGTTTGGAAATAAACACCTCTGAGTTGAGTGGGGCTTGCTTCCCAGGTTTGCAGCTTGTATCAAGTTGGGTGCTTCCCAAATGATGTGGGAATCTACCAATTTATGAAGACAACCATATGTGCTCCCAGTGGATAAACTGAAGGACGGTCACGGGTGGAAATGCAGTGTTCAGGCTTGCATATGTTTGCAAGAGTAGAGCTCTGGGAGTAAGGCAATACTACAAATGCCTCATTTCTTGTTTATAGACTGCTTTTCTGCCCAGTGCCTCCAATGCATCATTCAACATAGCTTATCTTAATAAAAGCGCTTAAAGGTTTTTGTTGATTAAGCAGCGTATGAAACTTGCCCGATAAAATAATATAGCAGACAAGTGCATCAGTAGTGAGAAACTTCTAGCCCAGTGTTTCCCAAACTTGGATCTCCATATGTTGTTGGACCACTACTCAACTGAAGTCGTTTATGCTTTTGTTACCACACTGTAGGTGACCATGGTGAGAGGGGAGACAAAGGTGCCATGGGGAAAGGTGTTGACGGACCAGATGGAGATCAAGGACCTCAAGGTAAGTTGACCGGGTGCTGATATAACTGTGTACTCCCCACTTCCCTGAGCCGTGAGAAGTAAGCAAGGGAAGCACATCTTAGGTTTGATTTACCTTGGAGGAGAGAATACTGATTTGCCTCTGAATATATCTTTTTAAGTGGGACGCGGGTGGCGCTGTGGGTAAAACCTCAGTGCCTAGGACTTGCCGATCGTATGGTTGGCGGTTCGAATCCCCACGGCGGGGTGAGCTCCTGTCATTCGGTTCCAGCTCCTGCCCACCTAGCAGTTCGAAAGCACCTTTAAGTGCAAGTAGATAAATAGTGACCACTTTATAGCGGGAAGGTAAATGGCGTTTCCGTGTGCTGCGCTGGTGCTGGCTCGCCAGCTGCAGCTTCGTCACGCTGGCCACGTGACCCGGAAGTGTCTTCGGACAGCGCTGGCTCCCGGCCTCTTAAGCGAGATGAGCGCGCAACCCTAGAGTCGGACACGACTGGCCCGTACGGGCAGGGGTACCTTTACCTTTACCTTTTTATATCTTTTTAAAACACTAAAAACAGCTGCCAGGGGCCGATGACTCTGCTCAACATTGTTGTATATAGGGATGGTTCTTTTTAAAAACTGTTTCCCACCTTCTGCTGCTATTTGCAATGGGAGGCGGGAACTGCCCATTGATGCCAATGAGAGCTTCCCTCCTGATGCAAACAGCAGCTTTTGGGGGGGGGTGTTTTCACATGGACTGCAATGTAGGAAGGTTTCTATTTATTTTATAATAAATCTATCTTCTGTCATGGAACTCAGGGTGGCGTACATGTGGTTTTCGGGAAGTTACCCATCTAAGCAAGCACTATTTTTTGCAACCAATAATTTTATCCAGGAGAAAGTGCAGAATATCATGCCGAACCTTTATCTCTTTCCCCCTGAAAAGGTCCGCCGGGTGTCCCAGGGACTAGTAAAGATGGCCGGGATGGCTCTCCTGGTGAACCTGGGTTGCCAGGGGATCCTGGAAGACCAGGTGCAATTGGAGTCCAGGGAACTCCAGGAATCTGTGATACATCTGCCTGCATGGGAGCTGTCGCTGGAGGAAAATCCAAAAAGTCATAAAACTGCATTTAATGGAAGTCAGAAAAAGGGTACGGAGTATTTAAGCAAATTGTTCATACGTGAAGAGGAAACCACCCTTTGAAAAATTTGGAGGGGCAGTTCTCCTGTAAGAATGAATGAAATGGAGACTTTGTTTTAGTTCAATGAAACAGGAAATCGTCAGATGGAAATTTGTACTATATCCCCTACAGTTGTTCCCCAATTTTCACTACATTGTTGTTTGCTCCTTGCCCCACTGAAGAGAGACTCCCCCACTTATTCTGATGTAAGAGGTGTTTTCCCCAGCACCACCACAAATCAACTGGACTGTGTTTTATGCAATTTTTAGGATGGCTCGAACCTGCGCCAGTTTATGTTAATGGTAAACTCTGCTCCAACCTTATTATGTGTGAGCGCTGAGGCCAGGGCTGCAGAGGGATAACGCTGGTCAGAAAAACGAGAGCCACAATTATCTAGCCAGGGCTATGCACACACAGCCTCATCACTTGACCAGGAACAACTCCATCCAGCTAAGTTGGCATGCCTCGTTGGACTGTGTCAAGTAAATGTAGAAGTAGTGGGCTAAATAAACATTATTCAGATAGAACTATTGACAACCCTGATTGGTCATACGATGGACACAATCCAAAGAGCCCCTCTATATGCGCACACCAGAGTTTTCCTAAGGCGGATCTCTATACTGTGTCAGAAGTCTCTTCTGAAGATCCTCCCAGTTTTCAAGGGTGGTTTGTCCCAGCAGCACAGGGAACAGTCTCTGCAAAACGGGAACCACAAATGCATTGCAGTACACAGAGCTTGCCAAATGGCCTTATCTCTTAGATATGTACCACAAGTAAATTTTTTCCAATAAATTCTATATGAGGTAGAATGTATATCTCTCTTACATTGGGTTAATTTCAGACATTTCCATATTATATTTAGTAATGACATTTTACATTACAGATGAACACTGCCCAAAATTAGTATATGCATTATTGTAATTTTTTTTTAAGAAAAAAAAAATCACTTTTTTTGTAACATTGTGTTTGCCTGTTTTATAATAGGCTTGTTTTGTTAATACTTTTATTTTTCCCCTTGCTGATTGGAAATAAAGGTGCTACACAAATGTGAATATCCGTGATTTAAACAGTATTTATTTTGGGATGAGTTCTGTATAAGAAATACTTACTGGCATCATCTGTTTGATAGATAAATGAAGCCACTTTCAATTCAATAAATATACTATTTCTCAAATGCTTCAGCTTTCCTAACACATACTGCTAATACTAGTCTTTTTTAAAAAAGAAAATATTATGTGCACTTAAAAATCATGTACTGTTTACAAAATACCACTTTTGCACTGAAATCATGCAATTATCTGGATTTTTTTTCCATATGGAAGCCCAATTGAAATAAATCAGATTTGCACCAGAGCACACAGCTGTATTTCTCCTGTTCATTTCAGTGGGTATTTGTGCAGCAGATAATTCCTTGACTGTATCCTGCACTAAAAATCGTTGGAGAATGCAAAACATATTTTAAATAGTAGTGTATTTATAACACAGTCAAAAAGCTTTTTCTATATATTTTAGTTTCACAGGTATGAACATTTTGAAATGGAAGGCAAATCTCAGTTACTATATACAAGCTACTATATTTTATATAATTTATAAACTATTTACATTTCTTCTTCTTCCAAACTGGTTGTTATGACATTCTAATAATTATCTATATCAGTACAAGTGTGTACAAGGTTGAAAAGAACAAGCTGCTGTTTGACACATCTGAATTATTATACTTGGCAAACAAACAAACAAAAATATAGAAAGTGGGTTACTAGCTTGTACTGCTGTTTTCTACTTCCCTCTGGTGCAACACTTTTCTTAGGGCAGCACTAATAAATAAATGTTGGTGTCTTGCTTTTCTTCTTTGTTTGGAATAAAGTGTGTCATTTCTTTAACGCTTATATATTTTTCAAAGTACAGTAAGTCACAAGAGAAGTTCAGCAGGTGAATTTGAATTAGAAGTTCATACAAATCCTTGCATGTTCACCCTTTACACCAGTTTTTGACTATAGAGAGCCAACTATTTTATCTCCATAGGTGTGCCATTCTGAGTAATCTCCTGTGTCGAGCACGTTGCTAGTGAATCGGATCTTGTTAACTTTAGTCGTCTGCCTGTTTTACCACAGAACACGGTCTCAAATTCCTAAAAAGCAAACACAGAGAATAATTACGATATGGACTTGTGAAAGAGCAAACCTTGGGAAAAGTGTGCGCACACAGCTATCCCTAAAGGAAAGAAGTTATTAAGCAACTTTTAGCTTATCCTAGCAAACTTTTGAAGGTATTTAAAAAACAAAACACGCAGAGTTGCAGCACAGGAGCTGCCATTTATTTTATTTCAGAGTGGAGCAGCTCCAGAAATAAAAAGCTGCCCTTCCATTATTGTCAGCACAATATCTGGTGTCCAGATGGAGCTATTTAACCTGGGGGGAGACAACTGAAGTGAAAATACTAGGTGGGTATTGCTTGCAATATAGTACTTCCAAAACGTTGAGAGCATGTTCAAATAATATTTAATAATAGATATATAAGGCTTAGATTTCCATACAACAATCTTGTGATGTATGACAGGATTATTTTCATCCTCATTTTTCAAATGAACGGGGTAGTTAAAGGCTGAGGCTGAGGCTGAAGCCTGCTTAAGATCATGGGCCACTGAAGATGTGTGTTCCTGTATCCACTGAAGTAAATGGTCAAGCAAAGTACCTATCATGATTCCACGTGGCATTTTGTTATTGCTTTAATGCATTTTGTTCTGCGCATTTATGTGAAACTTACTGACCTTTTTTAGAGAATCCCCATGTCGTTCCTGAATATATTTTAGAAATGCTGTTGTCCATTGTAAAGTTGTTGCCTTGTCAGTATCCGAAGTGCAAAATGGAACCAGAAGATTAAGTTCATCGCAACAAATCCTGATTCTGCGCCTAGAATTGCATACAACATGGAGAGTTCTAGTAGTGCTTGAAACGGTAACATGAAACATTTATTAATTAGGTGCAGCAACTTAGAAACCAATTATTTGATGAAGATAGTGGCAAAGCATCAGTCGCACATGAGGATCCTTAAAATCATGAGGATCCTTATAATCAATCCTAAGTTTTCTGGTTATAGGATGCGAGCCTGTAAGGTTTGTATTAAAATTTTGCAAATATTTATACAGTTGACTGTGATTGAATCCACATAAGAATATAAATAACATAAAGCCTCCTAGATCAGGCCCATCTAGTCCAGCATCTGTTCTCTCTGTGGCCAACCAGATGCCTGAGAGAAACCCGTAAGCAGGAACTGAGTGCAACAGCAACACCTTTCCTTCAGTTTCCAGCAACTGGTATTCAGAGGCAGTGGAAGCCTCAGACAGTGGAAATAACAGCTAATATCTTAATTTAGTTACTTTCCTCCTCCCTTTCCATACTCCACCCACTCCGTTTTTACAGTATCTGGAGTATGAGCCACTATTTAATATATGTTCTATTGTACACTGGCAGAAAGGCAGTATAAAGGTAAAGGTAAAGGGACCCCTGACCATTAGGTCCAGTCGTGGCCAACTCTGGGGTTGCGGCGCTCATCTCGCTTTATTGGCCAAGGGAGCCAGCGTACAGCTTCCGGGTCATGTGGCCAGCATGACAAAGCCGCTTCTGGCGAACCAGAGCAGCACACGGATACACCGTTTCCTTCCCGCCTGAGCGGTACCTATTTATCTACTTGCACTTTGACGTGCTTTCGAACTGCTAGGTTGGCAGGAGCAGGGACTGAGCAATGGGAGCTCACCATCAGTGTCATAAATATCCAGATATATGACATTGTGGCATGTAAATCAACACCAAATTAATGCTGAAACAAATTCATTTGTATAGACCTGATAACTTAAGAACCAAACACAAAAGGTGTTCTTTTGAGAGGCCACCACTAGCAATTACCTTCTGTCTCTTTCCATCCGGTTATGTCTCTCCCGACGCTGAGACACACCACCTTGAGTTCCACTTTGTGTGCTCTGTGTTGGTTGTGTTGCTTGCCAAGTACTATGAGCTGGGCCAGCGTTTTGGGTATCACACACATTCTGAATATCACCAAGAGGTTTGCGCTGCACATTGGTGTCCAAGGGATGTATTCGACTACGACTTCTTTTGTTTATTGTTTGCTTACATATAGCATCTCCTTTGCAAAATAAGAGGAAAAAGAAATGTGTTGCCATTTTTCTTTTCTTTTTTTGCCATAAGTAAATTGTATGGTTGAACTGAAATTTCACCTTGTATCAAGCTCACCTTTGGTTTACTGCTTCTAAGGCTGTCCACCACTAAAATAATTGTTGTGGATCAGTAATCAGTTGCTTTTTACATGTAAATAACCCTTAAATAATAATGCAGCTTAGCAAAGACATCAGTACAGCTATTGAAGGAAATATGAGAGACCTCGCACAATTAAATAAACAAACGCTGCCTGTCGTTGTTGTTCCCTATTTTACTACCGCACCAGAACCAAAGTAACCTTAAAGATAAACAAGTGGGCATTTTATCTCTTAGCACTCCTGCTAATTAAAATTTACCCCACTGTTTAAATTAATCCCTATGATTAGTAAACTAAGACCTTAGTTAATGGCTATACTTGCTTAACATGGCAGTGGAAACGTTTCTATGTAACGCAGCACAGCAAATGCCATGAGAAGGTACATACATAGGTTGGCCCCAGGCTCTCTGCTTCAGAGTCTCAAAGGTCTAGAACCTGCAGCACCCATCACAGCTGGATCTCAGAAAAGGCAGCAAAAGGCTGGCCAAGGATTTGTTTGCCAGTTTCTCTCTGGAGCTCTGTGTTACTTCCTCCAGTTCTGTTACTTCATCCAAGGGCACGCATAGCACTAAAAACCCCATTTCACCCAACCTCAAAACCACCCCATGCAAAAGATAATTGTCACATGGGCTTCCTCCTAGCTTCCAAGACAGCTAAGCAGCCTTAAATGCTTGGCGAATGCATTTTTATTAAGCATATTATCAAACAGAAGCATGATACTTTGATTACTCTTCTCTGAAAAAAAGCTAACTTAAGAAATCAGAATGAATTACTTGAACAACAAATCAGAATGAATTACTTGGCAACAAACAGTCAAAATTCAGCAATTTACCTCCTAATTTAATCCAAACATGTTCAGGCAGTGCCTTATTTCTAGGCCCAACAGTCTGTTTTGTAGCCTCAATTTCCTGCTGGTAACAAATAGAAAAAGCTCGAGGTAACCCAAGATCTTGATGTTTGGCTGTTTCCAGAACAGAGGCTCCAGAGCTCTAAAAGAAAATGTATGTATCAGTATGAAATGAAGCCAACTGTAAATCATGTTGGCCATCCTCCCCTTTTATTGAACAATACAGGCATTGTAGTCCTAAAGTTGCATTGGTGCTGCTCCTGCTAAGCTTCTCCTTCCACCATCCAATGACTCCACATACAGTGGTACCTCGGGTTAAGAACTTAATTCGTTCTGGAGGTCCATTCTTAACCTGAAACTGTTCTTAACCTGAAGCACCACTTTAGCTAATGGGGCCTCCTGCTGCTGCCGCCGCGCCGCCGCTGCACGATTTCTGTTCTCATCCTGAAGCAAAGTTCTTAACCCGAGGTACTATTTCTGGGTTAGCGGAGTCTGTAACCTGAAGCGTCTGTAACCCGAGGTACCACTGTACTCAGAAAATTCTCATCTAGTGCAGCCCAAGAACTGCCTATTCCAATCTTGAGTTTGGATTTGCTGCTAGTCATGGAATGGTTAATTGTAATGAAATGGTTAATTTTAATGAAATTCTAACCCACTTACCTGAGAGTAAGCACCACTGAATTAAATAGATCTTACTTCTGAGTAGGCATGGTTAGGATTGCCCTTTCAGTCATGAAGTTGTTAATTTTAACTACAATTGGCCCTCTCATTTACTGGGGGCAGAATTCTACTACTTTGTCCTCTCTGTGCAAGGTGACGATCTTTCCTCTCCTCTCCCAAGCACACCCCATGCCTTCTCTAAAACTGCTCTGGAAGGTTGTGGGAACCCCTAAAATAGATTTAGGGGTTCATAGGGTGAGGGCAGAAATTCCATTGCACTAGAAGTAAACCTTGTGCTGATCAGACCCTGGATCACATTCCTTATAGTTATAATGTAGCTCTAGATATTGGATGATGCTCATATTTTTGTTATATTAGCTCTAGGCTAGGCATTGCAATAATTTTTGAAATTTATAAAGCCCTGTTCAATGAATAAAGTGCTTTACAATTTGTATCTCATTGCTAATACAATCTGGCATGTAGACTTCAGCTTTGTCTCTCATCCTAATATAAATACCATTTATGATTCTTAGGCTATTACCACTGCCAACTTCACAAAGTATTATAGTAAGGTATGGGTTTTAAAAGACCGGCAAAGAAATAGTTCATCTGAATAGCTTTCAGTCTCGAAAGGTTTATGTAAGATGCAAATTTCCAATTTTGGGAAGAGAGGGTTGTTCCAAATACTGACAAATCAAAGTGAAAAAGAGCAGTGGGAGTTATAAAAAAATAAGATTACAACTCAAGATAAGTGTCACGATTATAAGAAGGAATTGAAAGAACTTTACAGTAGAAGCTAAAGAATGAAGACAGAGACGTTGAAATGAATTCAAGAACAGATAAGAAGCCATTTTTTTTCTGCTCAAGAAAAACAAGTCTAAAGTCTACTTGGACTAATGGTTCTTCATATCCTGGCCAATGCTAATTAATTTATTTCACCAAATAACATGAAACAAGTGTCAGATAACTCTACAGTTCAAAACTCAGATTGACAATTCTCCTGTTTACTGCATTCTCTTCAGAAGTTTTACTATGACTAATATAAAGCATTGAAACCAAACGGCTGCAATTTAAATAATAATTCAAAAATACCAACCTGTGTTTGTGAAGGGTTTGCATTTCCAGTTACAGGAGAAGCAACATTCGGATTAAACAGTGGGCATGTAAACTGCAATGCAGTAGTCGTAGTAGCAGCAGTCTTATTTTTCACTAATGTGGTAGATTTATTCTGTTGCTGGTGGAGAGGAACACCCATCACTTCTGAAGGATGGCGAATTAGAGTTACTAAACTATAAAAGGAGTGAATAAACAAAGGCACTTATTTGAAATAATTGGATTAGAATAGCCATTTTGCTGCATAATCTTCCACATCAGTAGACAACCCAGTATAGGTTCAGAATTCTAATATAACCCATCTCAAACATATATTTTAACATATAAACTAATGATTCAGGCATGGGGAACCTACAGCCTTTCTGATGTACATGGACTACAAATCCCATCATCCCTGACCACTGGTCATGCTGGCTGGGGCTAATGGGAGTTGGAGCTGAGCGAAGACAAAAAGTAGCCTGTATTCTAAACAGCAGGATACTCTCTTGCTGTTTACAGCAGCAGCGGCAGCATTCTTCATTCTCTGCATTCCTCCTTTCAAGCTGCAACCTTGGAGGATAAAAAGGGGAGGATGGGAAAAGACTTTATGAGCCACCCACACACTTCTTTGCACCTCTGATGCGCAAAGCCCTTTGCAATCCTCTCCCCTTCTCCTCTGCACCCATGATGTTAGAGGTGCAACAGGGATAGGGGGTAGGATTGCAAAGGGCTTTCATAGCCTCCAAGCACAGCTGCCTTCCATCTCCTATGTCAAAGGTAGAAAGCATCTGTGTGGGGCAGCTTCCAGGAGCAACGCTGGGAGAAGCGGTTTCCACTGGATGGAAACCATGTGCCTGTCCTCAAGCAAAGAGCTCAGCTCTCCTAAGATCTTCCCCTTTCCGCCTCATGTTGCTGGCACAGCCAGGTGGGATGATGAGTTGGCCTGGCAGGCAAAGGAAGGAGGCCAGAAGTAGCAGCAGGTCAGGCTGAAGATCTGCTGCTGCTTTATCCAGGCCAACTTCATTTTAATTGGTGGCAACAGCAGCAGACTAGAAGATCTTACCATGCTTCTAATCAGCCATGGCAGAAGCAGAAGATCCCCAAGTTGGAGTGGCACCAACTAGCCTGGGGCTCTGGATCATGGGAGCAAGAACCCCACAGCTGCCAAGTGGAGGAGCCAGCAGAGCAGGGAAGCTCCTGGGGAACTGCTACAGCCTGTTCTGGCTGTCCCTCTGAAGCTTGCCTGGGCCACCCATCCACCACCTTTTTCGCACTATAGTTCACAGCACCACCTGTCTGTGGCCAGATGAACTGCAGTGTGATGAAACGTTTGCATTTTTATTATATGTAAAGAAAGGACACATCATACACCTGGGCTGCCTGCAGCTCCCTGTTGTGTAGCAAACCCAGCTTTGCTGGCACATGGTATGGAGTGGCTCTTGGGTACATGGACAGGAAGTCTGGGTTGGATGACTTGCAATGCTGTGATATATGGTAGCAATCGCTGGTGGGATTGCAACTGTAAGTTCAGCATTATGGGCTTACTTCATGGGCACTCAGAATTTAGGGTTATTGTAAAAAGAAAAGTGCAGTATAAATCCACCAGCCAAGGCTTGGCTTTAACCATGTTCATCAAATGATGCCAGTCACAAATAAATAAAAGAAGCAAGTTGCTGGAAAAGTTGCACACTGCAGTTTTTAGAGTGCGAGTATGCTGATGGATCCATCCACAGGTGGATAATGTAATGACACTGAAATCTTAAAATCTACAGTTTGATATAGAATTGATACAGAATCAAAGAATTGGAGGGGGCCTTGTAGACCACCTGGTCTAGAGTGGCAACTTATGAATTGCCAAAAGGATGAAATACACCACCACAATAGAGGAGAACAGATTTGCCCATAAGTTGCATGTTTTAATTTATATGCAAAAATGCAAATTTAGAAATAATTACCACAATTTCAATACAAATGCAATCTTTATATGAAAATCTCACAAAACAGTGACTAGGTGTCTTGTGTGCCTGCTTAGTCTGTTTCCAGTTGCTACTGATGCAGAACTTCAAGACCTCTGCTTTCCTTTCTAATGCTTATTTATAATTAAACTCATTTGAACCAGAAGCCCTTCAAACAGAAGACTTCACTCAGTACACATGACCCTCCTACTCTGGTATAATCCCCCACTTGATACAGGAGATCCAGAGCTAGAGCTTCCTCAAAAGTAAAAGTAATTGGCATTTTGCCACAGCTTGCACTCTAGTGGTGTTCGTATAGCAGCAAAACTGAAAGTGCAGGAGATAAAAAAATCATGTAGATCCAAAGAACTTGAGGAACATCCCAAAAGCTTACATATACGCTATAGTGTGGCTCAGTTTAAATGCTAGTTTTTCTAACATCAGGTAAGATCTAGGATGCACACATGATATAGTCAAGGAATATTGGAGACAGGTCTAAAATCACTTACTACCAATTACTCTTGCCTATCCACCCCTTTGTATATATGTATCAAACGGTGAATCCACACAATTTTAATTGATAGAAATCAGAACTTACAGATTGGAATTATTTCTTATTAATAAATGCAAAGCATCTTGGGTATGCACCCTAGTATTTCTAATGTTCGATTGACAGAGGCCACAGTTAATATACATGATTAAGCTGAGATTAAAGGAAATAAAAATGTAACACACTTGTTAATGGCTACTCCAGTTTCCTGGGTTTCTTGACATCTGGGAAGTTCAGCCTGGATACTGTTGAATCTGTCTTCCAATCGAACACGGACTGCAGATTTGGCTCTGGATTCAAGAATTGGTGCTGAATTTTCCACAGGCAAATTTTCTTTATTTAGCCCACCCAAGTTTTCACTATGTTTGGCTTTAACTGAACTCTGCCCAGTCATCTCCACAGAGCTACTATTAGGAGTTTTTTCAGCTTGGTTTGGAGGGATGCTAGACTCACTGAGCAACATCATTCTTAGCTCCTGGAAGTCAATGTGCCCTAGACACTGATTAGGACCCATGAAATTACTGTCAGAGGCTAAACCAGACTGACAGATAATGGGATAAAGCGACTGGTTTCCAGAACTGTTTGATGAAAAGCCACTTAGACTGTTACTAGATGATGACAGGTATTGTGATTGATTTGCAGGATTGTTAGTGGAGAAGGAACTTGAATTCAGCCTATTTTCTGCTTCATTTTCATTTGCTTGCGCCTCCATATGGGAATAGAGTATGTGCTGAAGTTGTGTGTATTCTATTTCTGTCATTTCCACCAGGCTGAGATCCGTGGTGGTGAAGCTCAGGTTTTGCTCACCAAAAGAGGAATCTGCTGGGCCTTCAGCAGCAGAAGCAGTAGAAGTTGGATCTGTAACCACAGCCCGAGGGTTGGAAGTTTCCGACACCTTGGAGGTTGTGTCTGACATGATACTGGCGAATACCAATGTCTCAAAGTCTTCAGAAAGCTGGATGTACAGGGAGTAAACACCACCAGCTTGGTGCAGCAAAACTTTGCAAATAATAGGTGCAATCAGGAGCTAGTGCTTTTAAAGATGTGCTGATTAGCCTGCACAAAACAGTTGTTGCATTGCCTTATGCTTCCATTACTTCCTCGGGACATTAACTTTCCCAATTCTTGACAGCACTATCACCAGCTAAAAAACATCGATGGCATCCAAAGCATATGAGTGGCTCAATGTTTTTTAAAAATTGAAACATTACATTCTCCAAAAAGTGCCTGAAATTAAAAGCTGCCAAATGAAATATCCAATCCTCCCTTGGGATGTGTGTGTGGATGGGTTTGGGGGAGGGAAAGGGAGTCCTAGTCCTTTTTTAAAAGGAGCACAGGGTACTTCAAAACCCAGAGCCAAAAAGTGAAAGCACAAGAGAATTGCACACCACCTTTTAAAAATGCATAATATAATATTTTTAAAAACAATTAGAGGGTGTCTTCAGCCCCTGGCAATCAAACTTTTCAAAGGGAAAGAGGGACTGAGCCCCTTCTGAATGAGACCCCCCCCTCTTCTCCAGTGGCAGGTGAAGCATGCAATCAAAGCTCCTTTCTGGGGGTGGGATGCGAATTGGGGAGGAAACCTGGCCAGCTCCAGGCAGGTAACCAATGCCGTCAGCCTCCCCACCTGCCCACCTCTGAGGGCAGGCCCAAACCAGGTAACCAAGCACCCCCTTAGCAACCGACGGGAGGGCGGCCCCGCCCACCACCCGCCTCTCAGCCCTCGCGCCCGCCTCCAAACGGCCCCTGGGCTCCCCGAAGGGGGCCGAAGCCCCGCCTCCCCAAACTTCCCCGCCAACGGCCAAAACCGCGGAGGGGAGGGGCGTTGGGAAGCCCCGCCCGCGCCTCGTTGGAGGCCGAGGGAGCAACGGTTGCGCCAGCTCCCTCAGCCAGTGCCTTTGGGGATGGGAGGGGGTTCAACTGTCGCCTGCCATGTCTTGCACCTCACGGTCTCTGCTCTCCATACACACACCCCCAAACGACAAAACAAAAAAATCCCTCCACGTTATTCCCTGCCGTAGGAAGCGAATTGCCCCATCACAAACTTGCGTGTAATGGACGGGGGGGGGGTTAAACCCCTCAACAAAAGTGGCCCCCGCCGCCGTCGTTATAAAGCTTCTGCCACAATATGGCGCCTCACGGGCCGCAGGTTCTTCTTCGCCTGCGAAGAATGAATAGGGAGGCGGCATTCGCCTCATTCCCTCAGTGTTTCGTTTCCTTAAGCGGCTGCGAGGTACTTACTCCCCGGTAACGCTACGTGTGGAGGCTGCCAGTCGCGGTTGTTACTTCCGTTATTTGGGGGGCTTGGAGGCCGGACTCGAGTCCTGCTGCTCCTCTCGAGTAGGCCCGTTGGAAGCCAAGGGACGTGAGGCGTTCGGGAGCCGAAGCTTCTTGCCCCGTCGGCTTCGGTGGGCCTGTCCCTTAAGCATGAGGGGCTCAAGCCGGTCCATGCCTACTCGGAAGTAAGCGCCGCTGAATCCTGCGGGGCTTGCTCCTAGGTAAAGGGGCTCCTTGGAGAGATGCTGGGCGCAGCAGCAGCAGCATCTCTCCAAGGGCAAGATCCGCTTGGATCGTTGATCCAGAGCATCCCGCTCCACATTGGGCAACACAACAGATTTTAAAAAAATTAAATAAATACCGCATAAAGCGGTATAGAAATCACATCAAATCATAAATTATCCTCCGCGTTTCCGAGAAGGATATACAGTACAGTGAAAAATTTAAAAAAAATCATGAATGCCGTTGCGTTCAATTGCAAAGGCTGGTTTCCTTCTGCACAATTATTTGCACATCTGTTCAGAAAATGGGATTAAACTCCCGGGATTGTAAACCCTAATTTGCAAAAGTCCGGCTACACATACACTTTTTTTTTAAATCACATATTGCACCCTCCTCTGAACCATAACACATTTAAATATGAGTTTTGTTTTGCTTAATTGCTTTGAGTATTAAAAAAAAAATTCGTTGCGTTTTGCTAGTTTGGGCTGGTCCTGAATCTCTAGGATAAAAGCCAAGAACAGTTCAAACTCATTAAGAGAGTTTTGAAATATTAAGCGGTATACAGCATAAATGCTTCTAAATAAATATATGCCTTACCATTTATATTTACATAATTGTTACTTTTAAATGTCAAACTTCTGGAAGAGGCAACTGTTCCACAATGGGGAAATGTTCCTTAAGCTAAATTCTTTTCTCTTAAGTACCTATCTCCAAAAGAAATCACCTTTCCCCTTAGGTTTTCCTAGCCTAACTTTACAGTCGTTGCAAAAATAAAAGAACAATTTCCTCTCAGGACTTCCGTGTATTATAGAATATATTGCTGACATAATGCTGTCAGCTGCATCAAATTCTTTTGCTGGCTATCTCACTGGGCTGTTTTGAAGATTTTTTATTTTATGGATTTTTGCGGCTTCTGCAAGTACATGGATAGCTCCGCTGTTTCTTGGTGACTCCATTTGGACAACAGTCCTATCCATACTTTCCCACCAAAGCTTGCTATAGTGATGGCTGGGTGGAAAGGTAAGTTCTAGCTTGCTGCAGTATCGCAAGACCTAATACTTGACAATTTGCAGGTGAATATGTGAATTGCCACTATTAAAATGTATTTGCCATAATTTCAGCTGCTATAGTGTCCTGATGCATTCAGGAAAATTCAGGCACCTATGGCATGGGCAGGAAATTTGCCACCCAATGCTTTACTGAGTGATAAATGTACAGTGGTACCTCGGGTTACATACGCTTCAGGTTATACTCCGCTAACCCAGAAATTCTATTTTTTTTTTAATGATATTTATTAAAAGTTTAAGAATTACAGAGAAAAGAGAAAAAGAAAACAGCAAAAAATTGACAAAACATACAGTACAATACATAAAAAGAAAAGCATAAAAAACAATACAACAATACAGCAACAAACAAACAACAACAACAAAAAACAATAACATTAAAACACACATCCAATGTTCCATATCTTTATCTTTCATTTACTTGTTTCATCGACCTCCTCACACCTCCCTTTTTGTATTCTAATTTAATTAATTGTTTCAGCAAATTCTTTCCATCTTTCTCAATTTTTTTATATAATTTATCTTAACGATCTAACCTTTTAATTAACTCAACAAATCCTTTCCATCTTTCACTATATTCTGTCATTCAATTTACCTTAATTTATTTAACCTTATCTTACCATAAAAAAACCTTAAAACTTAAAACTTAATACTTATTTGTACATAACTCCTTATATCATTTCTACTAAAGCCAAATAGTTTCATTCCAACAATTTTCCTAATACTCGTTAATTTTACACTAATTCTCAAAATAATTTTTTTTAAAACTTTCTTCCAATCTTCATCCAACGTCTCTTCTTCCTGGTCTCGGGTTTTGTCAGTCCTTCTTGTCCATTCCATCTAGTCCATCAACCTGGTGATCTTATGTCCGAGGCTCTTAAGTCTTTTCCATGTCCCTTCTGCAGATCTTCTTCTTGTTTATACCTGCACTTTACTTTGTCTTTTGTTGATCTTTTTCTTAATTTCTTTCCTTTCTCATTGGGGGGTAGGTCTCGGGAGGACTCCAATCCAAAAATATCTCCATCTCCCCTCAGCAGATCAGCCCATTCCCCACAGTCCCATTCCCCACAGTCAACACTGTAATCCAGGAAGTATTTAAAAGCATGTTTCAAAGTCTTTCCAAAATTAAGAGCCCTCACAACTCCAGACCCCCACCCTGGTCCACTCCAGATTCAAACTTCAAGAACAGCGGCTTATGCTCCTGCAAGGCCTCGGATCTCTCCATTTGTGTTACTTGAGGTTCAACAGCAACCTCCTCCATTATCTTCTGCACTTGCGCTTGCCCTGTCAAAACAAGTTCCTGGGCTGGTTCCTGAATGGTTTCTATATGGGTATTCGCCGTTTGTCCAAAGTTTTTAACTGCAACAGTCATCAAATCCATCTTCTCATGCATCTGCTCCAGCAAAGCGCTTGTCTTGCAAAAAGCAAGCACCAAAACTTCTTCTAAACACATTTTTATTCAAGGTCAGAGTCTGGTCTCACGATCCTAATCTTACAGCTGTGAAATCCCCAGATCGACTCCGGCAACAAATTAACAAGCTCCCTCTAGAGGAGACAATTTCTATTTGTATCCATCTTTTGAAAGCAGGACTCACAAAAGAAAATTACTTTCATTTTTCAAATATTTTGTTTCTTTTGAATGCAAGAAGCAACATTGGAGTCAATTTGTTTCTCTTTTTTTACTATCTGTCAAAAGACGTTCCATTCACAGTCGATGAACTTCCCCATAAATTTCTGTCTCTGACACCCCGTTCCCAGGTTTGAGACGGTGGAAATTTATCTTTCTTTACTCTCTCTCCTGCAGGCTTAAACAGTCAAAAATTCCCCCCCCTTTTCTCCTGCTTCCAAGAGGGGTTTTGGTGGTAATAACTGAAGGAAATTTAGACCTTTATATACGACTTTCCAGACTTTAGCTTACAAAGTTTTTGCTTCAATTTATTTACAAAAACGGGAGGCGGACTTCCTGTTTAGAGCCTTCCCGCTTCAGTGCCAAATTAAAATGTTTCTTAATCCAATTTTCCGTTCTACTCACGGGTACTTGTTTAGAGTCCAATTGTCCACAGGAAAAGGTCAGCGCTCTCCGGCAACGGCTGTGCGGCTTCACTCCGTAAAAGTAGCGGTTGATTCAAAACACCGCGCCACTCACCCCACGTCGCTTCGGATCCCCGAAAAAGGGTTTCCCTGCGAGTAGGGGAGGCGCTCCTGGTGTCAGCCGAATCCCACGTTCCCAGGCTTCCTCCGCCTGGGATTTTTAGAGGGTCTCCGCCTTCGCCGCGGCGGCAAGACCCGATTTTCACGGAGCGGGTTCCTCTCGGTCAGAGGAACTCCGCCATTGCCGATGGCGCTAACCCGGAAGTCCTGCTAACCCAGAAATTCTATCTCGGGTTAAGAACTTTGCTTCAGGATGAGAACAGAAATCGTGCAGCGGCAGCGCGGCGGCAGCAGCAGGAGGCCCCATTAGCTAAAGTGGTGCTTCAGGTTAAGAACAGTTTCAGGTTAAGAATGGACCTCCAGAACGAATTAGCTCTAACCCGGTGTACCACTGTAAGGAGTCATTGGATTTGGGTGGAAGGAGAAGTTTAGCAGGAGCAGCACCAATGAACTTCTGTGACTACACTGCCTGTGCTGTTCAACAAAAGGGGGAGGATGGCCAACATGATTTACAGTTGGTTTCCATTTCATACTGATACATACATTTTCTTAGAGCTCTGGAGCTCATTTGGAAACAGCCAAACATCAAGATCTTAAGAATTTAGCTTTTTCTATTTGTTACCAGCAGGAAATTGAGGCTACAAACAGACTGTTGGGCCTAGAAAACAAGGCACTGCCTGAACATGTTTGACTAAATTAGAGGTAATGTGAATTTGACTGTTTGTTGCCAAGTAATTCATTCTGATTTGTTCAAGTAATTCATTCTTGATTTCTTAAGTTAGCTTTTTTTTCAGAGAAGAGTAATCAGCATCATGCTTGTTTGATCATATGTTTAATAAAAAATGCATTCGCCACATTTAAGGCGAAGGTCTTGAATAGAGGAAGCTTCCATGTGATAAATTATCTTTGCATGGGGTGGTTTTGAGGTTGGGTGAAATGGGGTTTTAGTGCCATGCGCTTGGATGAAGTAAGAACTGAGGAAGTAACACAGAGCTCCAGAGAGAAACTGGCAACAAATCCTTGGCCAGCCTTTGCTGCCTTTTCTGAGATCCAGCTGTGATGGGTGCTGCAGGTCCTAGACCTTTGAGACTCAGCAGAGAGCCTGGGGCCAACCTATGTGCTGTACCTTCATGGCATTTAAGGTGTTGCGTTACATAGAAAATCACTTCCACTGCCATACAAGTATAGCCATTAACTAAGGTCTTAGTTTACTAATCATAGGGATTAATTTAAACAGTAGGGAAATTCTAATTAGCAGGAGTGCTAAGAGACAAAGTGCCCACTTGTTTATCTTTTAAGGTTACTTTGGTTCTGGTGCTAAAGAAAATAGGGAACAACAACGACAGGCAGCGTGGTTTATTTAATTGTGCGAGGTCTCTCATATTTCCTTCAATAGCTGTATTGATGTCTTTGTTGCTGCATTATTATTATGTTATTTACATGTGCAACTGATTACTGATCCACAACAATTATTTAGTGGTGGACAGCCTAGAAGCAGTAAACCATGAGCCATACAAGGTGAAATTTCAGTTCAACCACTAAGTAATGGTGGCAAAAAGTTCTTGCTTGTTCTAAACAGAGGTACTATTTCTGGGTTAGCGGAGTCTGTAACCTGAAGAGTATGTAACCCGAGGTACCACTGTATGTGAAACAGCCCTGCTGCCTGTTTTAATCCTGCATTCCCCTTCTACTAAATAAGAGGTAGCTAGTTCCTGTAAGTCAGCTGTGTTTCATCACTCTTTTGTGCAAGAAAACAAAATGTTTGAAATCTATCACAGAAGAACATATGTATCTTACAGGAGTGGCAGTTTGGCCCCGCGACCATGGGTGCCATGTGGCGTGCATGGCCCTGGCACCAAAACTTGTGGGTGCTCGGGCACCCAGGGAGTTGGCACCTATGGCATGGGTAGGCAAACTAAGGCCCGGAGAGATCACCTAAATCCAGCCTGCGGACGGTCTGGGAATCAGCATGTTTTTACATGAGTAGAATATGTCCTTTTATTTAAAATGCACCTCTGGGTTATTTGTGGGGCCTGCCTGGTGTTTTTACATGAGTAGAATGTGTGCTTTTATTTAAAATGCATCTCTGGGTTATTTGTGGGGCATAGGAATTCGTTCATTTTTTTTTCTCCAAAATATAGTCCGGCCCCCCACAAGGTCTGAGGGACAGTGGACTGGCCCCCTGCTGAAAAAGTTTGCTGACCCCTGACCTATGGTATTTGACCATGCTGTTTTTTTCCAGCCACTCCCATCTCCTTTCCCCTCCCACTTATTTTCAATTTCCCCCTCTAAACAGCCTATTAGCATTCTACATACTCTGCCTCTTTGCACAGCTGTTGTTCTGGCTACATAAATGAGGGTGCTCAGATTTGGAGTAAAAATACAGGACGAATTGTTTGAAGTATTTAGCCTCCTTTATCACTGTGGCAGTTCTGAGCAGACTTTAGGGTCTCTTGAAACCATTGAATTCTTTTAGCTTGCATTCTGTAATCAAAGATCCATATCATATGCCAATGTGTCCCAACTTTGCTCTAAAAACTGTCATTATTATTGGCAGGCAGTGGTGTACCTCCTCCACTTCCCAGCCCAATTTAACCATGTGCTGAGATATTCAGAGCAATATTCCATAGGGTTTGGCTTACACTGTGCTGGAATACTGGAATCTAGATTTTTGTGTGCCACGATTTGACTCACCAAAGTAAACTCCCCATTTTCACACACACACACACCCCGGTAATACAGGAAGGACACCGCTTTAGCTTCTGCACTGAACATGTACATTCAAGGGACAGGATGAGTGGTGTAATCCCATTCCCTTCAACATAAATTCAGCCTAAACTTGGAGCTCTGCATACAGCTCATGTGTGTACCAAATTTCAGTTATTGTTAATGTACAAGTACAATGGTCATGGGGGGGGGTACATTTCACACACCCTCTTTCAATAATAGGTTTACAAATGCCAGCCATCCCCCAGGTGAGGCTTTCCTGGTACAGTATCAGTTTTGTGAGTTACAGGTAGGTAGCCGTGTTGGTCTGCTGTAGTCAAAACAAACAAACAAACAAACAAACAAATTCCTTCCATTAGCACCTTACGAGACCAACTAAGTTTGCTATTGGTATGAGCTTTCATGTGCGCATCTGAAGAAGTGTGCATGCACACAAAAGCTCATACCAATAACAAACTTAATTGGTCTCTAAGGTGCTACTGGAAGGAATTTATTATTATTTTGTTTTGTGAGTGTCTGAAGTACCTTGATCATTCTCAAATATACTTTATGGCTACAGTTTTGTAGAGTAACAATCTTTATCTTTCCAATAAAGAGCACTGGGGGTTGCATCAATTGCTGCATGAGTACAAGGGAAGACCGGGGTTCAGTGTAGTACTGAGAGGCATGACTGCTATACTGACATGCAGATGGAGCACTGAGCATCATGTCACAGGACTGTTTGGCCAACAGCCAACCAAATGACCATACTTTTTTGTTGTTGTTAAACTATTTGAGTGACGTATTCCTCGTTTTACTAAGTGATCTCTGGCTGAAGAGCTCATCTAGTGGTTGCAAAGTCAGCTACCCATTCCTCTTGCATCTTCTCAAAATAGAGATACCCTGTTCTGGAATCAACCATCCAAAGAAACTGAAGCATTAAAGTAGTGTATTTGGATTAATGTGGCAAATTCTGCCATCAGTTCCTATGAAAATTTTGATACAACGGCTTTCTTTAGATGTTTATTTGACTTACAGTAACAAAACCTATGAAGTTCCACATTTAATGTACAGTGATATATTCTGAAATATAAAATACAATTTACAGAAACCCCTTTCAAATAAACCTAAACAAACACTTGATTTTGCATACTTTCATATATATCTAAGTTAGAAACATTTTGAATAGAAAAATTACATCATAGTAGATATTTATGTTCTACACTACCTCTCTCTTTTTAATATTTTGCAAAAGAGTTTTGCATACAGGTCATTGTTTAAATCAGTTTGTCCTTGATGTTTAAAGTGTAAGATGTACCAATATAAAGTGTAAATCTGTAGTGATTTATTTATAGGAGTAGTGCTACTTGAAATGCAGATCTGAAAATGCCAATGTTACGAATCTATTTTTACATTTGCAAAATGTTTATAAAAATATCAAAGTAACTGCTCAACTATAAGTGCATAAATTCAGTTAAACTGGTAGGATTTCCCCCCATGCATTCTTTTGAATTATGAACTTGAAAGATACAGGAAAAGTAATAGTATACTGCATTATTTCACAGTGAAAAGCTCTCCTCTTTAAAGCAGATTTGTTAGTATCAGTTTTACTACTCCATTTTTTACACAAATATTTCTTTCCAATGTTATCAAGATAGCCATGAGTGTGGCAAGAACAGGACTGAGGATGTATTCTAGCCTAATTTAAGCACTTTTAAGCTCCACATATTTCAATGGGGCAATTATTACATACTTAAATGTCTCCCGTTGTTATTAGTAAGACTCAAAGGTACTTAACACAACTTGTCCAAATATTTTCCTTTAAGCACTGGAAAAGTCAAACTGCTTAAATTATCCATATTTATTCTGAACAAAGGATTAGATCTGCAAACTACTCTCTTTTCAGTCAGTCATTTGAACAATTTATAAAATGTTTTCCAATAAGTATGTTTTAAAAGTTTAGTTGCTTTGTATAGAGGTGTCATTAATTTTTAATCAATTACACTTTTTGTACAAATTCAACATTAAAAACCTTAAACTAAACAGGAAATATGGTTACTTACTCAGGCATTTTTTTGTCTTAGTTGAAATCTAACTCAAAATGCCCTCATGTAAAAAGGAAGATAATGAACCTAGAAGCTTAATGTTTATTATTCAAATACTCTGCCAGCTGCTAGAAATACTGCTCCCCAGCAATCTTTCTTTAAATACACAAAATCCTGCCCTAATTAGCTCAGGACAGAAATGTTGGGCTCTCCTGAATGTAGGAACTACTGTACTGAAACACCAAAATACTATATATTTAAGATGTAATGGTATGGCTTCTAAGATATTGTTTAAATTTTCATAAAATTACATTTCAAGTTAGTGGAAAACATAACTTTACATCCATAAAAAGCAATGTGCTCATTGAAGAGAGTTCCCATTTTTACTTCTGTAAATGGAAATTTAAAGACAAAGTAAGTAGGAAAAAAGCAACATTTTAGAACTGTAATGCTATAGGCATTAGTTTTTCTGTGTGGATGGAATATTGGATCCCCTGGTCCCAGACCCCTGGTCTAGCAGGCAGTGCAATGGTCCAAGGCTAGGGGAAAACAGTACTCAGGCACTGTGCCCATGCGGGAAAGGATTGTGCCTTACATATCTTATAGAGGGAGGAGGCGAACAAAATGTAGCAAGTCCAGCATGTACCTGCTTAATATATGAATATATGCATTTACAATCCAAAATCTCATTTGTGAAACAGGTTTTACCAAACTATGCGTAACGATCAGAATATACAATATGTACAAGTAATAAAGAGTCATGTTTTTCTTCCTCATGTGGCTCATTATTGAAGAATTATTATGTTTCTATGTCTGCTTAGCGGAAGAAGCTTCTGCATGTGATGCCCTTTGGCCACCAGTTTGTGTTTCTTGCTTAGAGTCCTTATCGCACTCCTTACTTTTACTCCGGTCCTTGCGATCTCTTGCTCTGTCTTTGTCACGGTCTCTATCTCTTTCTCTATCCCTTTCTCTGTCTCTACTTCGAGCTCGTTCTCTGTCCCTGAATCTGTCATAATCACGGTCTCTGCTTCTTGATCTGTCTCGTCTTCGGTAAGTATCTCCATCTCTGGTTCTGGCTCTCTCTCTGGTTCTTTCCCAGTCTTTCCCCCGTTCTGAATCTCTATCCCTGTCTTTGTTATAGTTTCTCTCTCTGTTTTTATCCCAGTCTTTTTCTTTATGTCTCTCCCATTCCCTTTCTCTCCCCCTATTCCAGTTTCTGCCACGGTCCCTTTCCCAAGCCCAGTTGTGGTCACGATCTCGTCGTCTATCATCTGTTACTCTATTTGATCGATTATCTGACTGATCAGACTGCTCTAGTATTTTTTCCTTATTACCTCCCTCAAATCTCTCTCTTTGTCTCCCTTCAAAAGTCTGAGCTCTATAGTCATTACTTCGGCCATCTCGAAAATCAGATGCTGACCACTGTGCTTCTGTCTCAGAACCCTGCCCTGAAGTATTAGGATGAGAGGCAGGTGGTCCAGTTTCATCCCACATCTCTTTCCTGTGCTGAGGTGGATGACTTGGAAGATCCAAGAGTGGTCTGGGGCTTGGCTTCATACCTTGCTGAGATTGTCCTGGAAAGTTATGTCTATTTGGGGGAGGTTCATTTTTTTCTGGAAATAGACCAGGTGCAGGTCCCCTTGGTCCTCCAAACTGATGTGGTGCTGGACCTCTCTGATTTGGAAACCTGGGTGGTGGGCTCCCTCTCCGTTCTTCAAACGGTGGTGGTAGAAGTCCTCTTGGTCCTGGCATGTGACTTGGAGCAGGTCCTCTTTGTCCTTCAAACTGATTTGGAGGAGGACCTCTTGAACCACCAAAATGGTTAGGTGATGGACCTCTTGGCCCTCCAAACTGAGGTGACGGGCCTCCTCTTTGACCTTTAAATTGATTTGGTGGAGGCCTTCTTGGGTTCCCGAAAGGAAAGGGTGAAGGTCCTCTATTTCCCATAAACTGTGGAGGCTCAGGTCCTTCAAATTGTCCAGGACCACCACTCATCTCATGATATTGGGGATCTGCATATTGGGAATCCCTGTGTTCCATGTGAGGTTCCCTATGCTCTTCAAATTGAGAAGGTGCAATTTCTCTTGGCCCATCAGGAAATGATTGTGAAGGGCCCCTATTATCACCAAAATGTGGTGGTGGTGGTCCATGTTGTGCAGAAAATAAGGAAGGGATAGGTGCTCTTGGGGCTCCAAACCTGTTGGGTGGAGGCCCTCTTTGTCCATCATTATTTGGTAGAGGATTATGCCCTTCAGTAAACTGTTGTGGTAGACCCCTCTGTCCATGGAAATCTGGAGCACCACTCATTAATGGAGGACCGCTTTTGTGCCCAAGAGAAGAAAATGGGGGCCCACCTCTTTCTTCATCATTTTTAATTGTGGGTGACTCCATTTGTTCATAAAAGTGGCAAGGCTGTGGATTTCTTTGGTCTTCATAATGTGATAGACCTCTTTCTGTTTCAAAATGACCAGGAGCTTTCTCCTGAGATGGGAACACTGGGCTTGGGAAAGAATCCCTTGCTACCCCTGGAACATTTTTCTCCTGAGATTCATTTGACCAAGCTACAGACTGAACACTGTTAGGTGAAGAGAAAGTAGGGAGGAAACATGGATTGACAGGGGTGGGTAGCAGTACTTTACGAACAGGTGCAGTTGTAGATGTTTCAATAGAAGCTGGTTTATTTACAGTTTCCTGGTGAACCTGTGGGGCATTTTCAGGGTTGATAGTGGGCACATCTTGTTCAGACATAACAGAACTTTTTTCACTAGTAACCCATGTATCTTTATGACTAGGATGAGGGACAGAAATCAATGTTTTATCTGCTTTGTCAAGTGCAGTTTGCAATGGACCTGCATAGCTGGGTGGAGGAATTTGTACTGTAGGCGATTCTATAACATGCTGCTTTACATTAGAGTCAGCACTTTCATTACACTCTGTTAGAATCCTTCTAGCTTGTCTGGGATCTCTACTTTGTCTAGGATCACTTCCCTGATTTAACAATTGAGTTTGACTTGTGGATGTAGGCAATTCAGATTTTTCAGTAGTTTGTTTTTCATGTTGGAATAGCTCATTTTTTGCTAGAGATGATTTTGGAGGTGGTGACATCAAAGCATCAGAAACTGAAAAATGAGCCATTGATACACCAACAGCTGCTCGTTGTTGCCTGAGGGCTTCTTCTTGTTCTTCCAGCTGTCTTTTCTGTTCTTCTATTTGTTTGTTTAATTCTTCTAACATTTTCTGTTGCTCTACCAAAGATGGTGGAGCAGATACATCGGGCACAAATGAAGATGATGCTGTCAAGGAGTGGCTTTTAGATTCCGAAAACATTTTATTAGGCAAATCATCAACAGTAACCTTTGCCTCTTCTAAGATAGTTTCATCTTCTGGATCATAGGCTTCATCTTCTTGCTCTGAAGTTTCACATCTTTTTTCAAGACCACTTTCACAACTTTGCATTTCAAAAGCTTTCTGTGGAGCATACTCTTCCTCAGGATCATAAGGCCTGTCATCTTCCTCCTCTTCTATAGCTTTGTCTTTCGACATTTGTCCAAATTGCTGCACAATGGGATCAAGTATGGGAGCTGCTGGTAATCCTTCCTCACCAACAGTCTGCATTTCAGTCTGAGCACCTTCAGAATCCTTGGAAACAGGATCAAAAGATTTCTTTTTCCCGAAAAGAGTTTGCAGGATGTGATCAAGTGGTGTGGCTGATTTTGAAGATGAGGAAGCAGTAGAAGATGCAGTAGCTGTGTTAATTCCCAACACAGAAGCACTTGATTGTGCAACAGTGGCTGAGCTTCCAGATTTAATTGATGACAATATTTTTAACGCAGAAGTTGGCTCTGGGGGTGGAGGTGGAGGAGATCCAGGTGGTGTTGTACTGACAATTGTTTCTCCAGTATAGAGAGAGAATTTTGCAGGTTTTTTCTCTTGCTGAGAAGCCATATTGCCTTTAGGGTACGCAGATACTTCAGTTTCTTCCTGCAATTGAATCCTGCTTTTCTTTTCTTCCATCTTTTCAGTTTCCAGTACAGCTGCAGGTCGCTTAGTTTTCTGACAAATTACTAATCCAAGAATTAAGTTTGGACGTGCTGATTCAAGACCTGTAAGACAAAACAAGATTTCATGTAAGATTTTTTTTTTTAAAAAAAATTAAGCTTGAAATCAGTCATTACTAAGATTTGTAACAAACAATGTGAAAAATGTTACAGAACACTATGCATACTCCACTTTATTAATGAATGTAATAATAATTAGCGGAAAACAGAACATTAAAGTAACTATCAGACTGTAACTAAGTCAAAAACTGTATTTTCTTCTCAATATTACTGAGAAACCAATATATGCTTTTATGTAGTAAAACTGGTGATTGTCACTTGATGATGATGATGAAGATGTTCTTATCATCATCCTTAACTTTCTCCCAGACAGATACTCAAGGCTGCTTACAGATAAAATAGAAACAGCTAAAAACTTAGGGGAGGGGGAAACTATTTAATTCACAGCACCAGCCCTTTCCTTAAAAATCAGTACCAAAAGGCCTGTTGGAATAAGAATGGCTTCACCTGCTGGCTGAAAGACAGCAAGGAGGGAGCCAGTCGAACTTCTCTGCGTATGTACATGATGCCTATGAGATTCCTCCATGGATCATGTCACTTATCTACAAAGCACAACCCTTGCAGTACAGTCCTATGCCTACCCACAAGCAAGTCCCATTAAGTCCAATGGTACTTACTCCCAGGTGAGCGTGCATTATTAATTTGTTTATTATCCATCCCACAAGGTCACGTCAGGTTACAGCAATGTAATGCAATATTAATATCAATTTAAAACAAATACAATCAAAATAATAGGGTGGGACCCAAAAATATATATCTCAGGTGTCAAAGGCCAGGGTAAAGAGGTGTGTCTTCATCATGCACCAGAAACTACATTTTTAAAAGATGCTGAATGCATCTCTGTGGAGAAGGAATTATATGCGCATAGCTGCCGCATGGTGCCCTCTCCCAGGCCATCACCACCCTGGGTGGCAGAACTATCAAGAGGGCGCTCTCTGCTAATCTTAACACCCACTTAAGAAATAAGGTGTTTTAGACACTGGGACTTGTAGTTTAGGGCTTTGAACACTAGCATGAGCACCCTGAATTAGGGTAACATGAGTTCTAAATGGAACCCCAGTAATTTGGCTGCTGTATTTTTTAACCAATTAACCTTTCAGAGACTGATTAGATCCTTAATAAAGAGTGGCTCTTATTATTATTAGTTACTTGTGGAATCCTCAAATTTAGGATTCCACAAGTAACTATATAAATTATCAGAGGGTAATAGAAAACTCTGCGTTTTTATGATTTCCAAATAATTAACAAATCAACAGCCAAATGAGTAGGGTGTTTATTATTATTATTATTATTATTATTATTACCACCACCACTACCACCAGTTTTGCCAGTCCTACTTTCAGCAGACATACAAACATCTGATCTTTCTGTAAGTCATATTGATGGTTAACAAAGCACTGCATAATGACTGGGGGAAATACAGAATTACTCAAAGGAGAAATGGAACAGAGGTAATTATGGAATAGACTGCTGAGAGAGAGATCCAGCAATTTCCAGTTTAGTTAAATGTTTCAATAGAGATTTAACCTTACACAGTTAGTATCACTAGGTCAACAAATAGAATATACATACACCTAGGCTTTTACCATTCATACTATTATATATGGAAAACGAGTAACAATAAAGCCCTTGGAAACCACTGTTGTTTTGTTTCATAAGGTTGCGCTTAAGTTTTACATTACTATACATACAACAGAGACTCCAGCCCTAAGAACTGGACAGTCATGTAGATGATGCATTGCTTTTTCTTTCCCCAACTCCAATTTTACTGTCCATTCTGCCCACTTGTGCAAACATTCAGGAATATAGTTAAGAGTATATGAATATTATAGACTTAAGAATAGTTAAATGCCATGATAGCTCACACCCTAATAGGTTACAGTAAAACAGATCAAATATTAAGTAGTCTATTTCAATTTATTAGAAGAGTGCTAAGTAATAAGGATGAAGAATCTCATCTTCTGAGAATAATTTTATTTCCAATTTGCATTAAATGTATTATCATTTGGAGGAAGATAAGGGCAAGTACAATATTCAACTGATGCATTATTTCCAAATTTGTAGTCTTTTTATATCTTAGTTCTGCATTATATCCAATACTTTCATCTAGCAATCCCAGTGATTTAGCCCATCAGATGCCTCCCACAATCACTAAAGTAATAATTACTTTAGTGGCTACTACTCTACATTTTGACAGTCAATGCATTATTTTGATTTTCTCGTTTTAGTTGGTTGTGTTCAATTCTCTTTTGTGTGTGATCTTTAAGTAAAGTTGAAGTACTAACCATTTCCATTACTATTACTTTTTAAGATTTTGATCTTAACACTGATCATGTTTATTAACTTAAGTTGCCCTAAATATATTTAATAGGACAAAACTTCACTTTGTTTCTCTTAAAATGAAGGAAGTTGGCATTTCAGTTGAAAAGTATAAATTGTTTGGCTGTTTAAAATGTAGCATGTGCTCAGAAAGTGTGCTGAATAAGGATAAAAACCAACGACTTAACAAATGTATTGCATGAAATAGGAAAGTACTTTTAGAAGACAAAATGTTTTAGAGCAGCAAAGAATAAATGTAGAATGATCATTACTAATAACTCCACATTTAAAAAAAACATGGTTGTGAAAAATGTTTATTCTGACCTTTAAAAAATTAGTTTGTAATTCCGAAGGAAGCTGTCATTTGCATCCCCTTAACTGTTCTGATTAATTTATCTTCCAGTCCTTTACACAATTACCTGGGAGTAATTCCCATTGAACTCACTGGGCACACTTCTGAGTGACCATGCAGAGAATTGTGCCTAATCTTTCATGGACAATTTGATCAGCTTTTGCCTACTAATCTTACAAAGATCTGTGGTACTCCACATAAACTTTGGTGTTCTCAGAACAATCCACCTACACTTCTGTCAAGCCGTGTTTTCTCCTTCCATCACTTTTTTGACACTCTGAGCAGTTCTACTGTAATGCTGGCATTCAAAAGTGTTGTGTAGTGTTGAGCTAGGCTTACTGGGTTCAAACTATATATACTTATATTGCCCTCAAGTTGGCCAACCCAGTTTTAAAACCAATGGGGATGTAGGTGAGAAGTTACATGGAAATAAAAATGATTTTGCATTAGTTAACTACAATCTCTTGTGCACAGCTAAGAAGTATTAAATAACTGGTTATAAGTAACTAACCTAGTTAATTTAGAAAGGGTGGGCAGAAATGTTTTATAAACCAGCTTATAAATACAAACCCTATAAAATTTAAAACCACTACTTAAGAAAGCAGCTTCTGAGTGGCTGTTTAGCCTCTGTGGATAATGGAAACACGAAGCAAGCCAGGTTACAAGCAATGACTATTGGGGATAATGTGACAAAGAGACTATACTCTTTGTGGAGGCATAATGAGCAACCATGTAAGCCTATTTATTTATTAAAGTTTATCAGTGGCTGCTACATGCCTCAATGGCTCTATTCAACCTCCAGTCAGAGGCATTGTGGCTCTAATTACCAGTTCCTGGGGATCTAAGGTGGACACAGTGCTGTTGTGCTCATGGGTCTAGTTTGCAGACATCCCACAGGCATTTGGTCAGCCCCATTGAGAACATGATGCTGGTCTAGATGGGCCAATGGTCTGATTCAGCAGGTTCATCTTAGGTTCTTATAAGAGCCTAGTTTTAAAAATGAAAGTGCGTACCAACATTTGTTTCTGGAGGAAGGTTAAAAATATTGATTTTTTTAAAAAAAGCTAGTCCTTTTAAAAAAACCACTAGTATTTTTTACTGTACACTATATTCCTACCTAGTTTGATCTGAATATGAATCAGAGGAAAGAATGTAAACTATATTAAAAATATGACCCCTAAGGGAAACTTATCAATTCCTGTCTAGTTGCTGCTGCCCATATTATGAATTCAGGTAAGTATATGGAGGCTTACTGTTTCTAAGAAATTAAGTTTCTAAGAAATTAAGACAGACATCCCATAAACTTTTTAAAAGCCCTGAACGCTTATTTCTTGACATAAAACCAAGAATTTTTATAAAGTAAGTTTTCATAAAAGATTTGTTACCACTGTAGGTGCAAACCAGTGCTGCTCATTAAGCAGCTGTAGGGCTACTTCAGTGATCTTTTTTACAGCCTTCTTTACCTGAACATCAATACAGTCATACCTCGGGTTACAGACGCTTCAGGCTGTGTGTTTTCAGGTTGCGCACCACGCTGAACCCAGAAGTACCACAACGGGTTACTTCTGGGTTTTGGAGCTTGTGCATGCAAAGCATTAAATCGCGCTTTGCGCATGTGCAGAAGCGCTGAATCGCGACCCGCGCGTGTGCTGCAGGTTGCGAACGTGCCTCCTGCACAAATCATGTTCACAACCCGAGCATCCACCGTAATGTCCCTTATTCATAATTGGAATTGACAGCAGTACTAAGACTGGTTTACACAATCGCTCAATGTTAGTTGTGCTCAGCCTGACCAACAAGCGCCGACTATCTAGTAAGCAGTATGATTATTATAGTTGCTTTTGAGTAAAGCAGAAAATGAATTTCAGTTAAAAAAAAAAAAAAAAGGCTATGGGAATGGTGTGGTGCCCTGTAAATATTGCTCTTCTTTGGAGTCACTAATCATTTTGAGCCAGTGAGCAATGTGCATATTGGAAAAGTTGTGGGGAACACACACACACACACACACACACACACACGAGAGAGAATGAGGAGCCAAACATGCACAGGAACCTATTCTGTTGACTAGAATTGAATGCTTTCTTCAAGTCTTAATTCCAGAAGCAGGAAAGGCTCTTGTAGGCACATGTGCACCTGAGAGTCTCATGCTGATGATCCGGACTGCACATAGTATTGTATTATAAATAATGCATCAAAGGTACAAGTGGTGCTTTTTCACTGCGGAGATCCTCCTTCCAATTACCAAGATACTCAATGTTCTTCTTTTAATATTCTTCTAGCTTTGGGCTAGGGAATACCTATTGACTAAAATATTAAGCTTTTGCTGAAAGAAACACCGAGCTTCAATAGTGTATGGAGATGAGTTCTGCAGATATCCACTCCCGATTCCACCACTCAATGATTTCATTTGTAGATTTGAGAACATGCTAACTTCCTTGGGGGGAAAGAGACACTGCCAGTGTTTGAAAATATGTAAGTCAAAATGGTCTGTGGAACAAAATAGAAAATCTTCATCAAGTTTCAGCATAAATGTCTGCAAGTGCTGAAAAGGTTTTTAGTGAATAGAACCTGATTCCAAGAAGGCATGCTTGTTGCAATTGTGGCAGCTGGCATGGGGCCATATACTTGAAGGATCCACCTAGGTTATCCCACCTCCCCTGCCCTGCATTAGTCAGTGTAGGAAAAGAAACAGCCAGATAAGAGACCAAGTGCTTCTTGGACATTCTACTGCTTAGCAGTGTCAGGTATGTGAATCTCACACATGGGACTGATGATGGAGGAGCTGTGATAATTCATGTAGGTTGGAACAATATCACTGCAGATTTCCTTGCGGGGAGTGGGGGCTGGGACAGCCATTCTGATCCATTTCCCATATTTCCGTTCCCCATTACTAATTGAGAAGAAAAAGCAGGTAGCAATGAAGCTTATTTCACCAAACACAGAATGATTTAACTAATTACAACTTTTAACTCCTAAGGTTTAGTGACATTAACATGTTTCAGTTCCAGTACAAATTATGTTTTCTTTTTCTTTCTTGGTTTTGACATCAGCTGGTGTGACTTCTTGTAGAACAGAAGTCTGCCATGCAGCACAGTCATCTAATGGTCCAGGCACAGAAGGGGAATTCACATGATGTACTCCAGCTCCACTATTTATGATCACCACTAGGTGTGTCACAACCATTTCACCTACAACCTCTGTAAACCAAACTTAGTCCTGGGTAAGTCCTATGAAATTGAAGAGGATTAACTTCTAAGTAGATATGTAGAGGATTATACTGTCAAGCATATTGTAGTCTCTATCTTAAACATATCAGAGCAAGCTCTACTGAATAACTGATATCAACTGATACCAAAATGCTTTAGGATATTTGTTTTGTTAAAATATTTTGTCCCAGCCTGGTAAAGCAACAGTCTGAAACCCAGAATTGATCCTGTGATACAGAATATATGTCTCAACTATGTGTGTGAATAACATTTTTAGCAACCTAGCAGGTGTCACTATAAAATAAGACTTATTTTACTAACTAGACCGAGTCCAATACATGGTTACAGCCACTAAAACATCTGAATTGAAAGAGACAATGACCACTTTGCAAAAATACATTTTATTAAGATCATGTAATAAGAGCAGTAAATTTCATTAAAATATATGGATAGCAGATTTTATACCTCTCCCCGTACACGTCCGCGTATACTGAGAACTGAGACAACTTATCCGAAAAGGTTCTAATAGGCTTCATGTATATGACTCACCTCAAAACACACACAGGAAATTATGATTTGGACTGTGTCCTCTATTTTTTTTTAAAAAAAACCTACTGGTAGAAGTATGTGTATGCTGTCATCAAGGAGGATTATGATGGGGGTGCTTTCAAACAAATTTCACATGCTTTCTGAGTTGTCACAACCCTTTAGAAGACTTCTCTTCCCCTGAACATTTAACTAGGCCTTCAGAATCAAGAGCAACGTGGAATCTGAAAAAAATGGTTCAGGCAGTCCATATTTTGAAATTGTGGTTCTTTTTTCAGATTCAAGTGGTTTGAAATAAGGTTCTTTGTTTATAGGATTTTAGAGTGTGCCCTATGTTAGTATGGTTTTCAGACGGTGCTCTAGGGATGCTTGGGTTTATCAAAAGCTTATGCGGAGTTCCTTAAATGACTAGTACGGTTTCAAGGAAGTTAGTTTGCCATAACCAAACCATGAAATGCACAGTTGTGGGGAAGTGTCAGATTTGTTACAACTTCTAAGTTGTAATCTCAGTTCCAACAGGCTGACAGCTATGCCTAACAGGCCTGTAAAATGAGTATGTGCCATAGACTTTTCCTGAGAATCCTCAGCAATATACACAAATGGAAAGGGGTTGAAGTTCAAGATTCAAAGTTACAAGAAATACTACTTTAGATACAAAAGGAGAAAACCTCAATTTTCTCTCCCCTACCCAGTTTGTTTGCCACAAACTAAAGAGACTGGATGAAAGTCTTTTTTTCCAGTCAAAATGGAAATTTCTTGTGATTTATCCTGGAGCCGAAGAGAATTTCCTTACAAGCATATGTGCAGTATTGTGTGGTTATTTATTCAGAAGGACAACATACATAAATAGCAGGGTGACCTCTTAAGAGTGCAGAAGCTCAGGAATATAGTATTGAAATAAACCATACCTTATTTCTAATCAGTTCTGACTAATTAGTATGCAGTATCTGTTTGATTAAAATCTGTTTTAGATAGAAAAACAGCATTCCCTCTAGAAATAAGACAGAGACTGTGGTTCTCTTCCCTGGGGCAACGAATCTATCAGTGTCAAGACAGCTGATGGACTAGTGTGTAACTACAGCTTATTTATGTGTGTGTCTCTTTCAGCTATGAAAGTTTGAGTTCCTTGGGACATTCCTCACACCACTGGGCGAGCTCAGTCCTGAAATCTTGAGATCTTGTGAGTTTTTGATTGTAGGAGTTCAAGCACACCTATAATATAGTCTGCAAATGACAATCTTACCTTTCAACGTCAGTGATGTTCCGTGGGCTTTCTGTGTTTGCTTCTGTTCAAAGATGCTGACCACTTCTGCTCATTTGGAGCATGTCATGTTGCGTACCAACTTAACTAACCTCCCTGTGCCTTTTTAAAAGATAAAAGTTCTTGTAGTTATGTCCCCCAATTTCCCAAACTATGATTTGTATATAGCAGGGACGTCCAACTTCCAATAGGCTGCGATCTATGAAAAAATGGCAGTGAGCTACCCATTGGATTGACCAGAGTTGCTGAGCTTTTGTTGGGAAAGCATCAAAGTTGTTGAGCTTTGGGGGGGAGGGGGGCATGATCCCGCGATCAACCAGGGACATACTGCAATCGACCGGTATATGGTACTTTTCCTTTCTACATTTATCCAGCTGAAGTGTGTGTTATGAATGATGTCTGGTATGGTATTTATAGTTGTAACATAGAAGGGCAGAAGTATTTGGGTTTCCTACAATTCATTGCTTACCTGGTCCCTCAAAGGGTAAAAGTTTGGATGGAATAGGATCCTTTGCACTGAGAGGAATCAAATAGAGGTCCTTGACATGTCTGTTGTTATTAGCAACAACACCAAATCGGCCACGACTGCTAAAATAGGAGTACAGAGAAATGTAGGAAGGCACCTCTTCTTCTGTTGCAGGATGGAAGCGGATCAAACATAGTTCCTATAATACAAAAATATAAAGGAAAAATACCAACCTATTGCTAAATAAATAGCAAGTGAGGGCAACATGGCATCAATGCACTTCACTTTTGAAGTAATAATTTCAGAATTATTCTTATTCAATTTCTATACCGTTCTTCATCTAAGGATCACAAGGTAGTTTACAAAAATACATACCATAATAACAAACGGAAGCAATAACACCCCCCTCCCACATACAGTTTTAAAAGCCATAAATTGTATAATTAGCCAAAGGCCTGGGAAAAGAGGAATGTTTTTGCCTGGCACTTAAAGATATGTAATGAAGGCACCAGGTTAGCCTTCCTGGGGATAGCATTCCACAAACAGGGAGCCACTGCAGAAAGGGCCCACTCTTGTGTGGCCACTTATCTGGACCTCTCTTGGAGGAGCACATGAAGAAGGGCCTCAGACACTCATTACAGGGTCTGCAGCAGTAAATATGGAATTATATTGGTGATCCAAAAGATGGTGCAGCTTTAAAAAATGCCTTATTTCACTGCCATCAAATAAGCAAAGATTATGTAAAATTATCAATATAATTTTACTCTACATTATTTAAGGTTGCTGAATTTTTCGTTATTAAAACACTTTTAGGGTTAGATCTAGTAAGGATTCTTACTATGATGGCTCATAGGAAGTCAGTGATAATTTATGCTGTGCTGGAAATTGAAATGTTACTAACACAGAACCGGTTGGGGCAGGGAAGAAGTGGTGAGAGTATGTGGAAGGGAAGTAACAGCCAGCAGGAAAAGCCATTATTGTATTTTGCTTATCTTAAAGAATTTCAGGTGCAAATTACTGACAAGAATCCAAACTGCTGCTGGGGTGCAGGTGGGTATGGGTAGGAGCAATTTTATCTTTTTATTTTGATGAATACGCCTGTATGCCATGTTTAAAAAAGAAGTCTCCTTCACATTTCAAAAGAGACGTGTGAAAAACATTAGGAGTTGCTGCTGTACCATAAATTCAAGCCAGCAGTGTCCTCCTCCCTTAGGTAGAATAACTTAGTTATATAGTTCACTGGATCCCATCCACAATTATTATTTCAAATAAAGTTCAATTCTTTCACCATTACCAAACAGGGTTTTTAAAAAGTACCTTTGACACAGATGATTTCAGTTTGCCAATATAATCCCATACTGTCTTCGGTGAGATCCTCCCTCCAATATGAATTGTATCAGGTAAATCCTAGATAAGAAGCATTACATAATGTGAGAAGAGGGCAGTTTGAGGGCAAAGTATATTGCCCCACACCTTCCAGTAAATAGAATTATACCAACAGAATATAAATAGAAGCTACCATATTTTTCCATCTATAAGACGCCTCCATATATAAGAAGCTCCCTATTTTTGCAGCAACAACCAATCACCAGTCCACCCCTGGCACTATCCGTGTATAAGACGCCCCCTAATTTTTGACTTTTTTTTTTTAAAAAAAAGCCTAGTCTTATACATGGAAAAATACGGTATACAGTGATTTTACTGTAGCTATGGCCATTATGTTTACAATTCTGTTTATCCTTCCACTTCGATTTTCAAACTGCTAGCAGAAAACAGTCCCCTTTTAATTCCACAAACCACAGCTCATTCATATGTTCCTTTCTGAATCTGGTATGAGAGGGAGTACATCTCATCCTTGGGTACCCCGACTATAGTTTCTTATCTGGGAATGAAGAAATATGTCTGACACTGTAGTAGGATGTTGCTTTTATTTACATGTTCTGTCTACATCAAGGGGGATAGGTGCCACAAGATCTTGGGAACTGATGAACGCAGTATTTGTATGGGTCAAACATGACTTTTTGTACAAGGAAAATGAGCTGGAAAGGCTGGCTATTGGTGTGCTAAGAACCTGAGGCTCGCTCCCTCTCATATTAGGCTCAGACAGTAACATCTGAGCACTGTGAGAGATAGCTTTTACATAAAGAAGTAATACTTTTGCACATTAAAGCTACAAAAAGTAGCTTTGAAAATTGTGACAAAACATTCCTAGCCTATTTTCATAGAGTAAAAATTTAACTGTCACTAAAACATGCTGTTGAGGCACAATGTGTTTGTATTTATAAAGCTGTCTTATCTATAGTTGAAGGGGCAAACATATTTCTATTTGTTTGCATTAACCACAGTTTGTCCCAGAATTCAGCATATAAACATTGCTACTATATCATATTCATAGCCCACTGAGCCTAAGATCGTAACATACTTGTTTTCCAAACTCGGAGGAAAAAGGGTTATTCTTACATCCGTAAGTTTAGGTGTCTTCCTATCCCTGCTTCAAAACACAGGAAGAAAGATTCCACTGACAGAATTTGTTGGTGCACAGGAATCAAAATTTCAAGCACCCTGTTCATATTGACCATAAAAGGAGCACAGGAAGGCTTAAAAAAAGTTGAATACACTGAAGTATCTTCCTCCTCTAAGGCAGGAAAGATATACAGGTGTTTCAGCTACTGTTCTACTCCCCACCTTCCCACCAGTTCTTACACAAACAATGCAGAGCAATACGTGAAATCTATTTGAATGTATGCAAGAACCAAGGTGGCTTTTCCTCAAGTAATGGAATTTATGAACAGTCTGCGGTTGTTGGTTTGACACTTGATAATAAACTATACTGAACTTCCTTCCTATGTTTCTTTTTTGGGTTTAATACAGGAAACTGGGAGCTCACTGAATATTGCAGGCATCCCATGACAGTGGCAATCATCACTTAGTTAGTGTCACACTTCCTGATTACTGTTCACTGCTTCTCACCACCAGACCAAAATGAAAATCAAGAGTGTAATTAACAGAAAATGATAAACAGTGCTTTATCAGTTACTGATATGAAGTATTAATACTAAAAATGTTATATCCAGCATGCCATTTCAGTGCTCCTATTTTCCCCTTACAGTGGTACCTCCAGTTACGAACTTAATTCATTCCAGAGGTCCATTCGTAACCAGAAACCGCTTGTAACATGAGGCGTGCTTTCGCTAATGGCGCCTCCTGCTGCTGCCGCGCCACCGGAGTGTGACTTCCGCTCACATCCCAGGGCAAAGTTCACAACAAGGGGCATCTATTTCCGGGTTAGCAGAGTGCGTTACCCGAAGCATTCGTAAGGGAGACAGTACGTAACACGAGGTACTATTGTACTTACAGATCACCAATACTATTTTATTATTTTTTAAATAAATTGCTGTCCGATACGATAGAGGTGGTGACCATTTTAGGTGCATCCAATTGACGTATGATCACTGACACATGGTCTTTTTGGACCCAGAAGAAGACAGAATGGGGACATAATGGAGCAGGGGCTGCTTATCTGTGTTCCGCACACGCAGGGGCTGGGAACAGAAGCCCCGCATGAAATGGTTGCCAAGTCAATGTACACATTATCTATGTCCGATTTCTTATGCTACACTGCTACACTATTTGCAGTCAGGCCACTGTCTGAACAGTGAGTTATTAAAACTCTTACCTAAATGAAATTTGAAAATGTTAGTAGGTCAATAGGTCAATTTGCTTAGCTTTCAAGCTATCATGTTGAGTAAACATGGTAACATATTACATAGCTAACCTCTTATCGCAAAGCAAATTTAGTTAGAAATATGATTTTAGATATAGTTTACACAGAAAGCACAAGCACTTCAAAGTCGCACCTCACTGAGGTAGTCAAAGGATCCAGAGACAGGGTAAGCTTTGGTGACAAACTTGGCCACGCTTTGCATGTTGATAAAGCCTTTCCATATGGTGTTAAGGCGAGAGAGAAAGACGGACGTATCTCCTTCTTGGGGGGACCGTATCTCCGACATACTGCAAAACAGAAAACCCAGGAGGGAGAATTGTGTCAAGTGTGGCTCTACAAATTGTATCTCTACAAATGCCCCTCCATCCCAGGCAACCCCAACATTTTTCAAATCAAATGATCCTAAATCTTACGAAATACACTTTTAGTAAATTAAATTAATGGGCTAGAAATCAATTTTTAAGACTTCCAGCACATCCAGTGGAAGGCTAGTGATCACAAAAGACGGACCATTAATTTGCTAACCCATGAATAGAATTCCTGTTATTATTAGGGATTGAGTTGATATTGTAAGACTTGTGACTGATTCTCTTTTGCATGAAAGATAGAGAGACACTGAAGTTTATAAACCTGCCTTGAGTGAAGACAATGTGTGACCCCACGTCCCCCAGTTCTTACAAACACTGGCTCCTCCTGTGCATCAATGCTACTAGAGGTTGAGAAGTGTGCTACATGAGTAAATACGACTTGGCAAATCTTCAAAGTATGCAGAAGTAGTAAAAAATCCTCCTGTTTATGGCTTTGCTGTCCTTTCCTCCTAGTGGCTTCTGAGAGATTAGCACAAGTTATCCCTCCTTCACATCTTGAGGAGAGGCAAAGAGTGATCCCTCACTGTCACTTAGCATCAGAGTACTTGCAGAGCAATGGCAGCAAGGGTGTTTGGTCTGAGCTTTTCTCCTCCTTGCACAATTGGGGGACAGCAAGGAGCCACCCGCTGGGGGGACAAACCTAGCTATGCCCATTAACTTGCCCACCCACCTTGCCCCCCATTTTACTCACTCTGGGAAGCTTCCTTCCTTAGAAGGAATTTGAAGGCCCCCCCTGCACCTAGCTACACACACACCACTGGGTTGAATGGCCCCCTTTGCACAATAACGCAGGCCTAGTGACCCTCTTGCAGACTGACACACACATACCTAACATTTAGGGATGGTTGAGCTGCCAAGTATCTTGGGTCCGATGATGATGATGGCTTCGTTAATATTGATTTTGGAGCTGCTACAGTATTTCTGGATATTTCCGGTTTACTTTCCCCTACAGAACCTTTGTCAGATGCTGGGTTGGGATGCAATGCAGAAGTCACAGTAGAAGCAGAGGTTGACAAAGTGCTCATGGCTGTTCTGGGATCCTTCCCAGAGACTGTCACAGTAGTGATAACACCGCCAGCATAAGATGTGGGATAGAGAGAGCTCTCATTGGGTAGAGAAGATAATGGATTGCTTTGTCCTTGTGTTAAAGGAATGTAAGCTTTTTCTATGCTTGGCTGAGGAACTACTTCAGCTACAGATTCAACAACAGGTTCTGCAGCAGTCTCCATTTCCTCTTCTTTTGCAGCCTCCACTTCATCTGTTGGTGTCGAGCTTTCAAATTTTGACTTCATTTCTGGCTTTGGTTCCGCCTTCTTAACAGAGGACGATTTTAGTTTCTTTGAAGCTGGTTCTTCATCAGATGCTGACATCTGACCTAAATGGTAAAAAAAAACGTAACATGTAACATTGTGAGTCTGTGTCATTTCATGGACATGGTGCTATATTTCCCTTGGAGACAGGGAAATCACTTCTTGCTTGTTGCTGTTTTATAGAAGCAAAAAGTTTATTTTACTGCAAGAAGAAAGTCTGGCCGTTTGTATAATTGAGGCTTCAGCCAGATTTGGGTTTACCCAGAACAAAATTGATATGGTAATTTAAATTTCTGCTTTGCATTTCTACCACGTGGGTGTTCACACAGCCTTGGTAATCCATGTGCATACCTGTACAGATTTTGCAGTTCAGGTCAAAAAGATGGGCTCGGTGTTGACTTGTTGTGTCCTGTAACATACTGCTGAAAACATCAAGAATTGGAGCGCTGCTTTTCTCAGGAGCTGCTCGATCTGCCTCTTGCTGCTCCTAAAAAGGAATTGAGGCAATGGTATGATTTGCTGGTATCAGGCTCATTTCAACTATACACATGCAAATTCCTGTAGATATGCAGATTTGAAAACAAACATCCACAGCTCCAAAAAATAAAGCAATTGATACTACTAAAATCTAACATAACTTGACCTTTCAACAAGTGCAAGCTCATATGCAGAAAGAGATCCTTATAAGGTTTGCGTAAATTCATTACTGGCACCACAGGTTTCGACAGCACCCAAGTGGGGAAACAGAAAGTGTGCTGGTCCCCTGTTTTGGGCAAATTAATTAATGTACGGGCAACAATCAATTGACATTCACACACGTGTGCATTGTGGTGACCCAGAAGTGGCAGGAAAACGGGGTGGGAACAAGCTTATGTGTGCTCCGCTCTCATGCACAATGACCCAAAACACAGCCATGCACAAATAAGGGGTTGCCTGTTTATCATTGGTCTCTTTGCAATAGGAACCATGCCAAAGCAACATTCCAGGTAATAGGCAGTGTACTACAGTGTAGAGTGGTGGGTGGGCTATTGGTTTGGTTTGTTCTTGTTTTCATCATGTTCGTTGTGGTTTTATTCTGTATTTTATGCTGTGAATCACCCTGAGATCTTTGGATGAAGGGCAGTATACAAATTTAAAATAATAATAATAATAATAATAATAATAATAATAATACTGTGTACATGTACCTCAGAATAAGTATAGAGTACTGCAGGAATTGTGCAGCGTGTGTGTAAGCTGCTATAGAGCATTACTGGATTGTGCCCTCTAAAATAAAAAAAGGCAAGCAAGCAGATAAACTATACTTGAGATCTTAAAACATGACATTTTAAATTATACAATATCTTCATGTAAAGAACTAAATTTTGGTAAATGGTCTATATAATTAATTGTAAACCAGTGCCTTAAGTGGCTTATACTTACATCTGAATCAGACACTGGTGGGGAATCTTCCATATTAGCATCTGGGATGGGTTCTTGTTTTACAGCAGATTTCTTGTTTTCAAAAGATTTACGTCTAGCTGCCATTACCTATGAAAACAATAATGTGATTTGTATACACACACAAAGTCAGTGAACTAGACTTCAATCATTAATCTGTAATCAATTACCACATCAGCTGGAATTGCTCATCAATAATCCTTACATAATAAACACAAAATTTTATTGCTTACTGCTTTGGCTGGCTTTTCTTTCCATGTAGATAGCTCTTTGGATACAAGTTCTTCCGGCTTCATTCTTACAAGCCTTGACAAAGGAAGGTCTTCCCTAAGAACACGATGGAAAAGTCCCTAAAGAGAGAGGAGTGATTCGAGGTGAGCAGTAACTACTTACACAACTAGCAAATGAGAATCTTCCAATAGGCAAGTAAATGCTGTCATCCAGTTCATGAATTCCTTCTAAAGGGTCTTAAGTGTAAATAGAATGAAATATTTAAAATACATTTTTTAAAAAAATATTGCCAGGTTAGCAAAACATTAAGAGTCTACTCTATAACATAATTTGAAGCATGTCTGTATCAGGAATGGGCACAAACAATAGATGGGACTGAGCGTTCCACAGGCATTTTCTCCACATGCAGAATTTTATATATCTCTATCATATTCCCTTGCCTCTTTTCTAAACCAAACAGCCCCAAGCTTGTTAGTTTTAGCCATTCATGCTTCGAAAGCTCCCCACCCCAATGAAATTTACAATCCTCTTCATAGAATCATAGAGTTGGAAGAGACCACAAGGGCCATCGAGTCCAACCCCCTGCCAAGCAGGGGGTAAAGAAAACTCAAAGCAGTTTACAAAAAGAGCTAAAAATAAATGATGCAGTCAAATCAAAGGCTGTCCACTTAAAAAAAAAAAAAGGCTGTTGAGAAGTCATTCATTCGCTTTCATACAAACCTGATTTTTAGGGTCCTTCAGATTGAACATAATGCTGCGATATTTACTCTTATACCGATTGTCTGTAGCCTGGAATAAATTAAACATCTCCTTTTCAATGTTCAGTGCAATCTTTCCCACCTCACTCTCTGTCATAGCCAGATCATCACTATCATTTACTCTGCCAAAAGAAAGTTAGGAAAGAAAGAAAAGGGAGTCAAAAATGACAGTACTGCTAAGTAGCTTGATCTACCTATATGCAGGAAGAATCTTCTATGACTTAAGTCTCAAAAATGGCCTATTTAATCCAAGGATGAATTTTCCTTCTTTGATTCCCACTATCCACTGCTGCAACATCCTCTGAATATCATGTACTCAGGAGGATTGTTCTGCTGCTTAAAGTACTAATGATAGTTTGGGGAAACTGGTGATAAGCACATGCATTTATATTGGACAGTGCTTATCTGTTTTGTGAAACCATGCTTCTTTTTAAAATCTAGTTTTCAAGAAAGTAAGATTGCCTTTGGGGCCTTCTATTCTTGTTTAAAACCTTTAAGAAATGTTGACATTTACTGACTAAGGTATTTCCTGCTCAGTCAAAAATATTCACAAATATTTTAGCACTAAACTTATTTCAGATACAATATCTAAAGTGCTATGAAAGGTGAGAAGAAATGAATATCACTGTTCACGCAGCATTACAACTAATGATTATCCTAAACTATACAGATTATTTGCACAGAGCAAGTACACTTGGTGCCTACCTTTTCCACAATATCTCCTTAAGAGATCTCCGTATATTTTGGCGAATTTGAGAGTTAGGCTGTGATTGACTAGCACTTGCAGATTTTGCTTGTGTAGCTGAGGAAGTTGTTGAAGAAGCAGAGGACACCATGGGCTTCCTGAGTCCTCCACCAATGCTTGAAGAGGAAATTGTTTTTTTATAAACTGAGGGTGTACCATAGGACAAAGGTGAAGGCTTTGATGATGGCACATTGCTTGATGCAGGTGGACCAGTTGAAAGTGAGGATTTCTTAGGTATCACCCCTTTGAAACCTGCAGCAGAGTATTTAATTGGATGCTTAGAACTAGTAAATGTAGAAGGTTTCTTTAAGGGCAGATTTCTGCTTTGGGTAGACACTGCAGAAGCGGGTTGAGACGCTGCAGTAGTTGACACAACCATTTTCTTTGATGCTACTGAAGATTCAGCTGGCTTATCCTCATTCTTACGTTCCTCTTTCTGTGCTGTTAACAGGAACAAAACACAATAAATTATATTTTTTTCAACAAGTCCTGCAAAGATTCAACAAGAGACATGATCCAGTAAGCCAAACATGTGCGTAATTCTTTTAATGAAAATAAAGAGATTAAAGAAGATCAATTTAGGCTAGATTATGGACAAACAATATTTGTTGTTTAAAGCTATCTTATAGAAGTGATAGAAACTTATATTGGTTTTATGAAGAAGGTGCCTTATTTTTGTACAAATTGATTTGACACAATAAACTTGCAAGACACAGGGAGAGATGGGCTGTGCCCATGATGCAAATGAATCATACCCAATGAATCATGCCCAAAGTTTACCAACAGGAAAGGGTACAATCTCTTAAGGAGAGAAAACATATAAAAAAGAAAGCTATTTTGAATACGTGTTTTTCACACTTTTAAAACAAAAGTAGACCCATCTTCAAAGATTGCACACATGAGCTAACACATATACAAAACAGCAAGTATAAGGCTCAGGCATACAAGCTGTTTTTTTAAAGGAAAAGAAAGAATATTCACTTTCTAAATCATGCAAACAATTCTAACATTTATTATACTTGTATCAGATATGTTGAATTATCAGTGTGAAGTAATGGTCACAACACATCAAACCAAATACTTAAGCCGAACGTTTCAGAAGAGCATTCGTTAGAATAGCATCTGACTAAACAAAGATGATTTTATTGCATCTCTCCGCAGCATCATTTCACCTGAAACACTTTAGAATTCTGCTTGTAACATCATGCGAATTCTTGCATCGTAACATCAGCTTTCATTCTTACCTGTATATGTGTGGTCACAATCGACCACAACCTTCCTAGCATTTCAACACATGCTCAGTAAGAAACTTGTAGGATTGTAACATATTATGATATTCACAAGTGTTTTCTGTAAATAAGTGCCTCCCTTGAAAACAAACACTTGCCTTAAAATGAAATTGCAAGGTTTAGTTCTATTTAAACTATAGAAACTAAGTTATCTAGATGCACATGTGAAATAACTCACATTCAAAAGAAAAATAACCTCTATTAACAATTGAATAGATCTGGACAATGGCTGGAATGAGGAACAGTATAACACTCGTTAACAGAAGGAATGTAGTGTGAACTGTTTGTTATTATGCAGTTTTCAGTCATCATTTTTAAAGCAGCATCTTAAAATACAGGCCGTAATTTTGGTAGCTGAAAACCATACTTGCTAAAAATCTCTAAACAAGACATCTGAAACCTATTCTCATTAGAGGAATTATATTTAAATACCTCTGAAGTAAAGTATCTCTGAAGTAACATTGAATGAGAGATCTGCTCTTCTAGAATTTCATTAGGTATCATGTACTCACGTTTAGTGTGTTCTTTCTGTCATGCAGCATATAGCAATGTACTTTAGTTATTCCAAGATAAACAATCTTTGTGACTTTTGTTGCTGCTGCCTCTGCAAAGTGCTGCTATCTTGAGCAAATGAGTTCATGTAAACTACTACAGTAGGAGTAAAACTTTGCATTCATTAATGTTTAGCATACTGGATGGGATCAGAGTCCAACCACATCAGATAATTCAAAATATTAATGGTGAGCTAGTGTTCTGTCCACTCCATCGAGTTGGTGTATCTATATGTATGATAGCATTGTGAATGGCATGGCACTTCGTTGCCAGATTGAGAAAAGACCTGGAAATGAAGAGCCACTGGTGTTTGCATTTGCGATTAGGCTATTTCATGTGGTTTAGTTGAAATAAGTGAATAAATACTCCTGTTAAAGAGAATACTATGCCCTTACTATATAGTTCTTTACAGAGGTTCAAGAGCAATAGGAGATAAGCACAATAATCTTGATGTTTATACTGTAATGTTTACACTTCTGAAAAATTATGCAGAACTCGCTTTTCAGAAAGGAATATTTAACCACGGAAATGTTTTGTAATCTAAGATTGTTACCTTGCCTTTCTTTAGCAGTAAAAGCTTTTGTGTAAGGACAACAATTGGATACAACCCATAGAGTTACACACACAACTATGTGTGTTCCAATTTCGGCTTGTGGCAGCAGCACAGCACGAACCTTTGACACTGAGTTAGCACTCTGACCATGGCATCCCATACTAAATACCCACATGGCAGAACAGCAGTCCAATAAAACCAGGTTGCTAGAAAGACAAATTCTAATGCCTGTGGTTCCAAGTTAAAAGTCAAATCTTTAGCATTTAAATAATTTTAATTTAGAGTTTCAAAACTTGCAAGTTACGTTTCATATGGAGACAATAAAAAAATGTACTTCATTAGACTATAATGGTGACTTTTTACACCTATTAAACTTTAGTTTCGCCCAATATTTTTGATTTAGCACACCAATAGATTCAGAAACAGATAACTTGTTCACTCATTGCAATTAGGCTTCGTAAGATTGGAGATGCAGTATCTGATGTGTTCATCCCAGTTACTCAAGTTTTTCTTTTGGTACTTGTATATAATTTGCTCTTCCCAAATCCCTGTCCCCTCCATGCTTCAAAGCCAATTGTAGCTGCCCTGTTGGAACTCCTAGTAGTCTCTTTTCCTAATCTACACAAATCACTAAGTGTTCACCTTATCCCCAGGGATGCTCCTCCACGAGGATTCCTTTGAGGAATCTGATCACTCTGCTTTTTATCATCACTCGTTTTTGCAATAAATTAGAATCTGGTAATAGCATAGAGCAAACACAGGACTCTATGTACTTGCAATTCTGGATAAGCTCAGAATATAAACTGCAGCATTCTGAAAAGCCCAGCTCTTATTTTTAAATCAAGTTTCTGTACCTTATTGTTGATACACCTTAAATCATGTAGACAATGCACCCTTGGCAAAAAATGTTTTGCCTTTTTATAATTGAGTAATACTGGCAGCCACTTTGGACAGTTTACTGTGGGAAAGTGGCATATAAACTAGACACCTCTGATGTCTAGTGTGGGAGAAGTGGGTGTTTGGCATAGGGTCTCATTGAAACATATCTCTGCTCTTACGCACAAACTGGTTTGAAGAATGGCACAATGGCTCAGTGTGTCTGACTGTTAACCAGAAGGTTGGTGGTTTGAGCCAACCAAGGGACAGCTATGATCAGGATTCCTGCACTACAGGGGGTTGGACTAGATGACCCTTGAGGCCCCTTCCAACTCTGCAGCTCTGTGATTCCAAGTTATAAAACATATACAGAAAATGTTAGATATACCATATACAGTATAGGAAAAATAGATCACCTTCAGGAATTGCTTGCCTTCTTATAAACAAATATCCTGAGATGCTCTTTTTGTGTAACGAATGTTCTCTATAGAAGAGACACAGAGTCTCCCAAGGGCTGCAGTAAGTTCTCTCAGGAAATGCAGGATTAAGACTTTATTTTTTTCCTACTGAAACTTGCATTTAGTTTAAGTTGTTGGTTTTACATTTGAAAAGTTAACAGGATCTAACCTCTTCTTATTTTTTCCATTTTAGCAGTTGAACACTGACAGCCTGAAAAATACTGGCATATCTGCAAAAGCCGCTAATCAAATGATTAGACACAACAGGAGGCATTTGCCGCACAGTAGCAAGCTTTCTGTTTTCTTCAGCTGTAGCATAAACAAATCTACCAAAGCAATTGGGAGTTGAGGTAACTAAGAACCTAGTTTTTCATCATGGGCTTCTCACTCTTTCATTTTAACCTCCAGGTAACTGACCATGCCAGCTGTGACGGGTGGAAGAGTTGTGAGGAATTTACAGCAGCCACGGAGTGACAACACACTATGGGCTTCCCTGCTTCTGCATACAAAGTAAGGTATTAATTCAATTTCCTGCCTGCCCTTCTTCATAAGGTCCCGGGGGTTATTTGGCATTAACAATTCTGAAGCACATGTATTTCATCATAAAAAACCACCCACCCAGCCTGTCAAGATGTGTTGAGAAATTCCAGCAATCTATGAATACAAGGGCCCATACTAGTTTTACTGTGTTTTTATGTAGTATCAAACCCTTCCCATGAAAGTAACTCAAATACTGCATTTTAAGAATGAGGGCTGAAGTGTGTGGTCTGGAATCGCCTGGTGCAGAATTGCTGAAGTAAAGATGATGTAGACCTTTTTAGTCTCTTGACTAGGAGACCACTGAAAGCCCCATATAAGGAAAGGGCAAGAAAAACACTACTGGAGGCAGGGATCCACCTTTAGGGAGATAAAATCGCCTAAGAACCCAAGAGCAACAGATGAGCAAATACTGAGAAAGGATACCTGATTCGAGAGCAGACTATAGATAGCCAAACATAAAATCCCAACATGTGTACTTGGCCTGATTTTTCTGCCTTCTTTTCTCCTGTTACTGCCCATACTTGTGCATTGCCACAGCAACGTACATATTTTGTGTCTTGGAGGATAAGAGCGGGACAGAGAAAAACAAACAAGCTGTATCCTCAGGCACGACACAAGAGAAAAACACTTCAGAACAGATGGGGTCTCAAATTGCCTGCAGGCTTGTTGTGTTCCCATTCGTGAAATGAGGGCTGGGGGTTTTGAAAACAAGTATAATTGCAGAGCTGCAGTCCAGGGCAAGTGCGCAGAGAGAACGGCTGCAACAGATGTCAGCCCTGATCTGTTGTTTGTGGGCAGGAAGCTTTGAGGCCTTGAAGGTGAAGAGGGAAGATCAACAGCGATAGCACAGTAGCTGCATGACAATCGTATTGGTAGCTCCCCAAGTGCCCGACTAAGTAGCTACCTGGAGACACGGCTAGCTGCTACTGTAAGGGGGACTCCATCCTATCCTAGCCAGTGTCCATATCTTCACACCAACTAAACAGCTCCATCCAGACATTTTGGGGCAAAGTAGTTTACAGTGTTTGCCTGCAAATGCTCAAAGGCTGGCGATCACCGTATGCAGAATTAAGGGAATTATATTCACAAATTCCAATAACTGTTACTTGCAGCTGCTTTTGTAAAATCACTTCTACTGACACATGGTTTTAGTGGTCTTCGTAAGTTGAATACTAAGTGGTGACCATTCTTTTGGGCAAGTATGCCACAAATCAAGTCGAAAGTATGAAAAAATGTCATTCAGGTGCACATTATACCAAGCAGGGTCTGCTGTGGAGTTTACTGAACTGAGCAGTAGGAAGGAGTGCAGGACTGACCATAACCACCAACCCAAATAAAATTTTCTTAGATTCAAATTGTAGCAGATCTTAATATAGAAGGCTATTACACCAGACTAACACAAATCTAGACAATCACTTCTACTAACTGTACAATTCACATTCCACTCCACAAGCCTGCACAGATTACTCTGGTCCATAATCTGGGACAGAGTGGTCCAACCTCCCAAAGTGTGTGGCAAGAGTACTTTGACGCAGAAACCAGAGGCTCCAGAGTGAATCAAATTTTTATATTGTTACTTAAGTATTTGCAATATAGCTAATATTATTTAATATACACCATTAGTATATTTAAGTATAAGCATAATGGGACCTACTCCCGAGTTAGTATGCGCTGAATCAGTGTGCTAGGCTATGATCTGCAAAATAGGATTGTAACTCCATGTGTGGTCAAAATGCAGTGCAAGAGTTAAGCAAATATGTGGAGGTATCCAGTTGTTCATTATCAGTGGGTGGAAAATACTTCTCTCCTGTTAATACATTATTTTATTGTCTCTTATATATACACAGAGCAATCCTGGGCAAGGTTAGAGGATGCAGCGGGGGAGGGCTGGCCCGTTTGGCCTTGAAGGGGATGAGAGAGACAAGCGCCTTTGCCATTTGTTTTCTTGTGTGCCTCACAGCAACAAGGAAAAAAAAGCCAGCTACTTGAGCCACTTTAAGAGGTCCTGAACACTGCCAAAGGCTGTCGAAAATGGCCTTGAGGGGTGCATGCAACCCCCGGGCTGCATGTTGGACCACCCTCATATAGGAAATCAAAATTGTTTGTGCATCTGTTAAACATCCATCCGAGGGGAAGTGGAGTTAATTGACAAACGGTACGACTTGGGAGTCAGGGAATTCTTGCCAACTTTTCATGGGTCTAGCCTCAGCAACCTACACATGGCCATGATTGCATGAATATAGTCAAAAACTAGGCTCATCTTGAGTAGTCTATCTTTGTATGTGTCATTTGCTGTAAAAAGCACTGATGCAGCTGAAGGTATAGCCTAGGGGGAAGTGACCAGTAACTTTAATTAGCTGATATAAAAGGCAGAATTCTATTTCACCTAAAATTGAAAGCCATCACATTGTGGCTGTAAATGCAGTTCTCAAGCAAAGAGAGCCTGCATAAAATCAAAGGGGAGGGTTTAAGCCATCTTGGACACAGCATTCATTTGCAGTGCCATTTAGTGACCTGCATTTGTTCAGATCTGTGTGATGGTATTCCGACATAGCAGAATCCCTCATAAAAACAGCTCACTGTCTAGACCAGGTGTCAGAACCTTTGGTTCTCCAGATGTTGCTGAACTACAACTCCCATCATCTTTGGCCACTGGCTGTGCTTGCTGGAGTTTATCAGATTTGTAGTTCAGCAACGTCTAGAGGGTCAAACGTTTCCCACACCTAGTCTAGAACATTTGAGCTTAAACTTTTCCCCCCCTAGAAAGGCAGGAAGTACTTTCCTGTTTTGTTTTTTTACTGTTTTGTTCAACTTTCCCCAAAGAAAGCAAATGTATAGTATTACAGCTCAACCAGAAAACCACTAACAGCTCATGCATGTATATTATTCAGGAATGTGGTGGTGGTAGGAAATGCACAGAATTTCTACAGTCAAACAGGAAAGGGAAGTGACTGCATTCTACTCACAGCTATTGCACAAGGCATGCACTCACCACCATCAGTTCTGTAGGCAGTAGCTAGCTTTTGGCGTAATACTGAAGATTGCAGCTAGATGGGAATCTTAAAGGTCGCAGTAGTTTTATACAGCTTATCAAAATATATGGCTTGATTATGCAGTAAAAATAATTAGGAGCACCTGTTATATACATAAAATACATAGGTAAGAGAGGTCTGCCTACTTGCCAGAGCATAGGGTATTTAGAGGGTTGAAGCTTACAGGAATGCCTATGCACAGGGTTAATTCTCACTATTTCAATTCAACAAACATTAAGATGCAGAAATCAATAGCACATTAGATAAAAAAATAACCGATTTAAATATGCCATTTAATATTTTTAAATCAGCTTTGTTATTCTTGTTTTGGTTTTTGAAAAAATCTCTGTATGTTGTTGATTCCTTAGTACTAAGTTTGGTCTCTTTCTATACTGTGCTGCAGAACTTGTGATCATACAAATATGGCATTTCCGAACTCCCATCAGCCCCAGCCAGGATCACAAATGGTCATGGCAAGAGGTTCCCCCTCCCCCCGGTTCTATATGTGTGTCAGTTACCTCCTATTAACCTTCTTTCCAGTACCATTATCTTATTTAAGTCAGTTTAGACCACACTCCTTTAAGTGCCAATTACACAACACTGGTTTATTTTACACCCTCCCCCCAGGCATGGGGTTTGTCTGCCTGCCAGTAGTGGTGCCCCGCAAGACGAATGCCTCGCAAGATGAAAAACTCGCTAGACGAAAGAGTTTTACGTTTTTTGAGTCGTTCCGCAAGACGAATTTCCCTATGGGCTTGCTTCGCAAGACGAAATGTCTTGCGAGTTCTTGCGAGTTTGTTTCCTTTTTCTTAAAGCCGCTAAGCCGTTAATAGCCATTAATAGCCGCTAAGCCGCTAATAGCCGTGCTTCGCAAGACGAAAAAACCGCAAGACGAAGAGACTCGCGGAACGGATTAATTTCGTCTTGCAAGGCACCACTGTACTTTTCAAAAGAAAAACATAGTTGCATATATACTAAAGCAGCATGACCAGATTAGCCCATACTGCAATTTGTTGATAAGCACATGCTCACTGGAAAAATGGGACACCCAAGTTATGTTTAGATGTCCTGTAAATTAGGTAAGGCAACAAGAAGGCAGGCAAAGGAGGCTAAGAGAAACCTGTTCTGCCCATTCATTGTAGGTTTACCGATGGGATATGAAGTTTAGACTTGCTCATCAAGTTGCATTTGGGTAGGGAAATCTGCTCCTTCCCAATGAAATTTGGTTTAGCATTAGAATTTGATGTGTGCAATATAGGTTCCAACTTGCTTCCATCAGTTGCAAGAGGAGTTCAATAGAAAATGACTGCCAATTCCTTACAGTGTGCAGGCAGACCCTAGATGGGGGTATATGCATACAGGTTTAGCAAACTCCCCACCTTGCCATAATTAGTACTGCAGTTCTGGTACCCCTATTAGTTGTTTGCAGTTCTCATTTGATGACACCATAAGATGTTGGAAAGTCCAGCCATAAAATTAGTCTACGTTGGTCATTCTGTTGAAAGGAGTAAGCTGCCAGTAGGCTCTCTGCCATCCTTCCTTGGAATCTTGTTTGTTCAGGGCCCATATTAGGATAGTCATGTAATTTGGATTTAGGTGGCAGAGGAGAAAGTAGTTGTAATCAAGTCCTTTTCTCCCACAAGCTAACAATTCTACACTAAGCTCATGTTGACAATACCGAAATACTGGGAAGTGATTCAATACTCCCCCCTGAGGGGATCTTCTTTCACTTTAGAAGGAGTGGTGGAACTAGTCACAAATGAATCTAAAGTCCTATGGTTAGCAACTGAACAGTGTGTTCCATTAATGAATGCAGCACTACATGCTCCAATATTGGAAATGCCAGTTGGCTGGTCAGCAATTACCCTCCAATTAACTAAAATATCAAAACATCCCTAGCAGTTTCTGCCATAAGGGAAAAAGAACACACCACCTTTCCTTAATTGCTGAATAGCACACATGACTATGTTGAGGGTGCCAAGCACATCATCTGTGTAGGCACATAATGTGGTACACGTTTAAGCCTTTGTTTGCAAGCCCATATACAGTCAGGTTCTGTATACCATCATCACAAAGCATATGTATCTTTCGTATGTGAATACCACAAAAATATGAGCCAGTAAACAGATTTTAAAACATTATATGGAAGGCTGACTGGGGTGGGGGTGCAGAAAGGTCATATAATTTAAATCTTCCTCATGTCTAGAACTTGGCATACCTATTCATCATATATGGCTGCTTCAAAAAGTATTCACTTTAGATATGATAGTAACAATCAGATTAAATGTGGTTTCCAGGTTTACCCAGTGACATTAATTCACGGCAAGGATGAAAATCACAAAATCACACCCAGCGTATTTTTCAGATTTCTAGAAATTTCAGCTTAATCAAGTTTCTAGTCTTCATGAAAAGAAGTGTCTGTTGTGGTATGTATATGGAGCTGCTTTGCATAATCACCTCAGAGCTCACCTACCAGTCCACACATGACTCCCCATCTTGTCTTCTACTGCACAATTCTCTAATGCTTTCAGAAAAGCTAACCTTTCAGAAGTAGTTTTGAGTGAACTCCCATTGTTGCAGATTCAGTTCAAAGAGCGCCTACATTTGACTTAGAAATTTGACTTTGGGTACAAAAAAATAACCAAATCTTTGAAATGGCTAACTTAATAATCTGCATCAGATGAAACCAGGAGTACTTTATTAAAAAAACAAAACAAAAAAACCTCACCTAAAACAAAGGCATGAATCTAATTTTCTCCTTGTGAAATGGCAATCATGTTCTTGCCCAATTGTGGGAAATTATGTGCGCTAAGAATACCCTACCTGAAATACCAATTTGAAACCATTTCAGCAAAACAAAGGCGGTTAGTAGTTCTGTTGAGATGATTATGCATCAGTACACCTGCACATGACTGCTTCTCAAACATTGCTGCCCATATTATTTGGATACCATGCAACAATGCAAAATTTCAGTAATAAAGCTAGGGCCAAAATGCTTTGGTATCCACTGCACCGGTAGCTTGTTATTACACTGCTGCCTCAGTAACTGGTTGAAATAGGGCAAATCAACCCCATGATCCAGTTGTATTCTCTTAGTATCACATGAAATGTAAACTGCAGTAACAGGACTCAGGTGGCATCTTCTGGCAAGAAGCAAGATTTTGTATCATGAGTGAGATAGTTGGTAAGCATCGTGAGGATTGTCAATGCGAGCTCCGCTTAGGTTGATTTGAGAATTTAGTACATGGATTGTGCTAGTTTTGTTTGCTGTAGCTAAAATGTACAAAAATCCCAAATGCATTTCATTGCAGATTTCTGAGAAAGCAGTTTCTGCCAAGTCTCCGTGTGGCACAATTTGCAATAATCTAATGTTTCCCAGCGAGTGGCTTAAGAGAATCTTGTGTGCTGTTCTCGGGTTGCCGATTTGTGCAAGGCTAAAAGTAGATGGGAACCTCTGGAGGCCTTATCGGTCTCAAGAAACCAGATGGTCAGAATGGGGAGAGGTTTGCTCTCATTCCAACTCCCCTAAAGGCCAAGGTGGCTTTTTACTGAATTTACTATGTTTTCCCTTTGCTGAACAGGGAAACTGAAATAGAAGGCTAAGCTAGTAATTCACTAGTAGTGTGTGGAAGATCTTAGTAACTGCATAGAAAAACTGTCTTATCAATGGGCCAAACTTGAGGTAATTTTCATATGCTGCTAATCACATATGCCTAATTTTATTATTCATTGGATTTTCCTAACTTTTTATTATGCACTGACAATATTTATATGCAGCACTATTACAGAATTGTGCTATGGAGTGTGTAATGTTCTCTTTAACAGAGAACATCCAGTCCATTTAAGACAATGGAAGTGCAATGTTCTTGTAGGAATGAACAATCCCCAGGTAAATAAAAAAGTACCCAAGCCCCCATTCACAGTTCAAAAATGGGTGTGAAGGCTTGTAGGAGGGGTATTTTAAACCCTCAAAAAGCAAAACCCATTCCAAGCACTTCCATAATGTTGAATAGTATAAATGGCAAAGATCAGCAGGTGCTGCAGCCATTCCACAATATTACTTACCACAAACTGTAACTCAAGTGTTGCCTCCGCATGTTCACTGTTGGGAGATGAATGCAACACTTCAGAGCATCAGCAGCATGTAGAGCCATGCTTGAAAGACACTCAAGCACCCTAATGTAGCCCTGAATCTCTGGTTCCTAGATGTGTCACCAAAATCTGCCTCAAATCCTCCTGTCTGCGGTTGGAGGAAGATAGTTCCTGTTATGCTTTTAAATCTATATTATTTATCAATTATTTTGTGTTCCTGGTTCCCCTTCTGGACCCACTAAGCACCTTCTAAAGTGCATCTAACCCCCCCCCCCCCAAATCTCAAAACACGCTGCATTGCCCACCCCTCTTGAGTCATCAAATCAGGCTTGAAAGCAAGGCTTGCTTTAAACCCAGATTCTGGACTCGCAAGTGTTAGGACAGGCTGTTCATCTGTGTCAGGATTTCTTCATAATAGTGAGGCAAGTCTATGAGCATTTGCCCAATTCAAGTCACCCAGGACCGCTTGTTGGTTCAAACTATTTTCAGTTGTACTACTCCCCACTTGGAACAAATGTAAACTGCAACAGTTTGCTGCTGCCTACAATCAGGTTTCGAACTCGTATAACTTGATCAAGGCAGCTTCTCTGCATTTTAACCATGATCATATTCTAGATATGGGTGAATTAGTTTTCTCCAGCCTTACAAAAGGGGAACTGAAGGAAAATTAATGCTGTCTATACGCAGTGCTGTACAGAAAATAAATATAAGGCATTGCTTCATGTGTGTTTGATATAGCCTTTTAGAAATGATTAGTGATGAACCTGTTTTCAACTTGGCTGGGTAATTGTGACATGCTGTGTGATGAACTTTAACCAGCCTTATCAGGAGTGGTCTACTATAGGCAGGGAAGGATAGCCGCTTTTCAGGACGGTTTTCTTCCTCTGAATCATCCAAGATGGCACCAATTGCAAATGGGACATTGAATTGGCAAGCCCTGGTGCTCAAGCTCTATGGAAACTTATCCTGGCAAGGTCTAGCATGCCTTCCTTGGACATCTAGAATCTCATCAGTTGGCCTGTGGGACAAGAAAAATCTTCACACTCTCCCAAACCCAACCCAGGTAAGTGGATGTTTCTGCAGCTTATACACCTCCCCTGCAATATGTGGTGCAGCCCACCGCTTAAGTCTTCTTGCACAGATCTTGAAGATGTAGCTCCACGGAGGGCATCTTCAGCTCCCATTCACTGCTTTCAGGCACAGTCAGAAGCCACGCAGCAGTCCAGATCTGCTCCTTTGTCTGTAATACTGGAAGTATAAGACATCAGCACGGAGAACCCCTTTTATTTGGAGGGGAGGAGGAAGAGTTCCAATTAGTCACTCAGCCAGTTTAAGGTAATGATGATAAAAAACTCAAAACATATATAGTAGGAAGGAGCCTTACATTCCCTTTATATTTGATTAGCGAAGAAAGAGTTGACGAGGTAGACACATGACAGCCCCAAATGATTGAATTACACCTGCTAACTGAGCTGGGTCACTGCTCTCACACAAGAGATTTTCTTCAGTTAAGAACTTGCCCCTGATTCTGCACACTACGCTTACTTCTATATAATCATCTTTTTAATTCCAGGCTAGTATTTAGTTTCCTACACCTACCCAGCATGGAACATCTTGCAAATGCTCTAGGGCACAAAATATGACTTGCTCTGATCAGAACAAATGCTCAAGTGATTAGAACAATCTTATATTTAAGCACTTGTCTGGCTGCCCCTGGTGATAAGGAATACCACATAGGCAAGGGCACAAAATTACCTCCCGACCAATTTGTTGCAATTTTACTAGCTTCTACCCTGGCTGTGGGAAAAGGAAAGCCCCTTCCTCCTTTGCCAGCACAGAAGTGCAGCAGAATACCTAGAGAGCAGGCGTTTATATTGCTTGCACAGGAGGCACAGTCCCTTCTTGTACACCTAGCATATAAATCAACCGGGCTGTCAGTGTTGGAAGGCTGTCAACAAACATCTCCTCTGTCAGCCTCCTACATTTTTACTAGCCTTTTTACTCATAAAAGAAAACCCTCACATGAGTTAATGTTTTTTTGCAGTTCAGTCACTAATTAACAAGGCTGGATTAATAGAGTACTCATACTCTTTCTAGTCCCATAAATACTACTCTCTGGTTTTCAGCAATTCTCATCTGAAAAAGCTCTACAATGAGAAAACATCGAACTTCAAGGTGTTCTGATTTTGAAGAAAAATTAGTGATATGCTTCCTCTACTGTTTAGAATATCCTGGCTGCATCTTGAGATGTTGCCAGCCACTTTCTCTTCTCACCAGGCTGCTAATTACTTCCTTCAATTTAAGCACTTTTAATTGATTACTACTACCTGAGAAATGGAGTTTACAACAGCACTCTAACACTATTCTTGACCTCAGTATAGATCAATGCGATGTTAAAGCATTCTAGCACTTTAAAACCAACTTTAATGGAAAGGAAGGGCTGAGAGGAGTATTTAAGCCTAGCCCTGACTTCTTATTAGAAAAAGTAGCTTAAAGCAGGACCAGTAACTATATACTGATTTAACCATTTCATTGCTATAATTTCTTTTTGAATTCCTCTTTTGCTTATGGACCCAGCCACCCAGAGTGGCAGGTACAACTCAATCAGATAGGTGGTGTGTTAGTAAGATGTTATTTTTAAAAGGCTTGTCAAATATACTTCCCCTAATTTCATTATTGCTTTTTCTTTCACAGCTTTCCACTGTCAAAACATTTTCAACTCTCAGTGACTCTTAATATTCTAGTTTTTACAGAGAAAAATAAAAGCTACAATGTAATTGTGTTTTGAAGTCAGAAGTACATTAAAGCTTTCATTGTGGCCAGTAAATCTATCAATTTCTTTTTTCTCAACTGCAAAGGAAAAGCAGATGGTGTGTTGAAATGAGATGTTAGTTTTAAATCCTATCATCAGTGTTCTGATTCTAGACAGTCAGAATCAACTAAGAACAAAAAAAATTAAGAAACTTTAATCTCTCTCCTGCCCAGTAGGTGGCAGAAGGTTCATCCATCGGATTTCTGGATTGGTTTTGTAATAAGAAGTTTCTTACCAGCACTTGAAATACTCTGTCCCATTATTTGGACTTTAATTCCACATTCTTTGTTTGTGACTACATTTGTCCTGCAGCCAACTCAAGACTGCATGACAATGTATGACACCATCATACTTTCAGCATGACAGAGTAAAAGAATTCCCTACTGATCTGCATTAAAATGCTGCATCAAAAATGCTATCGTAATAGACACATATACATAATTATGGCAATACAGATTTGGTTTTATAGCTTTGTTTTTAATGTTGAAGTTGTGTACTGAACAGCATGTTTAAGTAATCTGAAATTCTCCTTTCCATCCTACTCTCATAAAGCAGGGTATGATTGTATATTGTTTGCTGTTAAGAAACAAATAAATTCAAGCATAGTCAAATAGCTGAACTTTTAAAATTTAATGTGGGGAACTCAGGTTCAAAACCTTGTTCAATTAGAACATTCACCGGGAAGTCACTATCTCTCAGCCTGACTTGCCTTACAAAGCTGTTGTCAGGGTAAAATGGGATAACCCACAATAAATCGCTCTAATAAGACTGAAAGAAAACCCCACTCTTTTTCTGAGTAACAGAAATTTTGCCTCCAGTGGCTGAGTACCTGTAAACAGTGACAAAGGTGTGACAGGAATGTTCGGGTACAGAACACGGCTTCCCTTCCTCAGTACTTGAACAGTTTCATTGAATCATTGATAGTGACTCAATAGCCATGGACGAGAAGTCCAAATTAAGAACTTGATCTGCTAATTCCCAACCCTCTCCCTACGAGCATTTTTTTTAAAAAATGTAATCATGGATAAGGGACATTTGATGTTATAGTAAGATACCTGTCACAGTAATAGGATATATAACGCTGAAGCTACTTCTTCCCCTCCCCACAGTACACTATCAGCCTACAAGGTATACTAGAGCAACAGGGAATCCTTTTCCTCCCTACAGTGTTATTGTTTTGCCCAGAGCAATATGCATGGTATCTCCTTTATTCTTTGCATCTGAAGTTCCTCGGAACAGCAGTATCATGCATTTGCTTAATGTGTAGTAGGGTCCCACTAGGTGATGGGTGCAGTATTGAGCAGAACTCTGAAAAGGACCTTACTGTACAAAATTACTCTAGAGCAGCATTTCCCCAAATCCCCCACACACAGACACAAACCACCTGAAAATTACTGAGGGTCTTGGAGGACTACTTAATGATCTCTCTGTTTGTTGTAGTGACTGTGATGCACTGTGCTAGACTGTATTGTTGGAGACATGTCATGGACCACTTGAATGAAGCCTGCAGACCAGTTTGGGAACCTCTGCTCTAAAGTAACTCTAGAGTAACTTATAGCTTTTATGAAAGGAAACTAGTGCAGTTATCTAAGAAGTTCCCTTTACTAACATCTAATTTAAGAGTGTGATGATGTTTTTAAGGCCATTTTTCAGGAAAATGAACACTCACGACCAGGCACTACAGTGCAGCGAGCATCCAATCAGCATGGGGTCATAAGTACTTTAGATATTTCTGAGGAGTGCAAAGACATGCAAGAGTAGATGGAGCATAGTAGGGTGCCATGTCTCTAATGCTGTAGAGCTTATTGCTGTCTACCATAATAGTGTGTTTTTCAGAGATCAGAAAGGAAATGAATGAAGTTTCATGTAATGTATGTGAGATCCAGATCTACTCCATCAGGTGATGATCAATAAGACTTCTGTACATGCCCAACCCCACATAGTGCCAGGACTAATCAGTCTACAGATACAAATCTTGTATAACACTGCCTCCCAAGAAAGGGGGAGGAGTAACCACTCCTGGATAACCTCCACCACTGAAGGAGAAAGGAGTCGTTTCAATGAATGAATTTATATTTGGTAGTTTAGCAGTGATACAAATAACTTGAAGACATTCATAGAACTTACCTTGAAGTGGGAGCAGCTTCTAGAGATGGTGAAAGCTCTTCACTAAATGCAAACTAAATGAATATGTCCATTTTCAAGCATAACAGCAACGACAAAAAGATAGTTCCAACTCTAAATTTCCCCGCTAGTTATGGGATTTCACAAAAATGCTCACATTTTGTTAATGTACCAGTTAATGTACAATTGATATAGACATTGCTGAGATTAGGCTTCTCAATAGCCACTTGCCTGGCAAAGTAGCCTTGAAGTGACTAGGTAAGGAAGCTTTAGTAAGCTGGAAGATAACTGGCTCTTTCAGACTGTTGTGCCAGAAGTGACCCATAGGGCTATGTGCAGGCAGGTGGACTAGCAAGCTTCGTAGATTTCGTTGAAAGGCTGGGCTGGGTTAATGAAAGTGACAAGGAGAAACAAACCTACGGGAGGTTTTAAATAAAGGTGTTTGAATCCTACATGCCTTAGATACCAAGTCCTCCTGCTCTTGGCTGCCACTGACAAGCAAAAGGCATTACTTTGTTGGTCAAACCCCCCAAAATGAAAGCAGGCCGAAATGAAAGGTGGCTTCTCCTCAAGCCCTGGAACTCCATTCTTTCAGGGTTTCACCAAAGCCATCTTCCAGTGGAAATCAAGCAAACATTTAGAGACTGTTATTTTAGTAGCAGACCTAAGAGTTTTGTCTTATCTACTGTTACTGATGCAGAGCCTTATATCGGGGATTACAAATATGTCTGACGCATTTGAGCATTAAGTCCTTTACCTTTTGCCATGCAATAAAAAAAAACCTGCAACACTGTTTAAATGAAGGAAGTAAAACAGGCCTAAGAGAACAATCATTTTTACATTGCAAAGCGCTAACTGACTTACCTTTATAAGCTAAACATTGCCAAAAATGTTCTTCAAATACTTTAAAGTTGTGACATTCAAGGTGAGAACTCTCCTCCTATTGTTCTACCTTGACGAATGCCTCTGACACATACCTTTCATAGATAAAAATCCCTATGGTTTAAGATGGGCCTTGACATGATTTCATGTAAGTCACATTCTTGGAAGGAGGATCAGCCCCTCCCAAAACTCCCCAAAATTAATACCTAAAAGTTGTGTGGTTGTGTATGCATGTAAATTATCCATTTGAATCATTCAGAAACCTTGTAGACCTGACATTCCTAAGTCATAATGCAAAGGCAGATAGGGACTTAAATGAAAGTGAACAAAACAGTTACTCTGTACATTATATAAACTTAGGAAACAAATAAATGTTTATCATTACCTACCTTCTATTAGAACATACCTATCATCTATGAAAAATAATAGGTTTGTTAACCTGCAAGTATACGCTTAAGTGCCATTTTATACAACCTGAGAGAAAACCCCAAGTTGTCGTTTCTATATATGAGCCTTGAAACTCTCCCTGAGAGGTATGTGTACAAATCTTTGAAGATGGGGAAAGACCGTAATTCAAACCCCTTTCTAATTTAACAGGGTCAAAAGTTGAAAGGTACTCAAGGAAAGTGCAATGATTGCAGAGGTATATCCCTGTGAAATACATACATTTGAACAACAGTGATGATGAAATGGCAGGAGTCTTTTCTGGCTTTACTGCATTATAATTATGATCGCTTGCCCAGGATGGTGTGCTGCTTTCTGAAGCTGGCTCTTTAGCAACTGTCTGAGTATTTGCTTCGGTCTTTACGGGTGCTGCCACGGTTTTCTTCATGATAATCTCTCTTTTATCAGGAGCTGGTCTCTTCTGTGCGGAGAGAGGTCTGATACCGGCCTGTGTAACCAGCAGAACCTTAATCACTAAGTATTGCAATAATACAGTCATCATAACACAGGAGTAGAGGTCAGTTCGTTGTGTATTAGAGAACTTGCAAACATCTCATACAACAAAATTCCGTATTATATTTCTCTGCATGCCACCTCCAGAAACTATAACCCTGGCTTGTGATCAATAGTATGCACAACACACTATAGCAAAGTGAATGCAGATCATAATAGGTGGTTGAGCACCTGTTTGTAGCTGATGTTCCACCAACCCATAGATTAACATGGGTGCAAAGGATCTGAAGCAAAGAACAACCTGCGCCTAACCGTGGTTCTAATTTGTTTGGGGAGCCTCCATGAGTACAGGAAGTTCCCCACTTCAGCGGTTTCCCTTCCCTGAACTGGTGGGTGACAGCAGGGGACAGGGAAGAGACTGAGTTTAGTGCACTCGTGATCAAGTGACTGCACAGGGCAAATGTTTTCAAAATCATTCTCTATTCTGCAATAAATTTTTATGCTATTGCTATGACCATTAAACACGTAGATCTTTGCTCTCCATGAGTTGGTGAGCAACAGTGAGGCACAGCTTAGTGTGCTGATCCCTGTTCTCATGTATGCTTTTACAAACAAGAACCTCTGTATGAGACTATTATGAGAACTGTATCAGCTTAATGAGATCAAATGGGGCATTAATCTGCAATTGTGAACATGTGTGTGCCAGCGATGTATCAAATGTCTTTTTCAAGGAATGTTACTGGTTTTGAGTTTGTTTGTTTTTTGATACCTTCTGGTCTTAATGTGGCTAACAATCTAAGTTGTAGATTGCTTTGTAACTAGTGCTATAAAACAGCATATTCTTAGGAGAGACAGCAGTTCTTTTAATGATTCTGTAAAGGAAAGCAGACATATATATGATAATGCTGCTCTCACACCAAAGGTGGTGGTGGGATTTAGGATGGAAACTGTGATATCCCCCCCCCCCCCCACAACACCAGAAGTTGTGCTCATTCAAATTAGCTAAATGGATAGAAGATTCAGGACACACAAAAGGAAATACTTCTTCACACAGTATAAAATCATCAAAGTATGATAATAACCAACATAGACTGCTTTAAATGGGGATTAGTTAGATTCCTTGAGTATATCGATGGTTATATACTACAGGAAGAAAATTTATTAACATACCGGTCACTAAGGTAAACAACAGTGGAAAGCCACAGAGGGAACAGGATGGTGGACTAGATAGGCATTTGTTCTGATCCAGCAAAGATATTATGTTCTTAATTAGATAGAATGATGAGATCTCATCAAGGGAGCACACAAAATAACTTGAGGAAAAATTTGGATCTTTTACCATGAAAATGAATTTTTTCTATTTTACAAAATGTCTGTTCCTCCAAGATCTCCCTCTGTGTGTGGTGTGGGAAGGGCTATTTACTTCAAAAACAATTCAGACTTACCATAGGCTGAGGTTTTACGGCAACAGCTCGTTCAACTTTTGGTTTGGTCTTCTCTTTTGGCTTTTGCTCTTTGCCTTCACTTAGAAACTTCATGGTGGCTGCAGCATGTTTGAGAATGCATTCATGACCACAGTACACAGAACCTGACTGAGCAACATTAGAACACCCTGGGCCAATGCAACTGGCTGCTTCAGGCTCTTCAACTACCTGAAGAACAGCACAAGAAATTAAAAAAGAAAAGAAAAATGTTTAACCTCTTTATCACTGGCAAGATTTTGACACAACAATGCTAAAAACAGAGCTGTCATACATGCACTTTGACAAAGCTCAGATATATTTTAAAGGCTTGCTTTTCTTAATGGTGGTTTGCTCTTCTATTTTTCATCTGTTTCTATCTTTTTTATATGTGTTCATGTGCTAAAGGCTGTCTGCATTTTGCAATCTATAGGTGTTTTTCTTACTCAAAGTTTCTGCATGTATGTTTGGATGTACATTCTAAAAAGATTTGTAGAACTTGGGTTTTTGTTTTTTTAGAAATAGTCAAGTCTACTTCGTCTACTTGACTAAGAAGGGTAACCTTAAGTTCTGACACAGTGACAACCTCTACGAGCAAGGCCAGTGGGGATGCGAAATCTACTTTTTGCCTTCTGGGAGGATTCCTCCCAGGTAAAGGTGAGCTGTTATCTAGACTAATCAGTGTGAATTCATAAGTGAATGAAAGGAGTTCACAGAAAGAATGCTTTCCACCCTTTCTCTCCCCCCACCAAGGCTCCCTGGAAGACTGGGGCCCTCGCCTGAACCTCATCGGAATGAGTGTAGGGAAAGTAAAGAGATAATCTGAAATGCAGACATCTCATTTGATTTGGGACATTTCTCCTTCCCTTTGCATCCCCCTGTACTCCATTCCTCACTTTCTAAATACTCTTTGGTTGGTCTCCCATCTCTCAACTCTGTTCTGTTTCCTCCACCCCAATTTCTGGTATGTTCCACACTTTGATAATCTATTCCAGAATAGGTATGTCTTGAATTATGTTTTTACTAGAAACTAGGGATTAGCAAATTCCATATTAGTTCATGGTAAGTTCTACTCATGGAGTTATAGATCACGTATAGTATAAGATTAAGTGAAATTTGCATAATTTGTCTACTATAATAATTTGCCTCCAGAATCTGGTGCTGTCATCTGGTTTATTATCAAATGTGTGGAGGAAGGATCTGCTTTAATAATTCATCTCCCAACAGTTATGCTGATTATTTTTATAAATCTTACTTATTTTATAAAGTGAAAGTAGATTTGGGCCTTTTCAGGCAAGACCAATAGAAAAAGGATTTAGATTATGGCACATTGCAATAAAAATGCCAGAACTCTCTAGTAACATCTAATCAACTCTACAACAAAATTAACAACAGAAATTGAAATCATGTACAGTGGTACCTTAGGTTATATTACCGTCGGGTGATGTAATTTCGAGTTACAAACGTGGCAAACCCGGAAGTGTATACTTCCAGGTTTCGCCGCACAGAAGCGCTCTACTGCGCCGTGTGCATGCGCATAAGCGGCGCCACCGGATATGGACTTTTCGGGGTGAGTAGGGACCCCCTGGATGAATTAAGTTCATATCCGGAGGGTCCACTGTATAGCCTTGATAGGCATGGAGCTTGATCCTCCAAATGTTCTTGGACTCCAACTTCCATCAAACCTAGCCAAAATAGCCAATAGTTAGGGATGATGGGAATTGCAGACTAACATTTGCAGGGTCAAAGACTTCCTATTCCTGATATACAGAAACCTAGGAAGCAATTAGCAACTTCTGAGATTCAGAAATGAGTAGAGGCTTTCATAATAATCTGTTCCCTATTTTTAAAATAACTGAAGCACAAGACAAAAAGAAATTATGGTTATGGATAGCTCTTCCATATCTTAAACTGATATTCATGCAGCAGGGTGTGTGTGCTATAACTATTCCATACGAATATGTTGTTCCCTCACCCCACCTTTTCCTTCTTTGTATATAGGATAAATAGGACAATTGTGGAAGGAGATACTTAAGGGATAGGAAATAGAGAGAAAAGAGAAAGCATTTTGTTAATGTAATGTCTAAGAAACTTGGTAACATTTAAACAAACAAACATCAAATTATAGCCCTATAGCAAGCGAGAACCAAGACAGAATGACAGAACAGCATGCAGATGCAACCAAGGTAGCTAAGAATGAGCAATACTTCCCCTATTTCCTCTTCTAAAATATATTAGTATTCTGATTCACTAAGTATAATGAATTACCTATATCTAAGTAGTGTATTTGCTTAATACAATAACTAGCATACAAAAAATACAAAATTTAATTATACCTAGGGTGACTTTTTCTTTCACTTCAGTTCTGAACCAGAACAGTTGCACTAGAAACACACTTAGCCTCATGTCACTACAAATTAAATACTCACTGGTTGAAATATTTTGAGCTTTTTCTTTCCACTGGGATTAGCAGCCTTTTCAATCCGTCCCTTGATTCCTTGGTCTTCAATGGACTTTTGCTCAACAGTTCCTATGCTTGTAAGCTCTGTGCCATCACCTGTTACCTGTCCCAACATGGTTTGTTGTTGGTCTGCATCCATAACTGTTTCATCATGCACCTGCAGAATGGTGCAATTTGGGCAGATATAGTCCTCCCCATTCCTTTCCAAGAGTCGCCCACGAGCCTCTGAAATCCCTACGCAGTTTCCATGAAACCATTCCTCACATCTATCACAACAAATCATAAACCTAAAAAAGAAAAGGGTTGGCAAAAATATATCATTAATGTGAAATACTTCAGTTTTACAAAATCTGTCTGATTACAATCAAATACAGCCAATAAAATTAGTCATATCACCACCAAATATGGCTGATTACAATCAAATACAGCCAATAAAATTAGTCATATCACCACCAAATCATACCACCACACTAAATAAAAAAGATCCCACATCTATATGAAATCAGACAAAAGCTTACTTCGTTATCCCATTTAACTCTTTTCTTTACATAATTAAATGCCCAAATGTCTCAGTAAATGATGCAATTTCACCCCTACATATGACTCCCACTGCTTTGCTAAACCCATATACAATTGTCTTTCTTTGCACCTTTGCATTCCTACAGACTACTCAGGAACAACAATGGCTTCAAGTTACAAGAAAGGAGATTCTGACTAAACTTATGGGAAAGCTTTCTGATGTTAAGAGCTGTTCAACGGTGGAACAGACTCCCTCGGGAGGTTGTGGACTCTCCTTCCTTGGAGGTTTTTAAGCAGAGGTTGGATGGCTATCTGTAATGGTTGCTTTATCTGAGATTCCTGCATTGCAGGGGGTTGGACCACATGACTCTCCGGGTCCCTTCCAACTCTACGATTCCATGATCCTATAACAAGCCTTCCCAAAACTGCATTTCCCCTTCCTGAAAATTCAGAGTACTACTTCCCTCTTGACTGATTAGACCATATGAACGCTTCCACCCTAAATTAGAACTTCTGTATCTCAGACCACTGGGACTGAACAATAGTGGTAGATATATGTGAAGAGCCATGTGGTAGCACAGCAGATGTATTTTAAATTGTGCATTCCAAGCAACACAAAATTAAATTGTTGTTTGAAAGTTCCATATACATGCTCTCTCAACTGCATTCAACAACTATCCCTCTATCACTCAAAACTTCCAAACCTCTATAAAAAGTTCTTGTACATAATAGACTGTCTCTTAAGAGCAGAAATTTCAAAACTGTCTATTTCATGTTTAAAGATTTTATCCAACTACTATACAGTGGTACCTCGGGTTACAAACACTTCAGGTTACAAACTCTGCTAACCCAGAAGTGGTACCTCAGGTTAAGAACTTTACCTCAGGATGAGAACAGAAATCACGTGCCGGCAGCACGGCAGGCCCCATTAGCTAAAGTGGTACCTCAGGTTAAGAACGGTTTCCGGTTAAGAATGGACCTCCAGAACGAATTAAGTTCATAACCAGAGGTACCACTGTAGCTATTTTAGAAACTATTTGGTGGCGGGGTGCAGGGGAGTTTGTGAAAAACTATTTTAACTTCTGTATATTATAAAGTATGGGCGTGAATTTTTCTTGATTTTCCTCATTTATCTTTTTTAAACCACTTTGAGGGGTTTTTTTACAATCAAGCGGTGTATAAATTTTATGAAATAAATAAGTAGGTAATACCTGTTGTTGTGAGGCTGCTGACAGATACAGTACAGAGTACTAGGATCATAAACTTCAGACTCTGATTTCCTCTTTTTGGATTCTTCAGGTTCATCCCCAGTATGCGCAGGAGATCTTCCTTCTTTCTTAACCTGAACTGCTTCACTCATTTCTTTGGGAACCGTTCCTTGATCTCCAGTCTCGGTATTGCCTATACTTTCTGGTTCTTGCTTTACAGCTATTTCGGTCTTAATTTGGTTGCCTGCTTGAACATCAACTGTCTCTGTAGGATTTTGTTCTTGATGTTTTTTCCTGAGGCGATTCTGTAACTCTTTCAGAGTTAGTTCTGTAGGTTTCTGCTCGACACATTTCTTTCTTAGACGGTTCTGTAGCTCTTTCAGTGTTAACCCATCACTATCACTGTCAGATGAATCATCCTCCCTTTCCTCATAGTCATGTTCTTTAGTGGTTCTACCTTTCCCAGCTGGCTGGCCCTTACTGTCCTTGGAGTGACACTTCTGAGACATGGCTTTTACATCTGACATGCTTTCTACACTGCCTTCAGAAGCAGTTTCAATGTCAGTAACATGGCAGGATGCTGGCTCGCTCAAGTCCTCAAGAGCTGTGGGAAGATTCTTCCTTCCTCTGCGCCTTACAGTTGTAAGAAATTCTTCTACCCGTTCAGTGCGTTTGGGCTGTCGCCCACTACGCCTAAGAGCCAGACTTTGCTGCTGTGGAGATGACTGTTCGGTGATGTCCATTTCAGCATCCCCTAAACCTTCACGCTTTGCAATTGTAGTTCTCCGAAACCCCCAAGTTTTCTTGAACTCCTTACTTGTGGGTTTAATTGTTTTTTGTTCATCGTCATTGCTTTGCTCACTTTTGTCATCCAAAGCTGATGTTGAAGAGAAATGATACAAAGAATTGCCTATTTTAAACATGGATTTTAAAATTGCCTTCCCATAAACAGTAACATGTTTTACACTTCTTCCTGTGTATGCTTCATTTTTGAACTTTTGAGCAAAAACATACTTCCTCTTGAAATTCCAACTAAACAGAATGCAAGGTTATATCAGAAACAGGGCACAGTGTTAAGTTTCTCTGTCCGTTACACCTTGTTTTTCCGCACCTCTTCCCTTTCAGGCTTAATCAACAAAGGAGTGTCAGCTCACCAATATGGCAGCTACCTATCCTGGCAATGGATAGGTAGAGACTATGGTCAAGATGAATGGACAACATATTACTCAGCCTATTATATAAAAGTCTGCTCAGGGCTATGAATTCACAAGTGCAACTAGCTATTTGTCTATTGGCTTGGATCCATCTTCCCCAACCTGGTAACCTACAAATGCTTTAGGTTATAACTCCCATCAACCCTGGATAGTATGATGAAAATTGTAGCCCAACACATTGGAATACATCAGGTTGGGGAATGCTGACCTATAACGAATAGGACATTCCCCAAATACAAGAGATACAATTATTTATGTTCTATAGCAGTATATGAGTGTCAAATAACTGAAAAGTTTTACTTATTTATTTTAAAAAATATCTATATACCGCTATTATCATAAAAATACCAAAGCAGTTTACATACATCTATCTATCTATCTATCTATCTATCTATCTATCTATCTATCTATCTGTTTCCTAGTTCTGCTGGATCTCTCAGTGCCTTTTGACACCATAGACCATAACATCCTTCTGGACCGTCTAGAGGGGCTGGGAGCTGGGGGCACTGTTATACACTGTGGTTCCGCTTCTTCCTCCTGGGCCGTGTTCAGAAAGTGGTTGTGGGGGATGAGTGTTCAGACCCCTCGGCTCTCACTTGTTGGGTGCCTCAGGGTTCTTTCCTCTCCCCCTTGCTTTTCAACACCTACATGCAGCCGCTGAAAGAGATCATCAGGGGGTTTGGGCTGGGTGTTCATCAGTATGCAGATGATACCCAGCTCTACCTTTCAAATCAGAACCAGTGAAGGCGGTGAAGGTCCTGTGTGAGTGTCTGGAGGCGGTTGGAAGATGGATGGTGGCTAACAGACTGAGGTTGAATCTTGACAAGACAGAAGTACTGTTTGGGGGGACAGGAGGCGGGCAGGTGTGGAGGACTCCCTGGTCCTGAATGGGGTAACTATGCCCCGAAGGACCAGGTGTGCAGCCTGGGAGTCATTCTGGACTCACAGCTATCCATGGAGGTGCAGGCCAATTCCGTGTCCAGGGCAGCTGTTTATCAGCTCCATCTGGTACGCATACTGAGACCCTACCTGACCGCGGACTGTCTCGCCAGAGTGGTGCATGCTCTAGTTCTCTCTCGCTTGGACTACTGCAATGCGCTCTATGTGGGGCTACCTTTGAAGGTGACCCGGAAACTACAACTAATCCAGAATGCGGCAGCTACACTGGTGACTGGGAGCGGCCGCCAAGATCACATAACACTGGTCTTGAAAGACCTACACTGGCTCTTAGTACGTTTCCGAGCACAATTCAAAGTGTTGGTGTTGACCTTTAACACCCTAAACGGCCTCGGTCCAGTATATCTGAAGGAGCGTCTCCACCCCCATCGTTCTGCCCGGACACTGAGGTCCAGTGCCAAGGGTCTTCTGGCGGTTCCCTTACTGTGAGAAGCCAAGTTACAGGGAACCAGGCAGAGGGCCTTCTCGGTAGTGGCACCCGCCCGCCCTGTGGAACGTCCTCCCACCAGATGTCAAAGAGAAAAACAACTACCAGACTTTTAGAAGACATCTGAAGGCAGCCCTGTTTACAAAAACTTTTAATGTTTGATGTATTACTGTATTTTAATATTTGGTTGGAAGCTGCCCAGAGTGGCTGGGGAAACCCAGCCAGATGGGCGAGGTATAAATAATAAATTATTATTATTAATTATTATTATTATTATTATTATTATTATTATTATTATCATTATCATAAAGAGTATATCAGAGACTAATAACTATTAAAACTATTAACTTTCATTGCAAATCAATGCAGACTATGATCAGTATTATTACAGTGGTACCTTGGTACTTGAATGGCTTGTCTCACGAACAAATTGGCTTTCAAACACTGCAAACCCGGAAGTATGTCTGGGAACGTTTTTCGGAAGCTGAACATCCAACACGGCTTCTGCTTGAGTGCAGGAAGCTCCTGCAACCAATCAGAAACTGCACTTTTGTTTTTGAACCGTTTTGGGAGTCAAACGGACTCCCAGAACAGATTAAGCTCGAGAACTAAGGTACCACTGTATAGGCAATTGGAACCTTTAACAAAAGGTTTCCGTGTCAGGTGTTTGAGGTTCCAGCTACTTCATTCACCTTTCCCCAGCAATCAGCATTCTGTGACCAGGGCACATGCTCAGTCATCACTGGGCCGTTCCCTCCTACTTATTTTGTTTAAAAAAATACTTTTGTACTTCTGCAAACCTTGGGGTCACCACCAAACCTTCCAATATATATCTCTTGTGAATGGGTGGTACAGTTTTGGCTACATAAGCAATAGCACTCACAGCCTAATAATCAGAAATGGAAGTAATTACAATTAGAAACCTTTATTCAGGTTAGACACTTTCCTAAACAAAATAATTTACCAAGAGAACGGGTTTCCATATTAGATTCAGAATCCAGTGCCAGAGATTCCAGATTCTCTTCTTTCACACCAGTGATAACACTATTCCCATATGTCACCCCTGAAAAAGAACAAACACAAAAGGTTTTTAACACTGATTTACTTTCAACCTGATAAACATGGAAAAGCAAATTTGCTATTTCATTAACATATTTAGATTGGGATGGGGCACCTTTTTCAGCCTGAAGTGACATTCCCCTCTGAGGATCACAGGTGAGGACAGAGACAAAAGTGGGTACAGCAACTAATGTAGGTTTGTTTTTGGAGTAAACTACTTTCTATAGACACATACACATACCCCCTATTATCCATCCATCCAGGCAAGCAGCTAGAGACTTCATCAGCATTCAAGGACACATTGCAACTAGGCAGAAACACCCTGGGTGTGAAGCAGGGCCAATGAGGGGTGAGGCTTGGAAAGGGTCCTGAAGGAATTTAGACAGCTGATGACTCTTAAAAAAGCAGAACATTGCTAGTTTTGTAATGGTCCTACAGTTACAGCATATTTTGAACACAGCACACATATTGTCTAAAGGGTCAATCTTCAAGGTAGAGCTGGGAAATGCTTCTGTCTGAAACCGTGGACAGCTCCTACCAGTCACTTATCGACAATGCCAAGCTAGATGGGCCAACAGCCTGACTCTGTATAAGGCAGCTTCCTACCCTATGAATGCACCATTGTGTTTATTTTAGCATGTGTGGAATCTAAAGTATGTTGTCTGTTACATTAAATATAGCTTGAAGGGAACAGGTTAGGCAATTAAAGCATGCACTTGCTGAAACATGTTCCCACACTTGCCTTCTTCCCAACTCCACAATCGCTGTCTGCCAGAAACAAACGTAGCAGTACTCTAGGTGTGCTGCAGCATAATACAAGGTACTTCTCCAGTTGCTCCCCTGCCCACCCCAGAGATTCTGACTTAGTGCACATTGACTGAACACAGACACCAACCATATAGCTTTCAAGTCTCCTTTTTACCTATAACCTCAGTTATGCTACTCTGAATAGAGCAACTGTTACCATACACATCAGCGACACTATGGGCTCCCACTCCAGTGACTGCTCATAATCCAAGAATGGTGCCTGAATAGGAAGCATGTTCTGTACATCACAAACTGGTCTGTAAGTCTGCCTTCCTACATTTTCCATGCCTACTGGGACCCTGACAATTTTCACCAGTCACCCCATACAGTATTAGACTTCCTGAGATACTGAATCTAGGCAAGACTCGTTCACAATATATTGGAAAAATCTTCTGGATTGGGGTCCATGCCTTTTGTCCTATGGAATAGCAGGGAAATGAGTATCAGCCCTACACAATCTTTGTACTGGGCGTGTCATAACACTATTTCTATAATTTATTCTGCTTACAGCAAGCCTTCTCAAGTTGGACTTCCAACTTTTCAGAACTGAATTTCTTCAGACAACTGTCCCCTGCCTAATTATGAACAAAGTCCCCAGCTTTGAGCCGCAAAACTCCACAAACATGTTATATGACACAATGTCACACAGCAATGTGGACACAGCTAGGACTTGCTTTCATAATTATTGTATTTTCCCGTGTATAAGATGCCCCCATGTATAAGATGACTCCTATTTTTCCGAACCCAAAATTAAGAAATCAATATTTTAAACAGCAAACAGAACAACTTTGATATTTTATTAAACATTCAAAGCACTGGCAACAGCATGACAACCCCCACGGGCGCCTGGGGCAGCAGCGAGGCGTGCCCCACCAACACTCAAGATCGCCCAAAGTTGAGCTTTTTTGGGGAGATTGCCCAAGCCAGGCACCCGGGAGGGACAGTTTAATCCCTGTGCATTCACCATCCATGTATAAGACCCCCCTTAATTTTTGACTAATTTTTTTTAGCAAACAACATTGTCTTATACAGCGAAAAATAAAGTACAATAGAATTCTGAAGAGACTGCAATGCAACAGAACACAGTATATAATTAAGATCTTAATATAGGTTTACTTTGGATAGTAAAGAAAGGTTATGAAATAAGAAGGTGGATCCTAATTTCCAGAAAAAGCAAATGAAATAGAATAGGCTCCAATATCCTCTAAATGCTTTTACCTGACATAGCATTAGAGGATGCCAGTATTTTTTCTCCCTCTTGACTTAAACCAAAGGAAGAATCACTGGAGGGCAGAAGCAAGTCACTCAGCATAAGCCCTACAGTGCAGGCTGTTCTGGGGAAGTCAGAAGCACAAAGTTCATCTTGATGCCATCCTGTTGACTCCGAAACCAGCAATGCTGCACTTGGTTTGGCTGCCTGTTACAAAAAATGTATTTAGATTGTTGTTCACCACTTCTTACCCATTTGAAATAAGAGATCCTGCTCACACTAACTAAATTATTAGAACTTGCACCAACGTATTTTTAAAGGGGATAATTTCATTACATTTCATACAGGATGAAACCTATTAAGCATTAACCATTTGTGAATGCTACACTCGACCACAACTTTCAAAGTTTTGCCTCTATCAAGTGTTTTACAGGAATGGAATTGGGCACAGGTATTTTTATAAATCAAAGAGTACTAAGGTAATTAAAACTTCAAATTATTGTGAAGTCATAGAATGAATACTTGCAAAAGAAAAATCTTCATCCTACTATAAAATATGGGTATTCCTGTTTAAGGGATGATTTGAAGAACAAGTTACCTGTTAAGGTTTTTGAACAGATCTTCAGTATTAAAACATCCCCTTGCTTCTGCTGCCAGTTCTCGCTTTCTCCATCACTAACCCACACAGGGATTTGCCCAACCGACAAATCCCAACCACCAGAAATCAAAAGCTTGAAGATTCTACCCCATCTCATTTAAAGGGCCAGCACTTTAAATACTGTGTCAATACCATTTGTTCAGCGCAGAAAACAAAAAGAGAGATTGGGGAGGTTGAATTAAATATGGCCAAAACTGTTGTAAGTGCCATCTTCAGACAAAACTAGGCTTTAACAACCACAAAAAATGCTACAGAAAAATCTAATGCAATTTTATTCTCTCAATTTATTTATGTTGTCAGATATTTTGCCATACGCAAAAGGATAATTCTTCCCTAAAACTGCATTTTAAGATAGGGCTTATTATTTGGTTACCTCAGGGGAAATTTATGTTAGCATAGACTTTTGAAATGTATCTTTCTCAAATAAACAGGGCATAAGTATTCCTCCTTGAATTGTGTCAACCTTTAAGCAACATTATAATTCAACACCACTTACAGATAATGTGTGCCAACACATATCCTAGATGGCTTTCTAAATACTATGCAAATAAAGTCTACTATGATAGGACAAGTTATCATGGGAGCCCTGTAACAACAATAAGGTATTTGATACCTTTACTAAACTGCCTTGTGTTTCACTGCTTGAAGCAGTGGCTACATCCCAGGAATCAGAGCTTGATGGCTGAAGAGATTCTGAGTTTAAGGAGCTTCCTTCCACGATGATGCTTTGTAATAACCTCCCAATCTCCCTGTTAAGAAGCTCCAACTCATCACACATCATGCAATTTTAAAAGATCTGCCAGAAGGAAGAGGGAAAAAGTTGGCTAATCATTTCTTGTTCAATTTCTTTATAAAAGTATCTCTTTAATTCTAAAGCAAAACTAAAAGCCTAATTATCAGCTTATACTTTAATAATACTAAAAGTCATATCCCATCAGTTAGATGACAGAATAATTGGCCATTATGCAAAGAACGCATATTATACACTAAACCCCTAATGTGTTTAATTTGGGGGAAAAGTAATTAGACATTACTTTAGCATAAAGAGCAGTTGGCATACAATTTGTTCACTTCCTTCTGCTGGAAATTCTCCACTGCATTGGAGAATACATTGCAATTTTACTCTACCCTGGAGCAAGGGGATAATATTGTATGTTAAACACAAGCTGGCTGAGCAGGGTCAGCTACCACATGTGGATGACTCCCGCAAGACTTAACAGAGGCCCCTTTTCTCAAACTCCCCCAAACCAAGAGCAAGGGCAGCATGCAAAAAATGCTGCAGGGAACAGGCCTATTTATAAACAGCTTTCAAAAGGTAAGGTAAACAGCTTTCAAAAGGTTTACCGATTTTGCAAGCATATATATACACAATGAGGGGAGGGGGATCTTGGGTTTGAATTGGGTGGACGCAGGCACAAAGGTGTCATTAGAGTGAATATAAGTGCTGTCACATGATTGGTGATTGCATTGGATAGTCAAGTGAATGGGACTGACCAAGTCAGGCTTCTTCAACCTCGGCCCTCCAGATGTTTTGAGACCACAGTTCCCAGCATCCCTGACCACTGGTCCTGCTAGCTACGGATCATGGGAGTTGCAGGCCAAAAACATCTGGAGGGCTGAGGCTGAGGAAGCCTGGACCAAGTCATCCATTTTTATGTCTAGAGAATTGATAATGTACAGATGTGTTGTCATAGAAACAACTAGCTAGTGTTGTTTCCAGAAGGAGAGGGTAGGTCTTCATCCCTCACCAGGCTGGAGACCAAGGCACCCTAGCAGTAGAAGAATAAGAAGTCAGGGTCTAGCTTTTGCCTCGTGTCCTCTGGAGCCGGGAAGACACAGAGGCCTGACTTGCTCTTTGTGATTAAACCAAAGCTATGGCTTTCAGGACCCTCCCTAGAAATCCAATGGAAGAGCAAGATCCGTTGGGACTCTGTAAGCCCTTCAAACTTATTGCTCAGTTTGTATATGTGTGTAAATAAAATTACACAATGTGGAGACACTACAGACTCCAGTGACTTTTATTCTAAGGAAATCAAAGCCAGGATAACCACTTGAAGAATAACCCTTGAAGTCTCTCATGACTTGAAAATTGGGATGGGTGTTACAGTATTTATGCACAGCAGAACCCTTAACAAAAGGCAGGCTTCAATTCCAGCACTGCTAGGCTTGCCTACAGATGTTCCCTTTTACGTAAATGCCAAATCAGGAAGATCCTATTCCAAGCTCCTGAAGCTACACTGCAAGCTTAAGGAAAGCTACATCAATCATTAATGTTTCAGTCACATCTCCAGTCTGCTTCTACAACCATCTGGTAGAAAGTGTTCACTAACTTGAAAATATTTTCTATTTCTTTCTTCTAACATTATCAAGTAACAGTTAGCAACCTAAGTTTTGTGTATATTTGTGTGCAATCCGTGCACACACTTGCATGTAAAGCCATTTGCCTTTTCTGAATGCAGCTTCTGAAAATCCCTCAAGTTCTGGTGGAGCCACAGTCAAAAGGGAGCTACAGTCTAAAGAGACCCTGAACTCTTGCTCAAACAAATGAGTAATTTCCCCATCTGGCATGTTGGATACTGACCTGCATATACATTGTCTATGGTGTTAGGATTTGCAAGCTTCAAATAACTATTAACCAATTACAACATATGGGGATGTGATTAAGTTTTAAAACTAGCACTGGAGATTGCAATGTCTGCAATATTAGATGCAAAACACAGACAAGTGTTATTAGTCAGTAAGTCCATAATGCAAAGGGGTCACTAAGAGCAAGTTGCGGCAGAAACACCAGAAATAGAGTAGCAGCCTTGGCCAACCCACATTTCCCTTCTGCCCTTCCCAGCTCAGCCCCTCCACAGCAGCTGACAAGCAAGGGTGATTTAAAATGACTCATCTAAATCATTCCAAGGAATACCAATGTGACATTACTGATTCTCGTGGCTTTCCATTTAAAACAGCCATTTCCCTAAACAAAAACACAATTTCCTTCCTTACTACGCTATCAATATTCTGATAGATTCAAAGGTTCTTATAACACTAATGTGTCGGGTTGCAATATATTTCAGAACCTTTGATCACAATCTTTTGACTACAGAAATATATCTACATTTGTACTGGAATAGGTTTTTTTATGTGAGAGGAAGGATGGGATATAAATTCAATAAATGAAATATATGCATTGAGACTAGAGATGGCAAAATATGTGAATAGATAATTTTTGTTTCTCTCCGTACATATGCAACTACTTTAGGATCACTTACTGGAAAATTTAATTGTTCAGAACTTTTCAAAAGCTAGAGTTGATGTTAGTTGGACCAAACGTGTTTTCTTAACTTAAATCTGGGAAACAAGACACTGCTGTGAGCTCAGTTAGTGAGATAATATAGAGTACAAGATCACACAGTATGGCTTAGCAGTCACCCGTATCTGAGTACAGGATGGAACTCCCTGGATTCTAGCACATATGATTCACAATCCATGCCAGTAGGAATTATAATAAATATCAGTTGTAACATCTGCTTACTCTGCCAAAGCTCTTTTTTAAAAAACAGGCACTCCCCCCATTTTACAAATGGCAATGGAATAGAATTAAAAATACACTGTAGGGTTTAGAACATTTGTATTATATGTTGATTTTATTTTAAGCTTATTTAAGAAATGTGTTGGGGACGCGGGTGGAGCTGTGGGTAAAACCAGTGCCTAGGACTTGCCGATCGTATGGTCGGCGGTTCGAATCCCTGCGGCGGGGTGAGCTCCCGTCGTTCAGTCCCAGCTCCTGCCCACCTAGCAGTTCGAAAGCACTCTTAAGTGCAAGTAGATAAATAGGTACCGCTTTATAGCGGGAAGGTAAACGGCGTTTCCGTGTGCTGCGCTGGTGCTGGCTCGCCAGCTGCAGCTTCGTCACGCTGGCCACGTGACCCAGAAGTGTCTTCGGACGGCGCTGGCTAACAGCCTCTAGCGCGAGATGAGCACGCAACCCTAGAGTCGGACACGACTGGCCCGTACAGGTAGGGGTACCTTTACCTTTAAAAAATGTGTATTTTTAAGAAATAGCTAAAATTCATGGCTAGGATCTGAAGGAGTTACTTGTATATACTTAAAAGACTGCACAGGCCTAACGGAATTTTATCTGTTAGAAGAACCCATCTCCTATCGCCCAATCTGCCTCTGAAGCATCCCTCAGTTTCAACAGTGCTGCAATTATTAGGAATATGACCTGTTGACATCAGATTGCTAACTTGAAAGTAATGTGACAGAAACACTAAACTGTGCATCATGACCATTAAATCAATCTATGTAGAAAGGAAGAAAGGAGAATCCTATCAAACATTATCAATCTAATAGTGTCTACAAACCAGATGCTGCCACCATCAAAACATCTCATGTTACAGTACTGTATAATTATAATCATGCACAGTATTTATAACAAAATAAAATGACTCTTTTACAGCACATAATTAGAAACCTACCAGATAGGATTCTGCTCTAGCCCTGCTTCACAACATAAAGCAACAAACACCCTAACATCTTCACAACCTTATTGCTTTTCTGGGATTGCAACAAAAAAACACTCACAGAAATAAGCCAAGTATTTTAACATACTACAAGAGCAATCACAGCTGTAAAACTATATTAAGCAATGAGATGTTAGTTTTCTCTTAGTATGACTTGTGGGAATTACCAACACAGCATTTGTGCACAGATATCTATTTTGCAACCAAAAACACATGGTATACCAAGTACTGGAATGATTTAAGTGACAAGTGTCTAGTTTTTTCTAGTTGTATTTCTACTGAAACTCATCCAGCATTAGTCAAAAGAGCATTAGTTTTAAGTATTTAACTTCTCTTTTCCATAGCCACTCAAAAGTATCATTTCTTCATTGTCGCTATTATCACAACACAACCAGACTTTGCCATCCCAGTTATCAGCTTATTTGAAATATCTCAATCTTTTCATTCTAGCCAAGATCATGGAACAGCAGTTAAAAGAAAAAACATGAAAATAAGCAGCCAAGCTACGCAAAGTCTTCATCCCTTTGTTGCTGTATATTATTTTCACCAGCAAAACAGAGCAGTCGATCTCTGAAGATAAAGACTCTTAAGTTGTCAACCTTTTCACAGTTAGCTGAATGTGTCCACAGCCGATCTGATCTTTTGCATTATATCTCTCTCCCCATTTCACCAACAGTGTAACCCAAAGATCAGCAAACATTTCAAAATTTTCATTGTTAGGAAATAGCTAGAAACGCTTAGGAGAATTTAAGTAAATATAATGCATGGAGATGGAAAGTAAAAGGTAGACCCTTTGTAAACAAAGTAAAAGTGCATTCTAGCAAGACTGGTGGAAGAGAAAGTACAATGGTAGGAATAACTGCAAAGAGGTCACTTCTTAAAATCTTTACACAGAGTACATAGGAAAAACCACTGATTATCAAGAGCTATGCTATTCAACAAAAAAAGCCTAATTTAAGAGGGGGCAGAAATGAGCAATGAAAGCATTTTAATCAAATATTGCATTATGCAAGCTATTCTAACATCCTGTCCTGGACATTGCAATAGGATAGACGTCACCAAAGATCCACCACACTTTGAGGAGTTTCTCTAAGGATGTCACAAAAATGCATCAGAAATGCCTGTAATGTTTTTATGTCTCCTGAATAATGAATTTCCCTAGTGTATAAAACCCTATTAATACTATAATATTATATACAACCATACACGCACAAGCCATATAAAGATATGTATCGGTGCTCAGCAGGACCTATACACACAGCGGAGAGCTCAACCTAAACAAGGCTCTCTGGAGCTTGCACAGAGCCAAGTCAACATGCCTCTTCCTTCCCACTCCAGCTCAAAGCCAGGTGAGGGGAGAAGCAACTCTACATACCACCACTCCATCCACATCAAAGATGGATGTGGGAGGCAGTGGGATACTACTCAGCCAACCTGCCATGCCTCCATCTTAGAAGCTGAAGGAGGAAAGAGAATATGCGCTTCTGTAAGAAAGCATGTCGAGGGCTTGCCAATTTGGCCGTGCACAGCCAGGGTTTATCTCTCAGCTTGGCTCTGCACTGGTCAGATGCTGCTCTGAAGAAGGATTGTTATTTTTTGCACACTGAAATGTGAATGAATGGCGAGTAGTCAGTCCACAGATTCCACATATAAGATTATTTATTTTGTTCCTCCTATCAACAACCTATACCAGGGGTCGGCAACCCGCGGCTCTGGAGCTGCATGTGGTTCTTTTACACCTTTGCCTCGGCTCCGGGGCGGATACTAGAGCTACCCATGTACCCCCAGCAGCCAAAACAAAATGCCACAAAATGAGTGAATGATTTCCCCCCCCAAAAAAATTTACACAACAAACATAAAAAGAATAAATTGATCTTACATTACATATACATTACATTCTCGCTGCAAGAAGCCACATTACAGGGAACCAAGCAGGGGCAGAGGCGAGGGAGCATCCCTCAATTTCCTACTGGCGTGAGAAGCGTAGAAAGTACACGGCCATCCCGTGAAGTCTTTTGCGGCGGTTGCGAGAAAATGCCTGTGAAAACGCAGCCTGCCGGGACTCGGTCCCTGAGCGCCGTGTCGGCCAGACAGGACTTTTTGCGCCCGCTTACAAAGCTGCCACATGTCGGACGCTCCCTCGCCCGCTTTGTCAGGCGCCTTCGGGCAGCTCGAACCTGCCCCCCAGACCAGCCTCCTTCAATCGGCCCCTCCGGTGGCAGCTCACGCGCCGGGCGATTGGCCGAGCGGGAACCGGCAGTGGGCGGCTTGCTGCCCCACGGCAATTATTACTATTAATACTATTATTACTATTGCCACCATCATTAACAGTATCATTGTCATTTTTCTTAATTAAATATAATCTCAGGGGACCTCAGCCCTTGCCACTTAATGCTCGGTTTAACCTCCACTCGCTTCTTAGGTTAAAACCTTATTTTATTTTTTTAATGGTAGCACCTTATCCCTTTTGGTTTCTCCATTGCATTTCCTTCCCCTGACAGACAAAATCCTCTCCCTCAGAGGCATCCGTGTACCCCCCTCGCACCCCCACCCCCCAGCTCCATTACTACTACTACCTCTGTGAATTTCTTTAAGACCGTCCAACTTGTCGCCTGTGTGAGGGAGTTCCATGGTTCAGTTGTGTGCTGGGTGAAAAAGTCCTCTCTTTCCTCTGCCCTGAATCTTTGAACATTCGGCTTCTTGGGATGTCCACAAGTTCTGGTGGTCCACAAGAGAGGGGGAAAAGCTTTTCTCTACCCTCTTTCTCCATTCCATGCATAATTTGCCAACTTCCTATCATGTCACCTCTTCTCTAAACTAAGATTACCAGTTTGTTTTTTCAATGAATCTGGGGACACTTTTCAACTTCCTATTAAATAGATTTTGCCATGGGACTGATTTGTAAATCTGGGGACTGTCGCTGGGAAACGTGGACGTCTGGTAACCTTCCTCAAAACTAAAAAGTCCCAAATGCTGCAACCTTTCTTCGCAGGGGAGGCCCCGGGATTCCAGTGCTATTTTTCTAGAGAAAGCGGTGCCAAAACTCGCCCTTGTTCTCTTAGACTGGCAATGGCACCCACCTGAGAGGGTGGGGAGGAAAACCCTGCCTGGATCATTTCAGTTGCTCTTTTCTGAAGTCCAGTTTGTTTTCTATTATTTTGTAAGTTTTGCGGCTCCCAGTTTTTTCTCTCTTCGGAAACGGGTCCAAGTGGCTCTTTTTGTCTTAAAGGACCTATACAGATTTTGTCTTAAAGGACCTATACAGATTTTAGCGGCGTTTACAATGACATTCTGCTTCCTGTAACATGCTAGTAGAATAATGCTAGTGGAACCCTTGCAAGAAGAACTGTCATGATTACAGTACAATGTACTCAAAAATCTAACGGGGGGGAAGCGGAGCTAAAAGCATAAACCAAAACTTTCCACAAATGGTGTTGGTACAACGGTGGGTTCACACATTAGCCTGTTAATGGATATATCACAGAACCCTGTTTCTGTCTGGACTAACTCTTCAGAAGAAGGGAGGTGGTGAGCAAAATAAAGCAGCTACAAATTCTGACACTTGCTCTGTCTTTTGTAATGCTCAAAGCTCCCAGCCAAGAGGGTTCCACCACCACAATCTATAGTCCTGGCCTCCAACATCACCCTGGCTCCCTCACACGCTTCCTTAACTCCTTGTTACTCTAGTGGAGTACTCCAGAGAAAACAGATGTTGCCAAAACAATAGAGATGTTTTACAACCGGGTATGATGGAATGCTGCAGACTGCTGCCAAAGGCGGCTAAGAGCCAGAACTGTGCAAAGCTGCGGCAGATGTTTTTTGACCAAAGCTGCAGGCTATGGATAGAGTCAACTGCTGAAAACATCCTTAGTTCACAGTGACATTCAACAATTCCAGAAAGAAAATTTGGCCTAGATGTTAATTTTCCAATAACCCTTATGAAACATGGAACTATCAATATCCAACTCTTACAGTGACATCAGTAAGCCAACTCAATTCTGCTACATCTAACTGTCAGAAAACCACAATAAAATCTTGTCTCCAGCATTTTAGACAGGGACCAACTCTAACATAAACATTCTTTAACTGAAGGCTGGCAGGGATTATATCTAGGATTTATACAATCAAATAAGTGGAAGATACAAAAAAAGAAAAAAAAAGACGGCTCATGTATACAATTTCGCACTATGATGCAGTACCATTCTCACACTAATGCCATCTACATCACATCGATACAGTATATAAAGACCAGAGACCTGTACACAGAATGTGTACACATTACAAAGGGAAACATAGGTTGAAAAACATAGCATAAAGCAAGTTACTGTCCCTTCCTACAGTTCATTTGTGCATGAATCCTGCAGCTTACGCAATTTATATAAATTTTGTAGCTGATCCTCCAATATCCTCTGTCAGAAAGCCAGTTCAAATTTTTTTCATACACTTCCATACACTTTAGTTCAATATATGAAGTGTGCACCTAGTATACTGCTTTTATTGGGTTGTTGTTGTTGTTTGCAAAGCTTTCAGTGCATATTTTGTTCAAGGTGTCACCTCCCTGGGACATTGCTGCTGAACTATGTAAGTACTTTTAATCACAACCAGCATGCTAGCAAGCATTTTGAGATGAAATTATACCACCCTATTGATTTAAATGAACTAATTTTTCCCTATATCCTCATGTACCATTTTGACACCAGCCAACATGCTAGTGGAAATGCAAAGGAACATACCTTACATATCATATTGCACTTGCTATTTTATTCTAGTCCATTTCATTTGCAGTTTTTTGGTTGGCTGTTTTGCATACATGTAATTCTTCAAAGCCAACACACATATCCTTTCAATAAGCTAAAGAAATAATCAGCTTAATCGGCAAAATGAGCTTTTCTTCCAAAGTGAAGACATTTTTGTGAATGTTCCAAGATGAGAGAAAACATTGTCCACACTTAGCACAATCTACCTGGAAGGTCCCTTTCACCAAACACTCTGAGGTGAACACACCCATGTATAATTTGCAATTATTTCACTGAAATGGCAGAGTAGGCCTTTGTACAACCAGCTATGCAAATGAGTGCTATCTCCTTTTCGGGGTAGTCTAACATAATGGCACAATGAAAATATCAAATTCTATTTGTCTGACATTAACCTGGAAGTAACCAGCAAGGGTGGCTGAGTTTTTATCAAAATTATTTCTTACAGCGATGAATGACACTATTTAGCAGGAAGAAACTCCAATGAAAATCCTCATTATTACATATTTTTACATGGCTGTTTATTTGTATATCTTTTAAAATTTTATATATGGATGTTTTATGATGGCCTATATTTGTAATGCCTAACACAGGTTTGGCAAAGTAGAGTAGGCCTTTGCCAGTGAATTGTGACACTTCCTTGATTTCCAATAATAAAGAGTTATATTCAGACTTCACTCATATAAACAGTATAGCAAGTCTAAACACTAAATTAAAAAATAGTGTTTTAAGATTCTTTAATCTCTGGAATTTATTTGAGGGGGAAGGAATACAGATGAAAAGGCCTGGGGAAAAACAGGGAAAATTGGGGGGGGGGGGAAAGAGTTTGATATAGTTTGAATATTCCAGACCTTTTTTGGGGGGGGGGAAACGGGGGGAAACCTGTTTTTCTCCAAATTTCCCCATTTTTTTCCAGGCTTTCCCATCTAACTATAATTTGTGGAAATGCTTAGCCTATTGATGAGAACAGTGTGCATTCTTTACACGTATCTTATTCCTCCTTTTGTTCTTCCATCTCTATTGCTTCTGTGGTGACTGCAGAAATGTGACGTGGATTTTGAGAAATTATTATTTGCTTCATCCCAAGAATGTTATTAATTACCCACCCTTCACCCTAAGGTTGCAGGATGGGTTCTACCAGCACGAGGCTCAATAAGTTAACAGAAGCCTAAACAAATCTAGCACTTTGGGTAGTATTCAACGGAAACTATCCACTGACCAAAAAAATCTGTCAGCAGAACAGGGAGGAAGGAGGTTTTCAGTGATACCTCCCTCATCTAACACCCCAGAGGACAGGATCACACTTCAAAACGACCTTGACAGATTAGAGAACTGGGCAAAAACAAACAAGATGAATTTTAACAGGGAGAAATGTAAAGTATTGCACTTGGGCAAAAAAAATGAGAAGCACAAATACAAGATGGGTGACACCTGGCTTGAGAGCAGTACATGTGAAAAGGATCTAGGAGTCCTGGTTGACCACAAACTTGACATGAGCCAACAGTGTGAACGCGGCAGCTAAAAAAGCCAATGCAATTCTGGGCCTCTTCAATAGGAGTATAGCATCTAGATCAAGGGAAGTAATAGTGCCACTGTATTCTGCTCTGGTCAGACCTCACCTGGAGTACTGTGTCCAGTTCTGGGCACCACAGTTCAAGAAGGACACTGACAAACTGGAACGTGTCCAGAGGAGGGCAACCAAAATGGTCAAAGGCCTGGAAACGATGCCTTATGAGGAACGGCTAAGGGAGCTGGGCATGTTTAGCCTGGAGAAGAGGAGGTTAAGGGGTGATATGATAGCCATGTTCAAATATATAACAGGATGTCACATAAAGGTTGTTTTCTGCTGCTCCAGAGAAGTGGACACGGAGCAATGGATCCAAACTACAAGAAAGAAGATTCCACCTAAACATTAGGAAGAACTTCCTGACAGTAAGAGCTGTTCGACAGTGGAATTTGCTGCCAAGGAGTGTGGTGGAGTCTCCTTCTTTGGAGGTCTTTAAGCAGAGGCTTGACAACCATATGTCAGGAGTGCTCTGATGGTGTTTCCTGCTTGGCATGGGGTTGGACTCGATGGCCCTTGTGGTCTCTTCCAACTCTATGATTCTATGATCTTACCCTCTGTCTCCCAAGCTGTTTCAGACTTGACAGTATGGTTGTACTATTAATTCAGACCTTCAACTCTCCTGTGATTTTATTACTTTCCTCCAACATAATTCTACCTCCAATTGCTCCAGCCCCAACTTAAATCTCTTAGTGAGACTAAGCTGACTACTTGTAGGCAAGGGTCACTGAATCAAATTTACTTAAAGTAAACTCTCTCATGACTAGGGTTCTAGTTTAGTTGTGCTGAGAAAAGCACAAAGCCCATAAAGTCTCTCTGGTTTCAATGATTAAGGTGATGGTGTTTCTTTCTGTAATCACCTGATAAGCCCTTTACGTTCTGTTACAAAACTGAGTAATACTTATTACCTTCCTAAAATGTCACTGAATTTTGACTTCTCAGAAAAAAAGACTACTACCAAGGCACCATTCTGCACCAGACTTATTTGAGATATGACTTACTGTATATGCTTCTATCATGCATGCTGTACAGCCTCACCAAAAGAACAATACACTAGATATCTCATATAAAATACCTCAAATTATTTTCTGCTACTAAGTTACAAAATATTTTCACTATATTTCAGTTTATCCCAGGTCATTCTCTAGTCAATCGTACCATTGTAACAAGGGGAGCTTGCTTGCTCCACTTTCTCAAGCAGGACACAACAGAATGAAGCAGCCTGCTTCACACAGCTCCAATTCCTGAGTAGTGGTTTTTTTTTTCCAAAGTGCTGGCCCAAACAGGTTGCAGGAGGGCACTACTTGGCCTCTGCTTCAGGAAGCAAAAGTCCTTGAACTAGTACTGTTCTCAAGAGGTAGAAAGCTCAAGGTTTGCTTCCTAACAATAAGGGTGAACACTGGAGACATATGGTATCTTTGTAATACTTCTGTATTTACAAGTAAACACACTGATCATGGAGAACCATGCAGACATCCAGAGATAACAATAGGCAAAACAGCATAAATTCAAACAAGACATGAATTTTGAGTCCCCAGTGCCATAAATCTGTCGGGTCCAACATGGGCCTTTCCAGAGCGAACCCTTCGGGGTCTGAGTGTGGCCTGCAACAACCCTACCATAAGCTAAGCAAATTACCGAACCACTTTCAGATCAAAAAATTTGAGTTTCTTAGAAGAGCAATGGAGTTAACCCAGCAATTGCGATCTTTCTTGCCATAGCATCTGCTTCTTCCACCACTAGTCCCTTTAATTAGTAGCGCCATGTGCCAAGAAATGTGGAGTATAGTACTGTGAACTGGAGAGAAAAGAACACATAATTTATAATTTTCCTGTATTTACAGCAAAGAGGGATGGTGCAGAATGATATGTGGTGAACTGTGAGAAGGACAACTAAATGATAGCAATGTCTGCTCTACCAAAATTGGGGCAGCGGACAATTATTTGGGCCGAGGAATGTTTTCTGGAGAGCAAGAAATGACTTATGAGAAGTTGACTAATGTAGTCAAGTTTGGCACTGCAGGGATAATTCAAGCCAACCATGGGAGAGCTGGCAATTTGGAGACTGGAGGGGACAGAAGACAATAAACGAAAGAGTGGTACACTGGAATTGGATAGTTCGGATTGGTTTTATTTAAATTCCCCAGGTTCTATCTTTTAAAAATTTTAGGGTGTGGCTCCATGGCATCTGCTGGCTGGATAATTTGGTCATCCAATGCATGTGAGATTGATGACTCTGTCAGAGATCCTACTTTCAAATCAGCTGCAAAAATCAATTCCATCTCACCTTCTAGCTCTCAGAACTACTTTTTCCTGCTCTCACACAATCCTTCATATCTTTCTTCCTCCGGTCTCACAAATCTGCTGAGGAGGGTTAAGAAACCCTGCAAAGCAGATTTTGGGGGGAATACAGCCAACTGCAGGGCAAGAAGAGTTAACCAGAAGTCCTGTTGCCCAAGTTGATTTCTTTAATGCAGGCCCTTCATGTGTTATTGGACTTCAACTCCCATTACGCCCATGCAGAATGGCCAATAGTCAGGAATGATGGGACATGTATTTAAGCAATCTGGTAGGCCACATGTTCCCTAGCCCTGATTTAGAAGCTTCAGCTGCCAATGCTTTTTGTGTGGTGGTTCAGTTCTGAGAGCTGAACCAACAACTTCAGATTAGCACACCCAATGCTTAAATTTTACATGACACAACTATTGGCCTAGGTGGAAAAATATTTTAAATCCCTATACATCACTACAGAACTCTTCTAACCAAACTTCAAGGCAGTCAAAGGAGTATGTTTATTCCTATGTCCCTAGAAAGATATGTAATAATGATGTTGGATTGAAGTTAAGTGGTTTTTAGCAGCAATGTTATAAAGGAATATGTAAAAATGGATTGTTAACAGGTCATAATTTAAAGCTATAATATATTAAGATAAAAGATTAAGATAAAATCAAAGAGAGAAAGGAATTGCTGAATTAACTAACTGAACTGGAATACAAAAAAGGGAGGTGTGAGGAGGTCAGGGAAACAAGCAAATGAAAGATAAGATATGGAAAGACTGACTTGTTTTTAACTGTTTTTACCTTGTATCTTTATTTTCTTTTTTTTCCTTATTTTTTTTTACTCTTTTCTCTCATTTTTGTAATATGCTGAAACTTTAATAAATCTCTTATATATATAAAAAGATATGTAATAAACCCAGGATTAATTCCACCTGAAAACATATACTCCTGGTATGCCCCACAGAGAAACTTACGGTCTTAAAATAAAAACATCTTGAAGGTCCCAGGCCACAGAGAAGTTAGGCTGGCCTCAACTAGAGCCAGGGCTTTTTCGGCTGTGGCTCTGATCTGGTGGAACACTCTGTCACAAGTGACCAGGGCCCTGCGGGACTTGACATCTTTCCTCAGGGCCTGCAAGACAGAGCTGTTCCACCAGGCCTTTGGCCAGGGCACAGCCTGACTCCCTCCCTCAGCAATCTTCGCGGAGCTCTGGCCCAATGGTTGCCAGTGGCTTGAATTAATGAATTTTATAATGAATGATTTTAGAGTGTTGTTTATGTTGTACTTTTGTATTGTTTTATTGTTGTTAGCCGCCCTGAGCCCGGCTTCGGCTGAGGAGGGCGGGATATAAATAAAATTTATTATTATTTATTATTATTATTAAGCTAGTTCAAAAAATATGAATACTTTTATTTAAAGTAACTTATATACTGCCTTTCACCAGAATGATTATGAGGCAGTGTACAAAAATAAGGGCAATACAGTGGTACCTTGGGTTAAGAACTTAATTCATTCTGGAGGTCCGTTCTTAACCTGAAACTGTTCTTAACCTGAAGCACTACTTTAGCTAATGGGGCCTGCTGCACCACCACTACACGATTTCTGTTCACATCCTGCAGCAAAGTTCTTAATCCGAGGTACTATTTCTGGGTTAGCAGAGTCAACCTGAAGCGTCTGTAACCCGAGGTACCACTGTACAATAAAACAATACAGCTAAAATATATCCAGAAGTTGTACTAAGAATTAACCGCCTGAAAATGTCTGAGAAAACAGATGTAGCCTAACAACCTCTACATAGAACGTTTTTCTCTTCACTTCTGCTGAATTGCAACCCTGAGCACAATCTGAGACCAGGACCCAAAGCCATCTTGAGTAATCATATCAATATATAAAGTTAAGTAATACTATTATACATTTATGCAACATCAGAAGTGTACTAATAGTAGTAGAGAAGATAAAATGATTGTATTTGCTACCCAGAAATTGGAAGAAGGGAGAGAATTTACTACAGTACAGTACAGTACAGTACAGTATATATCTAAGGAGAAGCAACAATGAAGCACTAGCAGACAGAATGGTAAACTGTCAAACTATACATGAACAAAAGTTGGTATCTTATGTTATCAATGCCCTACTGCTGGGCACTGAGCAAAACAAACCCCTTCAAAGGCATTTACCATTTACTTTACCACAAAAACAATACTAAAAGGAGTGAAACCTGCATTGTTATGAAATTCATAATGACCTATTATGTCACCATGGTAGGGTTATCATATGATGCCAAGGACAGCAAGATGGAAATGTACCTTCTGCTCCAGAAGGAACCGTAAAGGACAAAGGAAATTACACACAAGCAAAATTCAACTTCTCAGAATAGGAGTTCTGTCAATAGGAATTAATGACCTGGACTGAATTCCACACATTTCCAAATTCAACATGGGTCATCTTATTGGGAAGTTTAAAGAAAGTAAAATTTAGACTTTTACTGTCCTTAAAAACCAGTGAGCACCAAAATAGGGAAACAAAAATTAAATTAAAGCTTTTCCATTCCATTACCATGGCAGACTACACACAGTTTAGTATTAAGAAGTATAGTTAAGTCAGCTTCAGAAGTTAAAAAGGTTAACATATAAAAAGATTCTAAAGTCACTTGAGTAAGCATGCAGTAGTAAAAACTGTATCCTACAACTGAGTTATCTACCTATCTACTGCTGGAAAACTGCCAGTTCTTCCAATTCTCACACACTTTATTGTAAGCACTAGACTGCAATCCAAAATACATATTATTGGGGAAAGGAAGATACTGAACACAATGAGGCTTACTCCTGAGTAAGCACACAATGTTAGAAACTCACATATATAAGCTAATTGTCAAATTGCACCTTAAACCAAGGTTGCAGTCACCACAATGGATTGTTTAGGCGCCACCCCCTGCACCCGATGGGGGGGGGGTGGTTGTTGTTGTTATTCATCTCATTTGTATAACACTTTATATTTTAAAAAACAAATCTCAAAGTTGTTTACAACCCATTAAAACATCAAATAAAACAATCCAGAATAAAACAAATCAAGTTTCAAGGAAAATATTTCTGATCCTTCTCAAAGTGACATTTTGCTTTCCCCCAGGAATAACCTGGCATCTCTGCGTGGTCACAATTGGACCCACACTAGTCGCAAAACGCGCCTGGCTAATTTCAAACACTGCCTGCAAACAGTTGCACTTTTATAGCACAATCCTATACATGACTACAAAACAATAGTTCAATGGAACTTATAGGATTGCATGGAACAGAAGATTAGACTCTTCAATCCAGTGCTTTTTTCCTAAAAAAATATTTAGCGATACTCTCATTTTCCTACTCATATTGAAATACTGCCCCTCAATGAGGCCAAATTTAGTTTCACAAAATGTTTAGGGGTATGCATACCCCTGCGTACCCCCAGAAAAAAGCACTGCTTCAATCCTATTAGGTATTATTAACCATACAGTTGTTATTTTTGTGCAGAAGCTTATGAAGGCCTACCACAACAGACTTAACTGGAATCTAGCTACACACGTGTATTAAAAAGTATCTTAATGTAACAAAAATAATGTCCAGTTCTCCCTTTCGAAAGTGTTATGCATACAACTTGCCCTAACCATGCTATTATTGAAACACCTCATTTTTTATATTATTCAGTGTATTTGGAGCAAAAATTAGAATTTTACCCTTTGCCAAATTCTAAGCACACAAAACAGTAAGGCATGAAAACCATTTATAGTGGGCAGGGGAGACTGACTACACTTAAAGGAGGCAGCTTCATTGGTGGGCAGGAACAGCCTTCCAGACAAAAATAAAATCGACCTTACCGAACAGGCAAGAGGTCGTAACCTCCACTTTGAACTATTCACTGTGCAAGTCTATGCCTATTCAGTAGTAAACCCCATTGAATTCAATGAGACTAACTCCCAAGTAAGAGTGTACAAGATTCTAGCCCTAGGCTACAATCGTCTATACGCTTACCTATGAATTAAGTTCTGCTGGACTGAACAGGGCTTACGTTTACGATGACACACACACATATGGTGATCACATTCCAGGTGTATGTATATATATATACCTGCAACGTGATCACCATTATGTGTGTGCAAATAAATAACACACACACACACACACACACACACACACCCCTGGAACGTGATCACCTTAACTAAAACCACAAACCGAAGCTTCACACATGCAAGCGAAGGGAAAGGCGGCTACCGCTGGAGAAATAAAGTGAAAATAAAGATCGCGGCAAAAGCAGCCAGAGGAAGAATCAGAGATTCTTAATCCAAAACCAAAGAAAGGTGTGGTCAGGCTCGCCACCGAAAAACAGGCCGGCAAGCTCAAATAAGGTCACTCTTCCTGTTAGACAATAAAGAGGAGGGAGAGATGATGCCCCCCCACAAACCACGAATTGCAGGGTTTAGAGCGGCGAGGGCCGGAGTCTACTTACTACAGTGCTGTTAACACGCCAAGCGGATCCTGAAACAATTACCCGGAAGGCCTGTAATTAAAGGGGGGGGGGACACACCGCAAACTCGCCCTTCCTCCGTTTCTCTCTCTCTCTGGTGGCCACGTTATCGCACATCGGGCGGGGAGCTATTTCCTGGGCGCCCCTCCCTCACCTCCACCCCCCCAAAAAACAACAACAGCCCCCACAGCCTCCCACGTTCAAGTGTCGGGGGGTGCCTTTTACCGGGGGCGTCACGAAGCCCTCCGACGTCACCCAATTGTGGTCTCACACCGCGGGGCTTGCGCGAGCGGCGGTTTTAAAGGCCCTGATCTCGACCTAGGGGCGAGGTCGCTCCTCCCGCCGCCCCCCACCCGCGCTGCCTGCCGCCTTCCTCCTCCTCCTCCATATTCCAGCCAGGCCCGAAGCGGCTGCCCCTCACTCACCGTAGAGGAGGGAAAAAGAGGGTCGAAGAAAACTAGGGGGGGCAAAGAGACTCGGGATGGGGGAGAAAGGGAGCGCGTTCCCGCCTCGGTGCCGGCGCCTCTCTCCCTCCCTGGGCCTCAGCCGAGACGAGCGGCGGCGGCGGAGTCCGCCATTTCCATTCCCTCCGCCTCCTCCTCTCCTTCCCTCACGGCTCCCTTCAGACTTGTTGCTCCGCCCGCGCCGAGGCTGAGAGGAACCCGTCGCCAAAATGGCCGCCCGAGGTAGCTGCGCGCGAGGCGGTGCGCGTTGGGCTGCGGGGAGGGGGAGGAGGAGGACGCTCTGCCCCGTCTCGCGCAGTGGCAGTTGGGAAGGCGCCCAGAGGGAATCCGGGCGGGGAAGGAACCACAGAGAGAGCGGAAACTTAGAGGGACTTTCTCTCTGGTGGGGAGAGCAGTGCAGAGCGGCAAGGAAAGGCATCGAGCGCCCCCTGTGGGCGGGAGGAGGAAGCGGCGCAACGTTCTTAATCCAAGTTGTTCATGAACTAAGCTGTTCTTAAACCAAGGTACCACTCTACAGTATTGAGAAGCGTTCTGGATTTCCATTACGGGTGGGTTATAGGCATAGCTGTCAACGTTTTCCTTTCTTTAAGTGAAATTCCCTTATTCCGAATAGGATTCCTTGCAAGAAAAGGGAAAAGTTGACAGCTATGGTTATAGGTTCAGCACTTCCAAGTGTCCCTATTTTCCAGGGACAGTGCTGGATTTACAGATGCCCTCCAGGTTTCTGATTTGCATGCCAGAATGTCCCACTTTCCCTTAGGACAGGCATAGGCAAACTCGGCCCCCCAGATGTTTTGGGACTACAACTCCCATCATCCCTGACCACTAGTCCTGTTAGCTAGGGATGATGGGAGTTGTAGTCCCAAAACATGCAGAGGGCCGAATTTGCCTATGCCTGTGATAAACTCTACAACCTTTAGAAGACATCTGAAGGCAGCCCTGTATAGGGAGGTTTGTAAATGTGTTGTTTTTATATATGTCAAAAGCAGCTACATGGGAAACAGTTGAAATCCTTTTACAATTAACCTTCTTAACCTTTTACTTCTACCAGACCTATACCTGGAAACTAAAGTGTATGTAGATAACGCAACTGAAAAGTTACCTTTCATATGCTTGCACAAAAAGTAACTTGACAAAAGGAAGCAAACTACATATTTACTATTTTATCTTTAAAGTGTTGCACCAGTTTAAAATAGCAAAATTATTATAGGGACAAAAATGCAAAATTATTATAGGGACAAAAATGGAACACATGATTAGCTAAATCCTCCCATAAGCTTTTAGTGTAGCTTGACCATTAACAATGGATGCTGATGAGTGGGCTATCTGAGCAGCAGATCATTTGCTCAATTTTTTAAAAAAAAACAGTGGTACACGTATAACTATTTTTATAAATAAAAAATAAGGCAAAGAAGAATACCTCTCTCCATAATAACTGATTTCTGATTGTAACTTTTAAAAAATGTTTTTTGTGTAATAGTAGTAAATGGCTCTGATATTTTAATGATATAATCACCTCTTAATTGGGGCCTGGGTGGCGCTGTGGGTTAAACCACAGAGCCTAGGGCTTGCCGATTAGAAGGTCAGCGGTTCAATCCCCGCGATGGGTTCAAATCCTCCTGTTGCTCGGTCCCTGCTCTTGCCAACCTAGCAGTTTGAAAGCACGCAGGGAAACGCTGTTTCTGTGTGCTGCTCTGGTTCGCCAGAAGCGGCTTAGTCATGCTGGCCACATGACCTGGAAGCTGTACACCAGCTCCCTCGGCCAATAAAGCAAGATGAGCGCCGCAACCCCCGAGTCGTCCACGACTGGACTAAACAGTCAGGGGGTCCCTTTACCTTTACCTCTTAATTACTAGTTTTTATTCTTTACCTGTTTAAAGTCTTATGTGTTCCGTTTATCCATGTGTTTTATCTTATGCTGGTCTGTGACTGAAATAAAGTTTGATACTGATGAATATCAGTGTAATTATTTGTATGACTTACCGTAAATAAATCACCTTAGCCAATCAGTCGTGGAAGAACCTGTGAAACTGGTTTGGTGCACAGGGTGGAGACACAACCACAGATAGAAACAATTTTGTTGCCAGAATTGCAAATAGGCTTCTGCTGGATAGCTCTTCTAAGCATTTTGGGATTCTTCGTAGGGACCTGCACTTCCTCAATGTGCATCCCAATAACATCTACTCAGTTTGCAGGGGACCTTGCCAGCCCGAACTAGACACACCTGGAAATGAATCTCCAACCTTCTGCATGCAAGTCACTAGTTCTAACGCTGAGCTATGTCCTTTCCACAAGAAGGACGTCTTTTCACCCAGGTTTTACCAATTCCATCAGAATGAATTACCTGCACCTGTAGTCATCAGGTTCTATAATGCTGTTTTACTGTTTTTACTAAACAGCTTTATCGTTTCCTTTTTGTATGTCGCTTGAGAATTATTATTATTTTTTTAAATTAGAACTTAACAGCTTCAGCCGGTAGCGCATGAGGCTCTCAATCACGGGGTCGTGGGTTCGAATCCCACGCCGGGCCAGAGATTCCCTTGCAGCGCCTTCAAACGCTACGATTTTTAGGCCGTTCTAGGACGCCCATTCTCTATAGACCGTCTCTCCCTCTTTTCCCCTCAGTGCCGATCCCCCCTCTCCCTCGTCTCTATGATCCACGCGACCTTTCGGAGGCGATTGGCTGAGGGCGGCTTTGGCGGAGCTCTCGCGAGAGGCGCGGCCTGCGAGCGGCCGGCGGCGGGGGTGGGGGGGGGGAGCGGGAGCGAGAGCGGCGCAGGGAGGAGGGGGGCGGAGCAGGTGACGGGGCCTGGCGTTGAAGGCCCGGCGGAGGAGGCGGCGGCGGCGGCGGCGAGCTCGGTCGGTGAGTAAAATGGCGGCGCCGGTGGGGAGAGGGTCACCTGTGAGAGGGGGGAAAGGCGGCGGCGGCACCCCGTGAGGGGCATGGAGGCCTTCTCCGTGGCGGGATGCGGCGGCTGAGGGGGAAGCAGCCATTTTGGGGCGGCGTGAGGCCTGCCTGGTGGCGCCGAGGGGTCCGCCCCCGCCTGGGCCTGCTCTCGGAGGGCGAGAGGAAGGAAGCCCCGAGACGCGGCCGGGAGGAGCGGTGGGCGGGCAGCTCATGTCGCGGGAGACTCTGCCGCCGCCTCTTCTTCCTTACTGGGGGTTTTTCCTTCTTTCTTCCCCCCCCTCCCCCATTTGACACGACGCGGCCTCCCCGCCGCTTCGCGCCTGTCTCGCCCTTTCCCTGAAGGGGCAGGGACAAGCTGCGGGGTTTCGCTTCTTTTTATTGTTATTATTTGTGCGCTGCTCCCCCGACACTCTCGTTTTTATTTCAAGGAAATGCAAGCTTTCATGGAGCCCTTTTTTTTAAAAAAAAAAAGGGGGGGGCGAAAGGGAGAAACTGGATCCGATTCCTGCGAAACGGATTGGAGCGCCTCTTCTTCTCAAGTTTTAAAAAGGCGCTTCTCGTTCTGAACCTTTTTTTTGTGTGGGGGGGGAGGAGGGGAAAGGCTTTCTTTACGTTTCGGTTTTACCCAGAAACAACACACGTGGTTCATATTCGGAGTGACTTTTGTTTGTGTTCTATCGGAAACCAGAGCCTTCGGCACTCAGTACACATGTGAACCTATATACCGTGCAAGCAAAATGAAAAAAGAAAGACCGATCTTTTCTCTACCCGTGAACTTCGTAACCATCCTCGGATGTTACGTGTCTTAATTAGGGACGTGTTGGTTTTTAACAGAGCTTTGGAAAGAGGAAAGCGGTTTCAGTTCTGGATGGAGCTGTATCAAAGGGATGCATCTATCCTAATAGATTCCGCAGCAGTTCCGTTTAGGTGTTTATTGTGACACATTGCTTGAGCTTTATCTTTAAAGGGCTTCCGGTTAGCTCATCACTGGAGACTCCTACGAGGTGTATATTTTGCAACACAGTCCTCAGCAGTTTTTTCAGTTCAACCTATGCTATCCTTGAAGACCTAATGAGACTGTACAGAGGTGGTAGTGTTGCTAGTGAGTGATAATTAAAGTGACTAAACCTAAAATTTTGTCAAGGCATCATCTAGACTGAGTAAGATACATTTCATGGCAGCAAGACACCAGTTTTCAGTCTGGTGTTCGGCCTTCGTGCACCCAAAAAGGGTGGGATTAAACCATACAGCTTAATAGCAATTCCAAGATTATTTACCTGTCCTTCCAACAAATAAACATGGGACTTAGTTCTTTTATTTTACAAACAGGAAGCTTAGTGTTTGAGGGAGTGATTGCTCAGGACCCATTATTAACTGTGAGACTAATAGCATATGTATGTTTAGTTGCTGCAAAGCCTCACTGAAACTTATTCCCAAGATTTTGTTCTGACTTGTTTTGAATGTGGTCGTCTGACTACAGTAGCTTTCTGTGCTACACCCAATTAAATATTTCACCTCTTTAATGCTTCATTGGAGCCATAGTGCTTTGCATATTTTCTGTTAATTTTTAAGCTACAGTTCTATGGAAACAAGTTGAAAGAAAGGAATTCCAAATCATTTTCGTTCTGTATTGAATATTATATTTCTGTGCTGCCTGCCCATTATTAAGAGCAATTCTAGGGTCAATTAACTTATCTATAAATAAGAATGTGTGAGAAATTACACTAGATCTTGTTAAGGCTACATGACACTGAATTCTCTAGGACTTAACATATGAGTAGAAATGGTTATGGTTGTGCTGGAAATGTTTCTTTGTGACTGAGATGTGTAAGCAGTAAGCATTTTTCTTTGTTAATTCCTTCTATCATAATAAAGTATAAATTGTGTAACTGGATCAGACCAGTGTCTTTCTATTTTAGTGTTTCTAAAGTTGACAAACTGTGTAGGGGATAACCTTCATCTGCTGTTTACCTCACATCTTGTAACCAGAGGCATGCTGACCAAATTCTTTTTTCTGTCATTTTTAAATGTGCTTCCACACCTGTCCCCCATCAATTTGTCCAGTCACTTTAAAGGCTGTGAATAAGATCCTGCCACAAAACATTGCAGCGTGGAATGCTTCTGTTCAGGGTTCAAACCATTCCATTATTGTGCCTGCCCCCAGCTACCCCACCTCTGCAGTATTTGATAGTTTGAAAAGTGCTTTTGGATCATGACAAAGTTAAGAGAGAACAGCAAGAACAGCTAGGTGTGAAAGCAGATCTGAGATGCCTTCATATTTGTGCCATGGCCATTTGCTCTAATTAGTAATATGTCATCAGAAGATGAGCTGTGAACCAGAAAATCAAATCTCAGCTCCATCAATGTGTGTCAATATTCAAGCCAACATTTCCTCAGCCTTTGTTCTGTGACACGGGGGTGTAAAGACACTTGTCTACTTTGTAGGATTGTTGTGGGAATTGCTGTGAGGATATATATAAAACTCCTTTGTGCACTCAAAAAGCACTACATGTATAAATGCTAATAATGATTAGGTGCTTGCCACTACACGTCACGATAGCACTACTATTATATATTTATTTATACCCTGCCTTTTTCCCTTATGGGACTCAAGGCAGCTTACAGATAAAAACAATCTCAAAATATATAAACAATTATTAAAAACAATAAACACTGATAGAATTACAACTATGTACATATAAAAATTGTTTACAACATACAAATAATATGTAGTGCTGTTTTTATTGTAATTAACAGTGTATGTACTGTGATGAGCATTTGATAAGATGTATTAACCATTCTATAGTTATGCCATGTTTTAGGGTAATTAAATATGTGACCCCTGCATATAACGGGTTTGATTTCCCCCTACTCCCTCTTCAATATATGGGACAACTCACCTATATCCTGACTTCATGATTTGCGCTTCCTAGTCTTTCTAGTCTTCAAACACACACCCCTGCCAGCTGATCTATGCATAGAAAGTTTGCTTATGCCAAGACTGATTACTGGACCATCTAGACCAGAATTGTCTCTTCTGATTGATAGTGGTTGTTCTGTGTCCCAACCGGAACCCTTGTTTATCTGAGAATGTTTTAACTGGCAGGGGAATAGAACCTGGGATGTTCTGCATACAGAACATTTGTGTTCTAAACTGAGCTGCTGTCCTGATGGAGTACAAGCTGTGAAATCAGGACGTGCATAAGTTTACTGTCTCTGGTTGCTGTTTTTTACAGAGTGAACAGTAAAAGCCATCTCGGAAAAGTAATGAGGTATTTGCTTGTTCTCTTGTATCTGCTCACTCACAGTAATTTATCTTGCCTGTTTTTTTTCTCACCCTACCTAGTGAGGGACAAGAATGAGTTATGCCGAAAAACCCGATGAAATCACAAAAGACGAGTGGATGGAAAAACTCAATAATTTGCACATCCAGAGAGCTGACATGAACCGCTTGATCATGAACTACCTTGTTACAGGTAATCAGTCAGCTGGTTTAGCAAATAAAGTTACCACAATAACCATGGACGGGTATTCATTTGAGACATCATGGGAGTATTTGCGTATTGCAAGAATTTACTAACCTTTCCCCCTGTACACTGTTCTGGAGGTTCTCCTGACAGCATACCTGACCAATTGGGGGGAGCAAGAAGAGGCCTTTGTCAATTCATTAGATGAATCCTGTTTTAAGAAACTGGATTTATGGAAATATCGAGTGTACTACTGTTCCAATTTAGCCATTTATGTAGATATTGTTTGATTTGGTTTTGCACTTTTTGATGTTTTGTTTATTGTTTATGACTATTTTTGCTGTGTTTCTAATTATGTGATTTTTAATGTTGTAAGCTGTCTTAATTTTGGAAAGGTGACATACAAATATGATTGATTGAATTGATTTCCATTTTCTGCAAGCAGTTTCTTTTTGCATTTCAGAAGGCTTCAAAGAGGCAGCAGAAAAGTTTCGGATGGAGTCTGGAATTGAGCCCAGTGTTGATTTAGAGACCCTGGATGAAAGAATAAAAATTCGAGAGATGATCCTCAAAGGCCAGATTCAGGAAGCCATTGCACTGATCAACAGCCTTCACCCAGAATTGTTAGATACGAACCGGTACCTTTACTTCCACTTACAGGTAAGATTCACATTGAAACTGGCATTGATTACATTTAAAACTAATTGACAGTGCTGAAGGAAGGTTGCTATATTCGGAAAGCCTTTTCTTCTGTTTTGGTATCCTGTATGTATGGTGTGCGTTCTTAACACACTTTGGCCTGGTGTAGATAGGAATAAGCAGCAGAATTGTATGCCCGCTTCCTTCTCCTGGGGGCTTTAACCATTGTTTAGCATTCAGTGTTGTTAACCGTTGTCTTGGTCAACCATAGTTTCCATCTTAACCTGAGTTTCAAATTAGGAATTGAAGAAAATTGTAGCGCCTGTTTTGAGAGGGAAACTAGTTACCATTAACCACTGTTAGTGCTGATTCAGGCATACTATTAAACCATACTTAACATAGGGAAGCAAGAGAAAATTCATGCTAGGAAATGTAACCTGATTTCTCTGACATTGCTGCTTTTAACACTCTTTTCAGTAGCTAGTTCCCAAGTTCTAATTTAAAGGCTTCACTTGAATGCTCAGCTGACATATTTTTAGAAGAACATTGATCAAGTGAAAGAAACTGAATGAACTGTATTTAATTTTTCTGTACGGTCTCCCTATTTCTTTTTTGTTTCCTTTTTTTTGGTTGGCTGGTGCAGCAACAGCATTTAATTGAGTTGATTCGGCAGCGTGAAACAGAAGCTGCGCTGGAGTTTGCTCAGACGCAGTTAGCGGAACAAGGCGAGGAGAGCCGGGAATGCCTGACTGAGATGGAGCGCACTCTTGCCCTGCTTGCTTTCGATAACCCAGAAGAATCACCTTTTGGAGACTTGCTCAACATGATGCAGAGACAGAAAGTAATTGCGCTTAATCCCTTGTAACTAAAATTAGATGCTGCGTGCCTCATAAAATGACACTTTTAAGATATGCCCTTTATTACATTATAAAGAAAAGCTGACTGTACAGTTTTTCACTTTTCATCATCTTTTGTAATAAATCACGTGGCTTTTTTCTGAAAGTTTGCGGGTGGCTTTCAGTTAGCTTATTTATATTTTTAGTTCATTTTACGCCCCAAAGTTTGAGGATGAGTAGCATTTTTAAAATGTTGTGAAAAAGCAAGCTTGAACCAGTTTAATCTCTGGATTGATCAACTGACATTTTACAGCACAATGTGTCTACGCAGAAGGAAGTCCTATTAAATTAAATGGGTCCCAGGTAAGGGGGGTTAGAATTGCAGCTTTAGCTGGTCAGTTGCTGGGAGCAACTTTTACTTGGTGAACATTAGAACAACAAGTTACTTTTGTTCTGTTTTATTCTAACAGGATGAAAAAGGAAAATATAGATGACCTTTACCACTCCAGTAGGCTTTCTAAGTTACCACTCCCTTTATCTCAAAAAGACCCATACTGAGGTTTTGATAAGGAGCTTTATTTTTATCAGAGGAACACTCTTCAATTAAATGCTGATGTTTTTGTGGAATTTGATACTAACGTCTGAGCTTTGTTGAAAGGAAGTTACAGAGCTGGGAAATAGCCACCGAGAGCCTCTTGGCATGACCTCTTTCTTTGGAAATTGAAAAAGACGATTACTTTTTATAATATTTCTATTTTGCAAAGTGCTCTGCCATATCCTGCAGCTCTATAGTTTGTATTTTACGGGGGGGGGGGGGGCTTGAGACTGATATTTAGTCGCTTGCACAAGGCCATGATACCTGCGGAGGAATTTAGTCCTTCAGGTCAAAAACTGTTGGTGGATCACGTTGACTCTCTGTGACATATGCATATATTGTGCTAAACTCAGTTGCTCATCTCTCTCTAGGTTTGGAGCGAAGTTAACCAAGCTGTTCTAGACTATGAAAATCGTGAGTCGACACCCAAGCTGGCTAAATTACTGAAATTACTACTGTGGGCTCAGAACGAGCTGGACCAGAAGAAAGTAAAATATCCCAAAATGACAGACCTCAGCAAGGGGACAATTGAGGAACCCAAGTAAAATGTGCAGGTGGACATTTAACACTCGGAACTGCACAGTTATATACATTTTTAATCAGTCTGTGACTGAAATATTTTTACTACAGTTCAGGACTTTGCAATTTGGTTGTGTGTGGGTTTTTTTGTTTTTCTTGGCAAGCATACTTAAAGGGAGATGGGTCCCTTTTTAAAATGCAGCAGATCAGCATTGAGAAGCATTGTTATCACTTTGACCATCTGACTTAGGCTATGCACTGTCATACATTTTAAGCAAAAAACCAAGTCTTTCTTATATATATATATATATATACTGTGCTGAAGGTTTGTAATGTCTGGCTACTGAAACACATTTCGGTGGCCAGTGAATTAATGTTGAAGCTCCTGGCAACTCTCCAGTTAACCTGTCTCTCACTTGAATATTGACTATTTTCTGTGTTAATTTATAGCCAAATATGCATTCCCTATTTATAAACTAGCAACTGGTTGAAGTGATCATTTTGTAAACCTCATGGCAATGTTGTTTTTCTGCATAGAGTATAGCATAGGAAGCTTGTACGCTGTAATTGGAAATAATTCCCTTGCTTTTCACACCTTGGTGACTTATTTATATGGGGCTGAATGTTATATTCATGATGGGCCTAGTTCTCTTCGAAGTATTGCTGACAATAAAGGCTTTTTATTTTATAGTTTTCAAGAATGACAAAAATATGCCTCTGAAACAAGACATGAAATCACTTGGTAATTAGATTTTCTTTCATTGAGGTTTTGTTTATTTTTATTTTTTTAAAAAAAATAATACCAGCCGTAGTATTGGTGTGGGTGGTAGCTACATCCTTAATGCCAACAGTGTGTCTTGGGGGGTGGGTATAAAATACTCAGCTTTGTTGTTATGGCTGGGGCCATTTCCAGTTAGAATAAACGTCTGATGTAATGCCGATACACTGAAATAGCATTGAAGTTCTTGGGCTGTAATTTATAATAATGATGGTGGAGGTTTTATCAAGTTTCCTGCCTTGGGTAAAGAGAACTGTGATTTTACAAATCTTCCATCTTGGAATTCCCATCTGATATTTTGAATCACGGTGATAGAGCTTATTTCTACACCAGCTAAAGGCCCTGTAATTCCACAAAGTCCCTCTTATTTTGTTGCTGCCTTGTAATTTTTGCTAAGGTGTGGGATGCTGCATCGCATGTATGACTGTCTTAAAGGAATGTTCACTTGTTCCGCTGTTTAGTATTAAGCACTAACCCTTGCTATTTCAAAGATGGTGATACAAAACACCCATTCAGTTAAGTTGCCAGCAGGGCTGTTGAGGAAACGGCAGAATCCAGTAGAAAAGCTGTTAATAATGCTGCTTATAGTCCTGTGGCTATCTGGCCACTGTAGTTTTAATTCCGACACATGCACAAGCCTCCCATGCAAATCTTACATGAAAGCAGCTTCCTCCCGGTTTGCACAATCAATTCAGTAACGTTTTAGATGATTCATTCAGAACCTAAGCTTAGTGGGTAGATGATAAACCTAAAACGATTTGGCTTCTAGCATGCTTAGCTAGTCACTGGGACTCGCTAGTACAATAAATTTCATACTTGGAATCTTTTCCATGCAAACCTCATAGAAATATATGGAAATTGTTTGGGAGAGGTTCCTGGGGAAATGTGCGCCCATAGCTGCTGATGACTACTGTGAAAACTTGTTGGCATTTGTATGAAGCTTGGCTCTAGAGAAGGCACTCTTGTTCAAGCTTTTGAGATATACTAGTTTCACAAGTCTAGTTGAATATAGTCCGTCTTCACCAACTGAAGCTCTGATGCCACAGTTTTAAGCTGTTGCAAAACGGACCACCTGACTTTTAGTGTCATGGGCTAGCTTTTTGCTCCTGATAGATGTTTCCTGTTAAATGACCTGTAGCTGCATTTAACCGAGAACAGAGAGTTGCAATTTGTGTGGATAAAGATCTTTTGTTTTAAGAACAATGTGAAACAGTGAAAGTGAAATGGCTCTAAACCTTTCCTCAACTATAACTAGCTTTTCTTCCTGTTCTTGGCTGTTGGATGCAAAAGTGCAGGTTTGGAAAATGTTTGGAGTTTCAACTTTCAGCACAAAGTTGAACAGGTCACTGCACCAGAAATACTGCACTGCAACCCTGCTTAAGAAGATTACTGTGTGTTTAGAGCACAAGGTTTCTTTCAAGAGTGCAAAGATAACTGGAACTTCCATTAGCTTACTTAATTCATTTAATTTCAGAGCCAAATATGTGAGATTTCCCCAAGAGGTTTAAATATGACAGTTGAGATTTATTTCCTTTGGGTTTTTTTTTAAATATCACACACTGAAGCAGCTTTAATCTGTAAAGTTTTTTGGGTAACTTGAGAGAAAATATTTAAAATGGTATGAAAGAAAGCTATGCATTTTACAGAAAGTTCAAGGGTGTCATCCCAATGGTACTTTTAGGGATCTTTATATTCATGTGTATATAAAATAGTTTGCATATACAAAATATAATATAATCAGTTTGAATTATTCTCAAATGGGGGAGGCTGTGAACCATAACTTATGAAATATTGTACACAGGAATCAGCCCTCACTACGTAAATGGATTTGTCATATGCATGAGAAATGTCTTATCCTGGTGGCTATGGATGAATGGTTGCAATTTTGTTAGCTCCATAATGTTAGATCGCCACTCTTAACTGCTTAGCATTAAATACCACTTTCAACAATACGTTTTACATTTGTGTTTTTGAAATGCTGTCATAAAAAGTATGTGTGGAAAATAAGTTTAAATGCCTCCCACTCCTTCACACTTAGTAACTGCTAACAGTCACAGTAGAGGAGGCAGGGTTGTGTGTACCCTTGAAATAATATTAATATTCCTCAACAAGGTTCGAATTTCATAACAAGAAAATTTTCGTTTCTAAGACCTTTATATATCAAATTGTGGTGATTTGCATAATGATTTTGTGTGTGGCAATGTTTAGTTTAATCAAGTGATATTTTTATGACCTAAAAAGTGATAATTAGAGTAAATTTAATTTTTTAAAAAAGCAAATACTAAAATGTATGATGAGCACTATCTTAAAAGGCAAACACGTGTGCATGGCTGGTGATGACAACTTTTTTTTTCTTATATGAAAATTTAATTGATTTAATTGTATGAGTTTTATAGTCTTAAGACATATTTAATTGGATTATAGACCTATTTTTTTCCGTTGCTGTGGAACAGAACTTGAGGGCAGTGCAGCATGCTACAGGGGGAAGGAGGAAGAGGTGGCGTTCTGCGGCACAAACAAAAATACATTCAGCTTGCAATGCAGCGCTGGATGCAACCTGTGGCGTTTATGAGGAATATGTTCCATAGTTAAGAAGTAGTGTTGCTGGCTTCCATCTGTTTCGAGAGACAACAGAGTTTACTTCTGGGAGTGAAGTCAAACCCCTGCGTTAGCAGCACCAAAATGACCTTCCATGGTGTCAGGGAACTGACATCGGAGCGAGAGGCGAAGGGGAGGCTCCTAGATGATGCTGGCGAAGGACCCAGCAGCAGGGGGAGAAACAGCTCAGTAGAGGGGGAAGCATTTAAGCGCAACACCAGGGATAAAGGGAGGCAGATGGGGAATCGGAGAGAGGGCTCCAGGACTCTTCACTGGAACTCAGTGAGGAGGGGACAGGTCCTCCGCTACCCACGCCCTCCCTGCGCAGAAGACTCCCGCGCAGTGAGAGGAGGAGGAGACTGGGTGTCAAACAACTTTTATGTTGGAAGAGGTTCAAGAAACGCCCACTGACGGATTCTGCCAGCGACTGAGGCAGTCACCATGAGAAAGGGCTGTGCAGTCAGAAAGGTTTAACAAGGCAAATTAGCCTAGAGAGGCACCAGTTTACGCACGAGTAACTCATACTCATTACACATGGTGTTTAAGCCTCAACAGTATGTATGGGGGCCCTGGGCTGCCCAGACAACAAGGCAGCCTTCTCAGCCTCTCTGATGTGCTCCAAAGGAAAGCAGAGTAATACGTTTGGCACCAGCCTGGCTGCAGGAGTTGTACAAGACGCAATCCAACCATCTTAGGGACTCCACTCTGGATTTGTGTAGAGGTTACTCCTTAGCCCTTTCTTCTCCCAAAGGAAGCAGAGGTTTAGGATCAGTTTTCCTTCTTCCTTCCCAGGTTGATGAGCCCTATCTGCCCCTCACTTCCCTCTACAGCAGGGGCAGAAACTGTCTTCTTGACCACTGGACCCACTATTGGTCTCATCCGCTCAATCTTCACATGCAGGGGAGTCCCAAACTCACCTAGGATTTGAGACCCATTGGCTACCCTCACCTGGTTTAGCTGGCCAGTCAAAGCTGCTCCCGGTGGCTGCTGTCACATGCTGACAGCTTCTAGGAGCCACAAGTGAGAGTTGAGTGCAGGGTGGGGACCAGAGGGGGCCATACTACCCCATATATTGCTCTAAACTGACAATCCCCTTAAATTTCCATATAAACCAACATTCCTAGCATAGATTTCTTGGCTCAGTGAAGACCACATTCATGGAATATTTCAGAAGACAGAAAAAGAATAAACCCATACCTAGCTTTGAGCTGAGGCTACAGGTAAGTCACCAATGTTCTTTCCTTTTAATGAAAGCCATATTTTTTTTAAAAAAAATCAGCATTTCCAAAGGCACACAGTTCCTATTTTCCTTCTCTCTAGTTATTGCGCTCTTTGATTTATAGTTTAAAAATTCCCTTAAGAAGGGGCCCTTCAACGTGTGATAGAGCCATTTAAAATAATATATAATAAAAGTATGGACTAGAGCAGTAGAAAAGACATGAATGCAATCTGCACGGAATGCTAGAGCTTCCTAAAAGCCAAGCTATTGTGAGAAGGAGGAAGAATTAACACCCAAAGCATGCTGAACTGGAACCCAGAAGTCACAAGTGCCACAGTCCAGAAGCTGTATTTCTGGGATCAGCTGAGACTAAACAGGATCTCTGTTTCAAAATGTGATTGGGTGGGTGGGATTCTCTGGGAATAAGTGCTTGTTTTAAAGAAGGTACAGATTTTATAGAACATGACAGCTATGCATGCTGCATTCATTAAACCTGCGAGAGCTACAATATCCTGGTTCTCCCCTCATTATTTCTCAAGCAGATTAGAACTCTTCAAAGAGGATGAGAGGTTATTATGACAATGGAAGAGTGTGCATACAGAACACTGTATTATGTAAAACACTTTTTCAACAAGGGTGCAGCATGATCCTTAGCTGTAGACTAAGCAAAGAATTTAATGTGACTGCACTCTTCAGTATGCCAAAGAACTTTGTCCTTTAGGATAACTAATTCAGACAATTTAAGCAACATCCCTGCGCTGGGACTAATACACATTTCCAAATGTGTAAGAGAATGTAAAAAAGGTAAAACCTACATTTTTGTAAGCAGTATGTACATTTGATTTATTCTATTCCATAATGACATTCCTAAAATCTTAAGAGCTACGTGCTCAAAAGTGGTTGTCAATTATAATTTTGTCACATGGACCAAATTAGCAGTCTTAAATATGAAGATAACCTAATTGGTGAGAGTGCCTTATTTGTTTTTTTCTACATATATTAAGAACGTACGGGCCACATATAATGCAAAGAAAGCAAAGCTATACTTCTGAGTAAACCACTTGCGCATGGTTCAGGGTCCTCCATAAGAGCTGCTTAAGTTCATGTGTTAAACCCTGTAGTGTCCAAAATGACTCTATTACTGCCTAAGCCTTCATTTCTTAAACACTGAGGATTTGGGATCCTTGCAACGGTGTACATTTACACTAGAGAAAGTCTGACTGGATTGCTCTCCCATACTATTTTAGACACCTGGTTCTTATATTTAGATATGTGGGCAGACTCAGCCAATGCACATTTTCTGGATGGTGGACTTGGCCTATAAGCCTCCAACTGATGTTCACTCAACTGGCCCAAGAACTGTCATGGGTTAAATGTGGCAAATTTATAGCCGATCCAATTCAATTCAATGGGCAAAACGAGTAGAAAATGGAGGGAATTAGGGCAGTGTCCAGTAACCATGTTTTCACCTGCTTACAATAAATACAGGTGTCTCTCCACTTGCCCAGGGGTTATGTTCCTGGTTACCGCATGAATATGTAAAATTGCGTACAGCGTGGAAGACCCATCTAAAAAGCCAAACTCTGCCACAATCGCTCCCTCCAAACCTTTCTCAAGCTCCAACTCTCCACAGGCCTCAAAGATGGATGCAAAATCTCCTGGGATTGCTGTTTTCCTGCCCCTTTCACAACATTTCTGCAGTTTTCCATCTTTTGGGGTCATTTTTGCCCTCGTCACACCTTTCTGCAGTTTAGATTGATTTCTTTATTTCCTGGCTACCCTCACCTGGGTTTGGAGTGAATCGAGCGTGCATAAGTGGGGAGACCTCTGCATCGGATTGGAAAGCCAGAAAAACAACCTCTTACCTAAATTATTACACGATTTTATTTTCTTCTTGAACTTGTTACGATGTACCACAGCCAATGCTCCAGAGATTTCCTACAAAAGAAAAAGAAAAAACACGATAGTGTTGTAAACCACTTTGAAGCACCTTTACTGATTTGAGGAATAAATATATATGCAACACAATTGTAGTTCACTACCCTACCCTGCCAAGCGGGGATGTGGTTGGTGCTGTGGGTGAAACCACAGAGCCTAGGACTTGACGATCAGAAGGTCGGTGGTCCCCACGACAGGGTGAGCTCCTGTTGCTCGGTCCCTGCTCCTGCCACCCTAGCAGTTCAAAAGCATGAAGTGCAAGTAGATAAATAGGTACCGCTCTGGCGGGAAGGTAAACGGCGTTTCCGTGCACTGCTCTGGTCCGCCAGAAGCGGCTTAGTCATGCTGGCCACATGACCCAGAAGCTGTACGCAGGCTCCCTCAGCCAATAAAGCAAGATGAGCGCTGCAACCCCAGAGTCGGCTACGACTGGACCTAATGGTCAGGGGTCCCTTTAACTTTTTACCCTACCCAGCAGTTCCTTTTTCCAAAGTGGCAGATTTGGTAAACAAGTTGAAACATGCTGTCATTTTTTTTTATTTGATTGGCTGTGTGTCTTGCACCCATACTGGGAAGTACGTACTGTATTTCCTTTCATTTCATTTCTTCAAAGAGGGCAGCACTGACTTGATGCACTAAGTTTGCACAGCCTGGCTTCACAGAGAACCAGCAATAGCAGAGGCGGGCGCGCAGGCACCACCTCTGTTACGCATCTGCTTTCAGTTTTCTGTTTGCGAGTGCAGAAGCCCTTGGCAATTTCCACCATCCGTCGATCCCCCCCACCGGATCCTGTTTGCAAACATGACGAACAGGATCAAAAGGCGCTGCTGGAGAGAGAAGGGAGACGTCAATCTCAGAGCGCAAAGTTCTAGGGACGGGAAAGGAGACGCTGCTTCGCGCGCTCGGCAATAGATTTTGCAAAAGAACGAAAGAGCAAAACCGCGCGCGCGCGATCTCCAAATCGCCCAGCACAACAACGCATCTTGTTTCGGATCTTGGATAGCATCATCCTGACCTGCTTCTTGAAATATCTCTGCCTCCGGCGAGACCTTGGCCTTTTCCGACTTCTGCATCTGTCTGCAAACGCGTCTGTCCCCGGCTCCTCCTTTTGCAAGCATCGCCCCCGAGCAGCCTCGACCTTCTGCGGCGAGACTTCCTGCAGAAATCCCCACACAGGAAGAGGAGACGCTGAAAAAAGTGACACGTGGACTTGGTGCTTATTGCAGAAGGGCGAAATAAAAACTCGCCAGCCCAAACGCGCCGCGCGCAGCTTTTCGCTTCCTCTGCCAGCAAACTGTCAGGGCGAATGGATTCACTTGGCCGAGGGGCCGGTGGTTGGGTTTCCCCTCCCGCTTTTAAATTCAATCAGCATGCCCAATAAACGAGTCATTGAATCATAAAAAATAATAGCAAAAACATCGTGGTTTATTTTTGGACCCCCCCTATTGGCGGGGGGCGGGTGTCACCATCTGTTCGCTGGCATCCAGTTGCTTCGTAGATTTCGGCAGCGGCGACAAGCCGTTGTACAAGAGGACTTTTGCCTT